TCCCGAGGCTGTAGGTCTCAAGGCCCAGAACTACAGCCTCGGGACTCTGCGAGACTTGCAGCCTCCTTGGGCTGACGGAGAGACACTTGCAGGAGAATGGATGTGATGACAGCCTGAGAGGATGCAGCGGCACACCATACCACATACCGGTACCTGGTAAAACAGCACCTCATCTGCACCCCATCTTTTGTACCATAACGCGTTAGCACTTATGGAAATGGGCATGATTACTCTTGTTCCCCCTTGCGCCGGGTCACGTTGACATGATGCCCCTGCATGTAGGTCCAAGCCATGTTGTGCCTCTTCCATCTAGTCTCGTGATAAGGCTTGGCCTCGCTTTACTCTGTTGATTAATTACACCACCAAGTCAAGTCATTCACGCAATCTCGATTGCTCCCTCTCGGTTCACCGGCCCAAGGTCGATCCGAAAAAGCCTCTCGCAACCAGGCTAAATGGATCAGATGTATCACATTTTAAAGACAAGACACCAAGGTCTACGCCAAAGAAAGAGACGGACAACTCGCTATCGAGCGGGAGGACGCGAGAGTCGGTGCGCTCGATTGGACCGTGGCTTCTAGTAGATCGCGGATAGAGGCTGCGGTAGCGAGAGTAGCGTGCGCAGCAGCAGCCAGCTGAGCAGGGGCATCGGATGGGCCTGGGCGCCCCTCTAGGCAAGCAGATCACCAAGATTCTATTGGATGATGGTCACCGGCCTTGAGGTTTCGGCGTCCAAGACATGCTTAGGCGATCGTCAGGAGATGCACGAGCTGTCACCGGTGATAAGATGGATGGATGGATAGTCGAGAGGGGAAAGAGGAGGCCTGCTGCAAGAATAAGCGATGGAGGCAAAAAAGAAGTTGGAACCGTTGTTGAAAAACTGATGCCTTTTTGCTTAATCGAGTCACGGATCGGGGTTGGCGAGAGGGGTTGCGTCCAATTAGAGGCGACGGGTTTAGAAGTGTGGGAGGGGAAGCATGTCATCGAGGTCATGGGGAGGCGATGATGATCATGATTATCACACAAAGGTGGTGTTGAGGATGAGGAGTCAGGGGGGCAGTTGGCCATCTTGGTTAGTACATGCAGGTACCGGATGAAGTTTCAGAACGGGATGATAAATCGTGTGTGTGATTGTAGATTTCACAAGCAAGGCACAGGAACAAGAATACGAAACAATGTTCCGATGAAGGGATCACACGTGTTTAGGGTAGTAATCCAAGAGCCAAGAATGGGTTTCGGCAATGAGACCAGGATTCTCGGATGAAAAGTGTGCTAATGTTGAGATGAACTCGCGTGTGAATGGCCCGATAAACCCCAAGATTCTTTCCACTTTACGGGGCTGGGTGGCTACTGTGCTCAGCTGTGCCAGGCCACTTAAGACGCTGTCACATTTCATATTTCCGGGTCAGGGAATTAAATCAAAGTTAAAAAAAATAAATTTGTTGACGAGAGAGAGCTGAACGATCGGGAACAGCGAAATACGATACCGGGGTCGGGATCGAATAACAGCCAGCCACTGCTGAATCTCACCAAAGAAGCAAAAAAGTCAATTAAGCAGAAAATGCCCGTCTCCCCGTGTTACGGACTCGATTTCAATAGGATGGTGGTGACCTACATTGGTGATGTTGCATTGCATGAGGTCCAGACCTTGGGGATCAAGGATGACTGCAGCCTCAGCCTGTAGCAATTTACAAGCCCAGCATGCATGATCCAAGGAGCTGGAACTGAAAGGCCAGCATCGAGAATAATAAAAAACAATTTATTCATTATTGCTTCCCAATCAATCTCGTCTGCTGCGCTTGCACGCAGCTGGGCTACACGCTTATGCCTAAATCTCCGGTGACATTTGCTTTTTGAACATCGTCGCCGGGGCAGTTTTTCATTTTTACAGACCTAAAAATCAAGTCTGCATCCTCCTGCCAGATATCGCTCCCGATTCAAATGAGAATTGACAGAGATTACACCTAGTAACAAAAGAAATAAAAAGAAATAAAAAAAATAAACCCAGTAGCAAATAGTACATTTTTCCCCAGTGCAATCGTCGTCAGCCCCGAGATCTCAACATCCCGGCTTTGCTGCTCTCCACTGCATCGGGGTCAGCGACGCTTCATGGCTAGCTGACAAGGGAAGCGTCGTCCCGGCAGTCAGGGAGAGCAGACAGACGCCACGTCCGAAGAGCTGGAGTCCAATATTAACAGGGTCCATGAATTACTATCGACAGGCTTGCAAGGTACAAGATGAAGCCGATGGCTGATGACGAGGATATTCCCAGGTTTGAATGAAGGGAGGGAGATTGGGCTCTGTCGATGAACAGTCCGTAACTCTTCGGACCCGAGCACGACTCTCTCGCCAAAAACCCAATGCCGAGAAACGACAAGGCTAAGCCAATCTCCGTTCAAGTCCGTTCACGAGGCCGCCAAGAGAATAGAGGAGCCTTGCCATGCACGATAATGATGCTGTTGCACTCCACTGTGATCGTCATTCGCCCTTTGGCTGCAACATTTTTCAAGACTCCATCGGACAAAGACCCTGGATCTTCATCGTTAGCACCGCATAGAGATACATGTCCGCCCTGCGTGTTGCAGCTGAAGTGGAATGATAACTTATGGGGTTCCGATAATGAACACAGATAATTCACGAATGTGGTGCTTCTTTTCACGGTATACAGTATTTTGCAGTGGACCAGAGAAATAAAATTCCTCCACTTGAACCGTGAGGCTGGCTGTCGACCCGCGGCCCCGTCACCTCTTTTTGCGTTCATCTGAGACCTTGGCCTCTTTGACAGCTGCTGAATAAGTGGTCGAATTGCTTCTTTTCTCCTCTTTCTCGCAGCTTGCATCGGCTGCAGAGACGCCATCCCCGATGCCCTCTTTCAATTTCAAATGCCGTATACCCTTTCTTTTGTCTGGGGAGGAGGAGAGCCCTAATCATGCAGGTGAGATGCGTATTAGCCAGATTTCTCATGTGGGTGATGCATGCGCCGCACAGTAGCGTCTACTTGCTTCCAATATCCAATCTCGAGCTGAATTGACAGAAAGTAAGACCGTCCACCGTTAACCTCCGTGCCGTGTCCGCGTAGGGCATAGTCCAAGGTGCTGCAGGTAAAGACAAGACAATGTCTCTCCTTGACCAACAGATCCTCTAGATGTCAAATCGTATATACCGTCTTTTACGCCTTCGGACTTTGCCCCCACACCATCCTCTAGGCTAGCACCGCCCGAGGCGTCTTGGCGACCAACTTTGGTGTCGTCCGCCGAGGGGCGCCGGCCCTGGAGACGCAAGGGAGGACGACGCAGCGGTGAGAGAGGGATTGCAGAAAATCAATCGCTGCATGGCTGAAGGAAAAGAGGCTCAAAGTGAGTTTCTCGGCTGGCGCGCAAATGGTGAGCCGTACCGATCAGGCTGTTGGTGATGATTGCTCGGAGCTATTCAGCACAGAGTTGGAGGCTTGAACGGTAACCGGTCGGAACCAGTCAATAATCAATCGCCAAGAGCGTCTGAACTGATGATCGATTACTCGAGTCGGTGTCAACCAGCCGCTGAAAAGTGACGTCGAAGAGGTCACCACGTATCGTATCGCGGAACCACTTTCTGCAGTAACAACTCTGCGGATCTACAATGCATGCACGCACACGAAACCAAAGATTGACGTCTTGTATCTTGGAATTTGTACATGATCTGCCAAGCCAACAAATGTCACTGCTTCCAATGAATCCTGCATCGATAGCTTCAGGCTCACACTCAAGCTCAAGCTTGTTTTCTTTGTTTCTTTCTCGCCCTGGGACAAGGCTTCAAATGGGCTGAAGTTCTGGACCTGAACAGGCACGGGCCTTTTCGGGATTTGCTTTTTCGTGGCCTCTTTTTTTTCTTTTCTCAATCACTCACTGTTAGTTACTCTCTCTGCGCTAGTGTGCTAGCCTCGATGCACTCGAGCTGCGTGACCTGACCTGACCAACAGGGGTTTTTGAATGGGGTTGCTGAGTGAATGTGCTTGAGTAAAAGAGTGTGAGAGGCCGGCCCGGGAATTGCTCGGTGGCGTACAGCCGAGGGGCCTTTTTCGTCAAAAGGCACAAGGCACCAGGTACGCCGTCGATGGGCCTAGGCCTGGTACTACCGGGCGAGAGGCTTGTCTTGGGGGTGGCATACACTTCAAGACAAGACGGATGGAGGGGAGAGGCAAAAAAGCGGTGTCTACGGTTGGAAAGGCGTGTTCCGACGGAGAGAGGCTTGTGGCATATTGGACGGATCATCACGAATGTGGTTTTTGGTGTCGCAGTGTGTCCATTAGTGGTAGGCTGCAACGCACGCTCCAAGAACAGTCCAGATGAAAAAGAAGGCAGAAACATACGGCTCTCAAACAGGTACCCGAGGGTACTTGCCAGGGTGGAAGGGAAACGACAGGGGTGGGCTGCTGTACAGATCAGCGGGACAGGACATCTTGTCTTGGAACAGGCAGAGAGAGCATGGGAATTTGCGGGTGAATGACTGTGAAGAGTCAGAGATGATGGCCTACTCCGCTCACTTGTGGAGATGGAGGGGGACAAGGTCCAAGGGTGAATCTGCGCTGCGCAAGCCCAGGAACAGGGGGGACCATGTCGGTGTGAAGTACGTACTATACAGGGGTGTTTTCCAGGTGGTGGTGCCCGCCTCGGCTGCGACGGTTCGGTGGATGACGTTGGTAGCCCGTCAGCTTTTACGGCTGATCCTCACCTTCACTCAAGCGGGCTGTGAAATACGACGGCCATTATTTATAGAGTTGAGAGCCTCCCACCCCCCGGTTATCTCGGGCCCTAATCATCAACCCCGTCTGCCTTGGTTTATATGACGACCATTGCATCGACATTGTAACATTACTTACCAATCTGGTCTTTTTATTAATACAGTCCATCCCCTCCTCACTTGGACTCGTCACATCCTCTACGACTCGCTTCTAACACGTCGATTCGATCACCAACATCGACTCAACCAACAACCCGATTAACAACCACACACAACATATCAACATGCACGTACTACACGGCTTCGGCCAGCGACGCAAGTCGTCTCGCCGCCCTCGCGACCTCCATATTCGAAAGGTCTCCTTCTCCGGATCCTCTCTCTCTTCCGGCTGCTCTCTCTCCTCCTCATCCTCCACCATCTCCGACGCCTCGACACCTACACCTACGCAAACACCCATCGCCACAACCCGACCCGAGATCGATCCTCTTGCTTCACATCCCGCCTTCCACGCCCCGCCTCGGCTGTACGAGAGGCCCTTTATCCGCTTGGATGAGCCTGTGTTTTACGGTGGCAATGACGAAGAGGAGGAGCAGTATGCTGAGCATGAGACTGCTCAACCTATCGAGATGGCCTTGCCTCCTCATGTGAGCCCAATGGATGTGGCCGATGAGCAGTGCAAGGAGCCTCAGGATTACTTCTTTACAACACTATCTAAGCGACCGCCGATGCCCCGATCACGGTGGTCCGAGTCGACCATCCAAACTCTGGACCAATTCGACAATTCCGACTCTGAGGACTCGGATGAGATTACCCAGTCCGAAGAGTCTGACGATGAGGACGACAATGCCTCAGTTCTTGAGATGCGACGTCTTACCCGTCGTGCCTCAGCCCTCAAGACCATCTCTCTCAACGCCACCTACACCCCTCGAACCGGTCCCGCCCCCAAGCGTCCTCCCATGCGCTCTCTTGACTCTGTCGACAACTTTATCCGTCGTGGAGGATGGAAGCGTCGTGGCATTGTCTTTCGACAAGAAGACATGGAGAACCAGCAGCGGTGCGAGGCGGACCGCGCAAGCTTCTAAGCAAGCAACCCTTTCCTTCCATCTCTCTCTTTTTTCAGCATGCCTTATGATTTCTTCGATACCCCAACCTCTTTCAACTCTGCTTCTTCTCTTTCGTTAAATGCGTGGAATATCACGGGAAGAATGATATCTCTTTTAACCTTTTTTCTCCTAACGGCTGGTTCTTTTTATATATCCTACCACCTCCCCATAAACTGGGCTTGGTCTCTTCTATCATCTTGATTTCATAGCTTGGAGTTTCTTTACATGACATGGCCTATTGAGCCTTTTGGGAAAGCACAAAAAGCGGGTTTCATTTTTTTTGGTCAATTGGGAAACGCTGGTATGCGTTATGGGATTCACGGCTTCAAACCGACCTTGACACCTTTACTACCTCTACTACAACCTCACCTCACTTTTTTTTTTTGGCGGCAAATATCTTACTCCATATCCTCTACTACGTTATCTACATAGGCATCTTTGTAATGCACCAATACTATCTCTTGCCGCATCCACTCTGCAGCCTTGAATCAATCGTGAATTGTTTTTTCCTCAGCCTCATTTGTGTGTCTTGATCTCTTACAACAAGGGTCCAACAAGATGATCCATGTTTGACACGTCAAAGATTCAGCCTCATTCCCTCGTCTCACTCACTCAACAACAAGCAAGGAATCAAATTAAACTGGAGAAAAAGGCAGCTGCTGCAGCCTAACCGAACCCCAGCCATCATCGTCTAATTCCCCCATCTTCGGTTTCGAATTCGCTTGTTGATGCCCGGCTACGGGCGGCGGCCTCTCCGAAGCGAGAAGCCCGGACCTGGTGGTGGCCCCGGGGACAGTATCATTGTCATCATCATCAGCCCTTTTTTCTCAACGGTCCCTGGTCGATTGTCGTCTTCTCCACGGACGTAATGATGGGTTTCTAGAAGAAGGAAAAATACGCCAAGAAGGGTGCAATTTCCATGTTTGTTGAGTCACTGTCACTGTCACTTTCTGCCTGAACCCGAAATCTCAGGGCTCACTCAGGCTGCGCCTCATGGTGGGAAACTTTCAACGTTGCAACCGTCCATTGCTCCGGCATTTGAAGGACATTTCGGAGTACCGAGCACTCATCATCTCATCTTTCATGCGGCGAAATTATCCGCCCGTCGTCGCCGAGCCCGGACTTTTTCGTAAAAATCCAAGTTTGTGCGGTGTGAATGCCCTCACAGCGGCGCCCGCGGGCCACGCGATTAAGCTCGGCACTTGGAAGCCCTGGCAATTCCAGTTGTTGTCCGTAGGGTTTCCTTTTTTCTCGCCTCCCCCTGACGAGACCACGTTGCTTGACCACGAGCCTTCTTCATCTTGATCAGGGGGAGGCGAAAACCGAAAGGAATGATGACTTGACCTTTTTGGAATGTGGCAAACGTGGGAAGACCAGGGTTCCCCGAATGTGTGGTGTGCCCTGGTTCAAGTGTTTACGATCTGCACCAAACCAATGAAAAAAAGTGGCTGTTTCATCAACGTCGAATTAAACCATTCTAATGATTCTCTGGTTTTGTTTCTGGCGAATCTCAAGAGTTGGAAAATGCGGTTATCGTAGATCCCGGAAAGCTGACGTCTTTCCGGATGGTCATGTTTCAAAACATGTGCACCAGCATGAGCGATGATGAAAGTATCTACAAGTATCTACATTGACGACGATAGCTGCATCATCTGCATCGTTACGCGCCCTTGTCCTGGCCAAGCTTCGTCATGGTTCTGCGGGCATAGCCAAGGATCTTCATCTTTTTCTGCGATATGCGATGCGATGCGATGCGGATGCATTGCCAGCTGGTGATGTTTACCTTTCGGGGCCTTCGGCAGCTGCCCGCTGTCGTGGCCTCTCAACGTTCCAAGCGCTCACTCGACATTCTCGTGATATCTTCGGATCCCGCATCATCCGGCTTTCCAGAAGAAAAAACCTGAATTTTGAACTCAAGACTATGACGTTGAAATATGCAGAGCCGCAACTCCGAAACACCCGTGTCTCGTTGGTTCAACACACGGCGTCGAGTCCGAGCTCTCCTGGCCTGCCCACTATGATGTCTTTCATTTCAACTGGACATCCTATGAATGTCACTGATGCAAGCTTGGGCGGTTATTGGGCCCCGCGCTTGTCTAGTGGTGTTGTCGCCTATTGTGATGGGCTGGTTGGCGCTATTAGGGGTGCTCAACTTGGATCAGGGACATGCCAAGAGTTGAGCTACGTAGTCATACTGCGCCTCTCAGGAGATGGTATTCACCTAATTAATGCCAAGAGAGTCAACTTGGCTCAAGCCGCGCAATGGCACGATCATGGGCTATTCTGGAGACTGTGTACGTGTTGAACAGGAGCTTTCTTATCAATCGGCATCTCTGTTAGATGTAAGTACTGGAAGTAGACGCGTAATATAAATTGATTGTTCGTAAGGCAGGGTATTGAAGCTCTGGATCGCAAGCCAAGTCTTCACTACAGGCGTGTAGGCTAAGGGGGTAACAAAGAGCTATTCTCTGCAATATTATTACATTTGTGGAATGTATCAATGCTTTCCTACGCTTACTCGCCAAATTCCTATCTGAAATCTCGAACAAGTATCAACTTGCCACTTACACCACCAGCATTGCATAGCTACCTTCTAACATAGGTATTATAAACTATGTAGTTGACTGGATGACTTTCTACCATACCACCCAGCGACTAGAGTGGCACTACTGTAGAAATGTCACTGGGCTGCCCGTGGCTTTGACGACTTCTCAGCAGCGGGCTTTTAGGGGTAGGCTGCGCGCTAATTGCCTCCCCCTCCTGACATCTGATCTCATCTCCCTTTCTTATAGAAAAGACAAATATTGCAGTCATCGCCTTCTCCAACCAATCCTGCCTATCATGCCCTGCAAGAATCCCTCCCGCCACCGTAGTTCACCGGAACACGACCGGTTCTATCAACCTTTCAAACTGGAGTGTTGGCCTTGGTAGTGGTCCGGATAGCAACAAACAAAGAGAGGGAGACAACCAGAAAGTCGTTACAGTGCAAGGGATCTTGAGGTCGGAGACTATGTAGATAGGGGCTGGGAAGTACTATCCCCTTTGTGGTGTCATTTATACAGTCTGGATTTGGGCCATCAAGTAACTGCCCCCCCTCGAAAATGGGGCAAGACACCCTATATTACCTATTGAATATGTACAACAAGTTGACTGGAGTGGACATATACGGCTACCACTCATGCTGTAAGGTGATATCGGAAAGATGACTTTATATGAGATCGGCTAACCTGTAGAATAATATCCCTACCCCGATATCGTTGATAAACCTTGGGTAACCAACTGGAAGGCTAGCTTACCTAGCTTTAGCTCAACTGTTCTCACGCACACTTACCGTTGACACAAGTGAGTGCATCGGAACAGTCCTGAGCAACCTTGCAGGAAGCACCTGACGTCCTCGTTAGCGTGTGCACCAGAAACTCGCCGTCTATACTCATACCTTCACAGTGTCCAGGCCACGAACACTCATCTCCGCCACCACCGATACGTTTGATGAGGTTGTTGCCTAGTCCAACCAGACTGGCGTGAAAGTCATCAAAGTTGCCTGCAGTCCAGGCAGCTCCCTTGGCGCCCGGGACAGCATCTGCGCCGGTAAAGGCAATGTATAGGACGTCCTCTTCGTCGTGGCTAGTGTTGGAGCCTGTGCCTGCCTGCATCCCCTTGCCGTAGCAGGCTGTTGCAAGCGAGATGGATGCCTCGCCGACGCTGGGCCGATCGCCGTGGTCACCGTTGGAGTCACCCCAGATACCGTAGAACTGACATAAGCTTAGCTAGGCTTCCGCATATTGGATGTGCTTGCTTACCATCTTGTCTCCACAGACAACCGCCATGAGACTGGCCTTTTGCACACCGACCTCACGGGGGTCAAACGTCTTCCAACCAGGCTTGGTGCCCGAGTTTCCAAAGACGACGAAAGAGTGCTCATGAGGGTTTAAATCGCTGATACCGACGTTATACCCTTCGATGATGTACTTGATAGACGTCGTCGGGATGGTGGTTGTCGACTCGCCACAGCGCCCATCATCTTGAGGTCCTCCCTGGGCACCATCGCAGTCGACGTCCATGTTTGAAAAGGTGCCCCCTTCACCTTGGAGGTAGACGATACCGTAGTCCTCGAGGTGGTCGCCGCAGTAGGAAGTTTCTGACCTTGTCAGCTTGGGATGTACAGAGTGGGGAGCCGAGCTTACTGCCATCGTCGAACTTGGAATCGAAGAAGCCGGTGGCTAGTTTGTTGGTACATGTGCCCTTGGCTTTGAGCTGGTTGTAGAATGTGCGGACGTTGCTAGGGACTTGCAGCGCAGAGGCCGAAGAGGCGAGAAGTAGCGGGACGAGGCTTTGATACAGCATGATGAATATGTAGTTTAACACTGATTGTACCACAGGAACTAGAGTGGGATACTGCTTAGGAGAGCAATGTGCGGCCAGAACGACAGTTTATAGACCGGCATGACTCTTTATAACTGTCAAGCAAAGGTGAGCGGTACATCATACCGTGTTAATTCCCCCTTCATATGATCGACGTTTCGAACCGAGAAGGATTCAGCTGCCTTCCTAAACAAGGTGCTTACGGCCCCTGCGTGCGACTACACCTGTCATCCGCAGATCCTATGCACTGCAACCCCCGGACCTGCTCTGCAAATGGGAGCTTGAATAGTCTTCTCATGCCTATTTGGTTAATTCAAGTACCGAGATCTAGATGCTACGTTACGTGTCTTGGATCCTGGGGAGTTATTGCGAAACGGCCACTTGTCGGTGTAGGATTCTCAGACCTAGCTGATGGGTGTTTAATCATCCTGGTTCAGCATGTCGCTTGCAATTATTGCCTAAAAGGGTTGTAGTTTCTGTACTAAATGTGAGTTGAATCAGGATCGGCCATTGAGGACTAAGGCCTTTCTTGATCCTTTGAATGAAGGAACGTGGCAACCTTGATGTCTATTGTCATATACCAACCGAGCCCCTGAGACGTATGGATGCTGTTGGCGTACTGAGCTATCTGTATTACCCTAAGCATCCTGGTTGTAGCAGGGGGGATATTGTATGTGACATGTTTGCAAGGAGGCAAGTCACGCTGAGTTACCGTACAAGTGCCGACCACTAGTCATGACCATGTTGCGGGGGAGGACAGCGATCTGCTCTGAAACTGTCTCTTGATGTAGCTAAACTCATTCTAACATGCCGCTGTGTATTGATCTAGTCTCCCGGTGGACAAGATTGTGTCTCTAGACCTAGCCTGCCATACACACATTTGAGATTCGGCGGCCATGCCAGGAGGTACTGAGTTCAGCACCTGTCGATGTAGAAAACTTAGGGTATCGAAAACCCTGAATTACAAGTGTGGGTATATGCTAGTTTTCTGCTCAGTCATGGCCAGTCTTGCCGACCTGGGTGGCACTGTTGTTGGGATAGTGCAGCTACTTCATTGGCATTGTCTATGGGATAGCGAAACATAAGAAACCTTGAAAAGATGTCCCTTCAAATAGAGACAGATCCCGTGACCCTGACAAACTCATCTTCAAAATGCTTCCACACCTTGTCCACCGTCCCCTCGTCCCGATACTCTCCCAGCAACTTGATCACCTCTGTCGACGCACTTTCACCATCCCAGTCGACACTATAGACACCGCTGCCCTTTGCACCATCAGTGCCCACAGCAGCCTCGGCATCATTTTCGCTCTTGGCAGGGAATCTTGAACTCAGGCATAACCACGCATGTCTCTCTCCACACTCCTCCTTGGGAACCCACTTTCCCATGACTGTTGTGCCTAGTCGGAAGAATTGCTTGATGAACTGCATCATCAACCCGTCGTCCCTGCGAATCAGATCCGTGTCTACTGAACCGGGGAAGTTGTGGATGAAGGAAACCTCTGGTGCCTGACGGGAAAGAGCTTCAAGGGATAGAGTCAAGGCTGTGCAGAGATGGCCTCGAGCGGACCGGATTTTGTTTGGAAGGTTACGGCCGGCGATGTCATCGAGGAAAAGTTTACCTTCTTTTGTGCCGGCCATGACGGTTACGACCCGGCGGAGAGAGGTGGCTTTCTTGATCAGGGGGAGGAGGTTGACGGTTAGACGGGTGCGTGAGTAGAGGGTGAGCCCGGTGAGAGGGAAGCCATCCGCAGTATCTGTATATGTGAGTAGATGACCTTGATCAAGTCAATGCAAACTCACCAACGCCATATTTGAGCGTTCCTTGACTCATAAACAAGACATTCACAACCGCCTCCTTACTCTTAATATCCTGACAGACCTTGTCTACATTCGCCAACAAGCTCATATCAGCCTGAACAAACTCATACACCCCCTCAGAATTAATGACTTTCAGCTCTCTGAGTAACCGATCACCAGACTCCCGAGACCGGCCGATAAAGTAAATCTTTGGTCTGACCGTGTGCTTGGCGAATGCCTTGAGAGCCGTCTCCCCGATGCCCGCCGTCGCGCCGGCAAAGACGGCGACAAGGCCTGATGGGAGGGTCGATGCAGCAGATGAGTTTGAGTGCTCGACTTCTGAGAGGGACACCATGTTGAAAGTAGTTCAAATAGATGGGCAAGATGTAGCTGTCTTTGGTTGAATAAAGAATGGTAAGGCAGGTAGAAGCACTGCGAATGTAGACCCTTTATACTATTTCTCCCACGACACCTTTTCAGCTCTCTCTTATCAAAACACCTCATCTCGGTAACATGCAAAAACGACTCTGCCGACAAACTCAAGCCATCATCGACCTCAGGGACAATCTGTAAGTCGAATGCCGTCCAGCCGGCTCAATGATGGGCCGCAGCAATACGAAAACCGGTTAGCGCCGGTGGTTAGCGCCCCGTGCCGTTCCGTCATGTCGGAGGATGCGAATGCGAGCTCCGGGAACAAAGGTGCAACTGTTGGGCCGGGGCCCATTATGTGCAATGACGTGAACGATTTTGTACTTTGTGCTCAGACAGCTCGGTTGCACTTGTTGATCCGTTCTAGAATGTCTATAGTGACGTACATGTCTCGACTCTCATGCACCCTGTCTAACCTGCAGATACACCAATGTGAAAACTGAAAGCCAAATTGTATTGAGGCAATAGGTATAGTTATGCAAATATCCCCTCACTATCTTGGGAGTTGCAGCCCACTGCTCACAACGTCCATCTTGCTATCCATCCATCCATCCAACCATCCAACCATCCCTCCCTTCATGCGCCCCCCGTGTATCGACTTCAAAAACAAAACGCCATGTCCTCCAGCCTGACTCAAATCAGGCCCACTCCCTTTCCAAGGGTAGCCGTGTCGTTGTCTGGTTGCCGTTGGTACAAGAGAAACAAAGTATAGTACGTACAAAGGAAATAGTAGTCGGTAGGATGTGTTATGTCCATGTTGGTCTCGTATCGTCTCGTTGTCGTTCGGCCACGTCCGATAGGCCGCATGATGCATTATGAATACCGCTCATCAAAAGTACAGATCCCCCCCAGATGACATGTCGTAAACGAACCCCTTCAGATAATATCAATTGCCAAACAACAACCTCGTACAGTCTGTTCCACCTCACCCTCACCCTTACTGCTCGGGCCGAGGAGGCTGGGCTTGCCAACCGTTGAGGTACGCCATCAATCCCACGCCAAACAGAACCACACCGATCATCGAGGCATAGGGCAGTCCAGCGTGCAGGTGCTTTTCCTGTGCAAGGGCGCCCTTTTGAGGACTCGATGGAGTGATTGTGTTGGCCCGGGACAAAGTGGGCGCATCAGAGGATTCGTCGTTGACAGCTGGCTCAACAACTCCTGCCTTCTCATCGATGTCTTTAGCATCTTCTGTGGCAGGGGTCTGCTCAGTGACAGCAGCTTCGGCCTCGGAATTTCTTCTCCTCGACCTGGAGCGAGCCCTCTTCTCTGCCTCTTCTCGCAGAGCTTCCTCAGCACGAAGCTGAACAACCATCTCAGCCAGCGTCTTCCTATCAGCGTCTCGTTCTGACTCGGCCATCTCGCAGCGTTGCTTCCACTCTTCCATCTGCTCCTTCATGTCTCGCATCTGGTTCTCCATAATATCGATGCGGGCTTGAAGAAGGGTGGCAGTCTCCTGAGCTGCATCAACAGCGGGGGTTGTCTCCTCCACAACTTCTGGTGCAGGGATCTCGGGAACAACCTCCTCAACGGCCTCAGGCTCCTCAGGCGTTTCCAACTCCCCAGGGATGGCTGATCCGTTCATATGAGAAGTTGCTGATTCCTCTAGTCTCTTAGCCAACTCCTCTGCCTCTTCACGAGCAAGTCGTTCCTTTTGCAGCATTTCTTCGAGTTCACGCATACGTGCGGTTTGAGAGTCGATGTCTCGCTTGGCATTGTTCAGGGCCTCGGTAAGCTGGACGATCTGGCTGAGATTATCTGGCCGGATGGGCGAGGTGTTGGGTGGTCCTGACTTGGGTCGCTCGGTGGGACCACGCTTGAGAGAGGGTACATCGGGCTTCTCAGGAAGAGGTTGCTGAGGAGGAGGTGCGGGAGGATCAGAGAATCGAGCCTTGGGGTCTGTACGGAACGGTGTGCCCATGCCATTAACAATGGGCTGAGGCTTGGGAGGCTCAAGGCCCTCTGGCTTGTCGAGATCCTTGAGGTCGTCCTTGGATAATAGAGTGTGAACGAACTGGTTCGTCCGGCCCAGATCCTGCGCCTGGAGACGAGCGTTTCGCATTTCGTTCTAGCCAAGTTAGTTAACAGTCGCTTCTGTGTTTCATTAGACATACCGCAAGCCGTTTGAGGATCTGATCAGTGGCAACTGGGGTTAGAAAGAAAGGCCGTTGTTGAGGCATGCCATTAGCCTGCATGTTCATCATGCCGCCGTTGGGCATCATCCGACCATTGCTGGCCATCGAAGCATTGCTACCGGCCCGGCCACGCATCTGAGGTCCTGAAGGCATCATCATTGCGCCGTTGGCCGGGTCGAGATCTCCAAAGTTCATATCCAAAACATTGCTCGAAGCACTTAGAAAGCCAGCGTGTTCAACCTTGGCAGCAACCTTGTGATGAACAACAGTTTTCTGGTCCTCACTGACGATGTCGATACCGAGTTCGAGGTGGTCCGAAGTCTGCAGTTCATGGGGCTCTGATTCGCGATTTTCCTGGGATAGACGAGTTCCATTGACAAAAGTTCCGTTTGACGACTTGACATCTCGGATATAGATCTTGCCGTTACGCTCCGCATAAATCTCAGCATGCTGTCTCGACAGCACTTTACTGTCAAAGAAACCGTTGGTGGGGGTCGGGATAGTCTTTTGGTTCGTCTGGCGGCCAATTCGAAGGCTCTCGGGAGCAAAGGGAACAGCAATAGTCTTTCGTTCAAAAGTTCCGTTTAGAGAAAGTAGATATAATACCGGCTGGCCCGGAGGAAACTGCTCGGCGGTCATAGGTCGCATCATGCCTTGCGGTGACATCTGGACCTGGCCAGGACCGGCCTGAACAGGCCCATGGGCCATCATACCGGCTCCTCGACCGGCAGGAACCCGGGAGAGATCTTGCTGGAAATCACCCTTCCCTGCGGGCCAGGGGTTCTTGGGTTGAGGCCGTTTTCGAGGCGCACCGTTGGCCGACCATTGGCTCAGATCCGTAGTCGACGATAGAGGAGTTCCATTGGTGTGGGAGCCGTTCGTAGCAACTGTGGTGGTGGAGGAGTTGGACGAGGTTGAAGAGACGGAGGAGGACGAGTTGGACCGCGTCAAGGTTTTGCGCGGCATGAACATGCCCATGCCGCCTCGGGCTTCGTCTGAATTCATTTGATGATGCCCGTTAATCGCCCATGCTGGTCGTGAGATCGGAAAATTGGGCGGGTTGGCGACTGCAGTCATAGGGATGATGTGAGGCACGAGGGCAGAATGCGGCCGATGGACGGAAAGGTCAAGGATTGATGAGATGGCCGGTTCTGGAAGTGGGAGGTGTGCGGCTCGCGCCTCGCCAAGTTCGCTTCGTCACTCCACTACTGGTCGGAGACAAAACGAGTGCAGCAACGGCTCGAAGACGGGGACAGTGCGTTGGAAAGGATGCGCTCGCTGAAAAAATATGCAAGACGACGCCGATATACTAAGTGGAGAGGAAAGCTGGTCAGTTCGTGGCTGGGAGAAAGGATTTGGCGCCGAGGAACAAGTTGGATTGGGCAGGCCGCCTGACCGGAACGGGTCATCAGGGGCCGACAAACTCGCCAGGGATAGCCCAGAGGGTGCAGAACTCACCAAGCACGAGGGTATCGCGATGTCGGAAGGGGTTTCGCGTCGCAAAGTCGATGGGCGGGAGACGGAAAGGCTGTGAGTGAGCTGATGGGAGGTTGCAGTAACAGTATGGGGGAGGTCTGTCCGCCCGTCTCGCTAAGCGCTGCTTGGCGTGTTGAAATTGGGGCCCCGGCACAGGCACACGGAGTACAGAGCACGGAGTACAGTGGAGCACACGCCCAAAGACTCTGGCATGTGCTCACTGCTCGCAGCTCGCATATCCCCAGCACCACGCAACAAGAGGCTGCAGAGTAGCAATCGAGACGGTCCTGGAGCCTTGGGAAGAGCGTCAGAAAAACAATGCACAATCAAATCCCTCTTGCGAGTCGGTAGCCGCGCTGTGGAGCCTTCTCTTGACCCACGAAGGTAGCCACGTGATGACTTCTACACAGTGTATCACCCCCTAAGCCGGAGAATCACGGGCACTGTGAGGGAGGCGTTGGTCCGTGCTACCAAATTCAGTTTTCTCGCTCCGACTTTTCGCCGAGTCCGTCTTTGAGAGGGCCATTGAGCCAATCAGCGACTGGTTGTAGAAAGTCATGGTTATTGTCCCGCTACGCTCACAACCCGGCGCAAGAGAGCTTCAACTGATCCAAGACTTGCGACAACGAACGATAAATCTCGTCCACCGTTTCGACGACAGCTTTCCATTGAGCTTCGAGTTTCATAGACGCCGTACCTCTAGTTCAACATGCCTCCCGTTGCGCCCATCAATGCCGGCCAGCATGGCCCCTCCAACATGGAAAAGTGTATGCTAGTCATCTGCCTGGATTGAAGACGTCTGACTGACATTAACTTTGCAGTCAAGATGGGTGCCATGATGGGTGGAAGTAGGTTCTCCAAATCGATATGGGAGAGGCAAATCTAACATGATACCAGCTGTTGGTGTTATCATGGGCTTTGTATTCGGTGCGTCCCCTCCATCTGTCTCTGAATACTTGCTGACGTCGACTAGGCACCGTCAACATTTTCCGATACGGAGCTGGCCCCAACGGAATCATGAGGACTCTGGGCCAGTATATGCTCGGATCCGGTGCCACCTTTGGGTATGTCAGCCTCTTCTCGCATCCCACTCAATGCTCACCAGATCTCCCAGCTTCTTCATGTCTATCGGTAGCGTCATCCGATCCGATGCCGACCCCAAATTGCACGAAATGTACATGCGAGCGCAGCGACGACCCATAGTGAATATGGCCAACCCCGCTTGGAGGAAATCATGAGAGCGGCCAAGATGATCTGAGACGAGAGCAATACCCAGTCAACTTCGACAACCACCCTGTACAGTCTGGCCTTTGATGGCCGCATTCTGTAATATACATATCAAGTCTTCCAAGTTGGTTCTATCGTGCTGCAGTTGGGCTATGCCGTCGGGCGAAACAAAACAAACCACTCAGCGAGGGGTGTCTCATGCGAGGCCCTTTTGTCGGCCTGTCATACCTTGCAGACCGCTGCTTTCTGGGATCAAGTAGTCCAATATGGCAAAACAAGACAAGAGCTGAAGATATTACATGATTGACACAGCTAGATAGGCGGCAGGACAGCTGTGGCGCTCAAGTTGAGCCGTCAATCAACCAGGTTGCATTCCACGGTCAGGATCGACGCCATGACACCCGTGATCCGGCATGCCGACCTACCCCTCGGCCGTGGATACGAGGTCTGGAGCGTTGGTGGTGCAGCGCGAGCTTGCCGGGCTGGGAGCCGCTGGCCGCTTAAGGTTTCCACATGCTCAGCCCTTCGGCCATGCGATCTTCAACAATGCATTTGATGGCCTATTTCCTCATGGGTTTCCTGCAGAAAAGCAATCCTTTTCTGCTTACTTGCTAAATGGCTCTTACACCATCCCTTTGCGATTGGTTCTGCTGTGGTCAACTACCGGGGATGAGTCGAGTGTGGCAGCTAAGGACCGACGCGACGTTGCACAACCTTATGCATATTGGACGGCGACGCTGAGCTGGGAGTCCTGTCCCTGAGGGATCATTCTCTCGCCAGGTTGCACGAACTTTTGATGCTTTGCTTTGATGAGGATATTATCATGTCCTAGTGGCGCTGACAGGCTGACTCTGACTCGGCCATGCGATTGGGGGCTGGCTTACAGATGTCTACACGATCAAGCTCAGGTCCGGCCTTCGGCAATTGACGCCTCAAGCTTTCTTCAGCCTTGGATAGGTATCACCGGCTTACAATGCAGTTGGACTATCGCGACCTCGCCACACGGGCGACATGCAGCGGCGCCTCAATGCACCCCAGTCATCCCCGGGCTTGGCTGATCTTGACCACCAGGCTGAAAGATTGAACATCCTGCATGATACCGGCTGACTCCACTGCTCTCCAGGGACGGCATGCCGTCAGACCCCACTGGCGGTGTTGAGATTGTCTCTTACCTGAATCTTATACGGTCCACACAGCTCCAAGATGCGTGATGAGCTGGCGCTAGCTTATCGTGCTTCCTCTCGACGTCACAGTGAGCGACCTTCACCACCAACATGTTCGTGTTGTTTTGGGGGTTACTAACAAGCTGAGCCCCATTGGGCCCGCTTGTTTCTTTACTTGGAGATAGAAACGGCTGGCCTGAAACACTTAGCTTGCCGTGCCGTCCAGAACGACTCAGCTGCTTTGATTAAGCTCTCCCCGGCCAAGGACATCCTGGAGGAGGATCACCAGCCGTTGGTCGAATATCGGGTCCTGAGATCCGTGTCTTAGTTATAGATCTCGTGTCTATTTCCGCATGCCCAAGGCTCAGCAGCCTCGAGTTGCCGATATCATCACGCCCACATCCCGGGAACAAGCACACCATCCTCATGGCGCCATGAGAGTTTACCCAACAACATCTGATAGGATAATCTGCTTGATTCTCATCTTATTGGTGTGCTGACTATCACCGTGCAGCTTCACCTGATGCATGATGGGCCTCGCCATGTGGCTCCACCACCACCACCATTCGCATCTTCAACGCCTTTATGTGTACAGGTCCAATTTTGGAGATTCTGACAGGCCGTGCTCAGGATGACCGCTCTCAGCCAAAAGCTTCAATGTCCTGATTACAGCCTTACCGAGGAGGAGTGCAGCCAAGCCACGGCTCCTCGGCACATGCAGAGCTCCGAGACGGGAGAAATCCTTCCTCGTGGCTTTCCCGTCCAGGCTCTCCAGCAGAGGCCCGTATCAAGTCAGACGTATATAGATGGAAGCTTTCCTCCGCTGAAAGAGTGATCTGATTCAACCCAGACTCACAGAGACTGCCTCTCAACTCGTTCTCAAGATGGTTAACAGCGGGACTTTCAATCTGAAAGGTCTTGGTAAACTGAGCCAGAAAAAGACCAATGGGTAAATCCCACCTTCTCTGATGCTTCCATGAATAGATTGACTGATCTGCATACAGCAAATCTCTGCTTGGCACCCTGCTTGCACCACTGCTGCCGTTGTTCCTCACTGACAACCCTACCCCCAATGGCTATCCATGGAGCACCTTGACCTCTCACACCAACTACTACGAGGATCACCCAAACACGGGTGTGATTCGGAGGTATGACTTTTCCGTCAGCCGGGGTACAATCGCCCCGGATGGATACGAGCTTCCCGTTATTCTCGTCAACGGACAGTTTCCCGGGCCCACCATCGAGGCCAACTGGGGCGACACGATTCAGGTGACAGTGAGCAACGACATTGAAGACGAGGGTCTTGCCTTGCATTGGCATGGCCTCCAGCAGAAGAAGACGCCTTGGGAAGATGGCGTCCCCGGTGTAACGCAGTGCCCTATCCCACCTGGAGAGAGTTTCACCTATCAATTCGTGGCTGACATGTACGGCACCACATGGTATCACTCTCACTACTCTGCCCAATACTCTGCTGGTCTCTTTGGTCCCCTGGTCATCTACGGTCCCCGTGAAAAGAAGGACTACGATATTGATGTTGGTCCTGTAATATTGAGCGATTGGTACCACAAGGAGTACTTTGACCTCGTGGAGGAGACCATGCAGCCCAACGCCCCAGGCCCCGTTTTCTCAGACAGTAACCTTATCAACGGCAAGATGAACTTTAACTGCTCCAACGTGGAGAAGGGAGACAAGACGCCATGCAACAACAACGCTGGCATATCCAAGTTCCGCTTCAAGCGCGGCAAGACGCATCGCCTGCGCCTCATCAACGCCGGAGGCGAGGGTCTCCAGCGCTTCTCCATCGACGAGCACACCATGACGGTCATCGCCAATGACTTTGTGCAGGTGCAGCCCTACGACACAAAGGTGGTGACACTCGGCATCGGGCAGCGCACAGATGTGCTTGTCAAGGCCGACGGCGATCTAGACGCCTTCTGGATGCGCTCCAACATCTCTACAAAGTGCAGCCTGTCACACGCCCCGGACGCCGTGGCGGCCATCTACTACGACGGCGCCGACAAGGACAAGCCCCCCGAGTCGCAGCCGTGGGACGCCCCGGACCCAGGGACGTGCGCCAACGATGATCTTGAGCTCACCAAGCCTGTCATGCAGCTGCCACTGCCAAAGGCCGACCTGACTCTTGACCTCGATATTGAACTGTTTAAAAACGCGAGCAATGTTACGCTGTGGAAGTTTGGGGGTGTTGACTTTAGGGCCAACTACAACAGCCCTACGCTGCTGCTGAGCAAGTTGGGTAACCACTCATTCGAGGAGCAGTGGAACGTGAAGAACACGGGAGACGCCAAGAGTGTGAGGGTCAATGTTATAAACAAGACACCTGTCTCGTGAGTATTATCATGTTTCACTGTGGGCTATATCTAACACTGTTTGTCTCTAGACACCCGATGCATCTGCATGGTTTCAACATGTATGTCCTACATGAAGGCCCAGGCACTTGGGACGGCACCATCATCAACAAGCACAATCCCCAACGACGTGACGTTGTCCAATTACAAGCCAACGGACATTTAGTGATACAGTTTGACGCAGCAGAGAATCCAGGTTGGTACCACTTCCCCCGTCCTCTCTTACATGGTGCTCACACATATTCCAGGCGTATGGCCCTTTCACTGTCACATAGCCTGGCACGTTTCTGCAGGATTCCTGGTGCAATTCCTCACGAACCCGGACAAGGTCGAGAAGCTACGGATCCCCAATGTAGTGGCTGAGACGTGCCGGCAGTGGGGATCGTGGACGCTTTCGAATATCCCGGCGCAGATTGATAGCGGGCTGTGAGGGTGTTCCTGTTGTGTATTTCTCTTCTTTTCTTTCTTCCGTACTTCTGTTACCATTCGTGCGACGATTTGGATATAATTTTGATCTTATATAGCCCCCAGTGGTGCAATTTCATTATACCTACACTTGATATCATACCACCAACATCTCCCTAGTACTTGACGTGACAATCTTGACCTTGAATTCCGCCTGGCTATTCTATCTACAGAGTTGTACCTACCTAGTTAAATCATTCCTTCTATGTGACATTTCCCATCGCCTTTCGTGACCAACAAAAGAAAACTCATCCAGTCGTCTATCATCTACGTATGATGACAGTGTATCATTGCTTTTCCCCACCCTGACATCTTTTTTTCTCATGAATGTTCCTAAACGCGTGTCCGTCGTGACTCTTGTCTAAAAGAGGGTTACTATTTGGATTCTTCCTTGACAGTAGCAGGCTCTGCTGGCTGCTCTTGGGGTGATTTGGCGTCTTTTAGCGGTTGAGTCTCTGTCGTCGATGGCTCAACCTTTGATTCGGCCTCAGGCACCTTTGGCGACTCTGTCTTGGTTGGTTCCGCCTTGACCTCCTCCTTGGTCTCTGCTGGCGCTGGCGCTGAGATGGTGGCCGGCTGATATGAAAGAACATTGTCGGGCTTCTCTCCATCAACCTCCTTTGTGGGCTCAGTCTCTGGAGATGCTTCTTCCTTCGCATCGGCCTTGGTATCATCGTTAATAGCGACCGCCTCCACCTCAGCTGCCAAACGCTCAACCTCGTCCTCAACCTCATCCTCATTTCTGCCCCTTAGCTGTCGCTCCGCCTCTTCATCTCCGACGGTATCTCTCCATAGACGCTCAAGCTCGTCTCTCCAGCCAAGCGCATCGGCGAGCTTACGGATACCGTCGTCACAGGCGCCAAGCTCAATCACATCATCTGAACGGTTGCCAATCATGCCGACACGCTCCATGTTGAACAGCACTCGAGGCTTGTCCTCTTGCGCCATACCGGGGAGGGCAGCGAAGGGGTAGACGGTCAAGCTGGTGCCGATGATGAGCACCAGATCCGCCATGGCCACATTGTGGACATTGTTGTCAAATGCCTTGGGGAGCGACTCGCCAAAGAATACAATATCCGGCTTGACGAGCCCGTTGCAGCCGGGCTCTCCGCAGTGCGGGACCTTTCCACCAAACACGTGCTCCTTCATCTTGTCGTCGGGGAATTCGGTCTTGCACTCGATGCACCGCTGTGTCGCAAAGCTACCATGGGCCTCGATGATCTTGTTGGAGGGAACGCCGGCTACGCGCTCGAGGCAGTCAATGTTTTGGGTGAAGAGCATCTGGAGGAGGCCCTTGCGGGCGAGGAGGGCGATGAAGACGTGGGAGACGGTGGGGTGAAATTTCCCGGGGTATAGCTCGTTGGCGAGGACGTAGAAGGGCTCGGGATGGCTACGGAAGTAGGAGATGTCAAAGACGGCTTCGGCGTAGGGAAGGTTGAGGCGGGCGAGGTTGGCGTAGAGGCCTGTCTTTGGTGATCGAAAGTCGGGAACTAACAAAGAGGTTAGAGTCGCTTCCACAGAGTAAAGCTTAAATAAGAAGATACATACTTCCAGCGGCAGTCGAGATACCAGCGCCGGTCAATACAACAATCCTCTTGTCGCGACCCGTCTTGATGTACTCTGCGACAGCGGCCAGGCTCCTCTCAGAGAGGGCCTTTGGCGGGCCGCCGAAGCTCATGGAGGACTCGTCCTGACCCATCTTGCGAGCGAGCCAGCGAGGGACACGGGGTCCGGGCTTATTCTTGTTGCGGCGTCTTCGACCTATCTTGGCGGTGCCCAGGCAAGGGCAAGGGATGCAGAGTCTATTTGCGATGGTGGGCGCGGATCAGCAGAGGTACAGTAGGTTGCGAAAACAGAGAGGGATTGTCAGGGCGGGGTGGTGGAGTTACATCATCTTTTTTCTTTATCGATAAGATGTCAATGGATGGATGCCTGTAAGTGCTTGCTGACTGCCTGCCTACAGGCAACGACAGAGTGTTCAAGGGGCAGCAAGGCTGGAGACATGGAGCTGTTGCTGTTGCATTACGTTGCATGGCTCCTTTATCTTTCCTTGTCTCTGGTAGAGTTGGCTAGGTCATGATTGGGTCGTGGCGAACGAACTGGTGTGCCAGAGTCATGTAACCGTGTTTAACCAGGCAACCCCAACTCATGTCAACGCTCAAGACCAAGGAACGCCGTCAAATCAACAACCTGATATTCGAGCCCCGAACCACGCCGGGTAGAGCATGACGGAGATTCTAAAAGCGAAAGTGATAAAGAGCCAACCCGCTCCCAGATAACAAAACCCAAGGGTCCTACCAGTCCAGGTCCAACCCAGTTCCTGTACGTCAACGCCTAGCAATGCCCAAATAATGATTCCCTTTCCCATCCATCTTGTACATTTGCAACTAGCCATGGCGTTCTCTCGCCGCCGCGAACTGCTCTTCCTGTAGACGAGCCAACTCCTCCATGGACATGCCACTGCTGGCGAACTTGTCCGCCTTCTTCTCTCGGCCCTACGTCATGTTAGTGAGAGACGGACAAGAAAGGGCAGACAATGCGAACCTTTTGGACTTCTTTGTGCTCGGCTGCTGCCTCAAGGACAGCAGGGACGTAGTCGGTGAAGCCTAGTTGCTCGAGAGCCTTGGTGATGTGATCGCAGGCAATGGTCTTCTTGGCCTCCTTCTCTGAGATTTCGTTTGCCTCGGACGAGATCAGGGTGATGAACTCGACACAGCACTCGATGAGAAGGTCGCGGGCCTCCTTGGCAAAAGCCACGCCTTCTGAGGGGGGTAGAATTTCTGAGACAATCTTTTGGACAGTGGCTGTAAGAATGTAAGTAATAGGAAAGCGTGGGGAGAAGATTCTGGCATACCTTTTGGGAGGGAGAGGTCGTCATTGCCTATTTGGAGAAAGAGGGTTAGCGGGATGTTTCCAAGTCAAGGATGAAGCGCAGACTCAGTCCGGCGTCGATTCTCGCCCAGTACTTGTCGGATGCAGGAATGTGGGGAGCCATGATGTAGAAAACAAAGCAATAGTCAAAGATGCGATGCAGTTGGGGGAGTTGTGCTTGAGAAAGGATGAATGGTGAAAAGTGATGTTGTAGGTAGAGTCCTTAGGTGAGTATGTGTGCATGTGAAGAAAGATGTCAAATTGATAGACAGCGTAAATTGAAGCCAACATGGAGGATGCAGATGAATAAATAGTCAAAGAATATGTAGAAGTGATTCAGTGTTGGCTTCAACAACAGTGACGCATCGCATTGTGGTGATGTCCACGGGTTACGATGGAGTCAAGATATGCATGCCGGATGAGGGCGCATGCAACGACAAACAAGACAAAGAACAGCATGACCAGAATAACGTACCTCCAAACTCGTGATCGGACATGATTTCAGTGAAGCGAGAGGTGGAAAAGTCGTCGGATAATGAGGCGTTTGCGGGAAAAGTTGAGGATCCAGTATCGAAATGGAAGAGATATACAACTCCCAGGTGACAGACGCGATCAGAGTGTGAGCGGTGACTGAGCGGATGTGGAACGCGATGACGGTGGAAAAGAAGACAAACAAAGATGACAGGAAGACGGGTGAAATTATAAACAAGAGTGACTGAGATGCGGGTATCTGCCGGTATATACTCGTTTGTTCCGTGAGAGTTTGCTGCAACTTTTTTTCCTTGGTGTTGACGGCTCACAATGCAAAGCTTCAGGCTTGAGAGGGACGATTTTCAGACGGATGGTTGCTCATGGTCCATGAGTGGTGGGGCAAGCCGCTTTTGTATGTGCGAGCTGCTGCGGCCCGGGGGAGGGAGAGGGAGGGGAGGGGCCAGTCCAGGCCAGGCTCATGCGCCGCCGCGCTTGATGGAAAGCCCAGCCCAGCCCGGCTCGCGATCAGGTTCCATTCTTTTTAGGGGCCAACCAGGACGTGGCCAGGACCGACTCCACTAAGACTGAGATCAAAGCCTCATAACCCAAGGCCTGCCAGTGGTTGAGTGCACGCTGTCCTTGGAAGCTAGCTGAAAGGGCCTTGAAAAAAAGGTGTGGATAGAGGGGGCTGAAAGGACCTCACGCGCCACACCTTGTTGCCTCGAGCGGCGCGTCTGCGGTGCACGGACCAAGTCTCGCGCATGCATTTTCTTCGGCCAAAATTTCCAATCTGAAAAAATTCCTTTCTCTTCATCATCACTTTCTTTCCTTCTCTGTCTACAATCCAGACAGAGACCACGTCTCCTGACGGTCTCTTCTGCGACAATGGCCTTGAGTCTCTCGCATTGCTATCTTTCAATCTCTTGCTCTACATTCCTGCCAACAATGAGCTGCCGCCTTGAGTAAGTTGCCTCGATCCCTTTTGCCCAGTCGCATCGCATGAAGAGACAAGTTGTCGCCCCAGTCTTAGAGGTCCGACAAGCCTCGGTGCTGATTGACTTCGTCTTTGCCAAAAGACATTTCTGATTGATTCCAATTCTTTGTCCTTTTGAAGCTTGATTCCATCTGTTGGACATGGCTAACAAGAAAAAAAGTTCAGGCCGGCGCTCTTGTCCATGCTGTAAGAACCCTTTCAGCAACGACCCTCCTCTCGACCCTGCTGTGATGCTTGCTATGTACTATCAAATACCGACATCTTATGACGGATACATTCGATAGCCTGAGCGCATTCGATACCACAACTTTGTTGAACTCTGTTGGAGGCTATGGAACTGACAGGAGAAAAGAGCATTGCCTGAAAGATCCAGACGCCATTCTACGCGTGTCACATCAGCCATCAGGTAAGAACGAACATTTTTTCTTTTCTCTCAACACCTCATCAAATGCTATGATGAAGAAACTTACATTCCATGCTAAATCCGAATGTCCATGTGGAGCAAACTAAGAGCTTTTCATCTTTCGCCTGACTTGCATTTGTCTATTTACCTTTTTGCTTGTTTCAAATCTTGTCAAGACATAAAGCTAACATGTGCTTGAGTATCCAGGAACCCTCTTCTACCTTCCCAAGCTGTCTCTACTCTTGATACGCCGCAACTTCTGGTGAGTTCCATCTGCATAACCGTTAGCTGTCGATCCTACAGCATGTCGTGAAACGTACGTAAAGAATTTTCCGCTCAGAGACTTGAGCGGGTCTGCCACGAACTTGGCCATGACATGTCCCGGCTGCTCCGGCTTGAGCAGGGTGCCCTTCTCCTTGGCCTCGGCAAAGGTAGCGTACTGCGCCTCGTCCATGCTATCCTTGCCTTCGGCCCTCAAAACGCCCTGCATGTCAGTATCGACTCGTCCCGGTGCGACGGCTACACTGGTAATGTCGGGCTCCTCGAGGGCAAGGTGGGCCGAGATGGAGTTGTAGACAGCTTTAGATGAACCGTAGCTTGCCCATCCCTTGTAGTGTTTTGTTGCTGCCCCTGATGACACCCACACGATGCATCCCTTGGACTTTCGGAGCTCGTTCAATGCTGCTTGAGCCTGGCGTATGTCAGCGTAGCTCTCGCAGATGTGTCAGATGGCTAGATCTTACTATGGCAATGCCACTAAACACATTGACGTCGTAAATGTGTTTCCACTCCTCGGCGGTTGTGTCAGCAAATCTCTTAGGAGCCAAGAGGCCATGGTTGATGACAAGGCCGTCAATCTTGCCAAACGATGACACAGCGAGTTCCGTCAGCTTGGTGGACATCTACTATGCTGTCAGCCTCTCGCTTTGAGAGCAAAGCTTTTGTCCCAACCTCAGGGTCGACAATGTCTCCCGCGATGAATTGGACCTGATCAGGATGCGACTTCTTGAATCCCTCAAGCGGCTCAGAAGATCGAGCCGTGACAACCACCTTGTGGGATTGTCCCAGGAGGTATCGGGTGATGGCGGCACCAATGCCTTTACTGGCACCTGTGACAATAAAAACCTTGGAAGACATGTTTGTGGTGGTTGGTGTAGTGTAACGGCGCCTCACGCAAGAATTATTTTTTCGTGAGTTGGCTGAGTCGAAAGCTTCAGCAAGAGGTGGGGGTTCAGTTTGAATGGCGGGGTCATTTCTGGAGCTTCACTTGGGTTGCCTTACCCTGTATGGTCACAAACGTCATCGGGGGGCTGCTACTGCATTGAGCTTGTAGCTTGATGGCGTCTTTTGTCAGCTGAGAGGCCAAACTTCGACAAACCCTTTATACTTTAATATTCTCTACGCCTTTTCTTTTCATCCGATGGCTACGACTGTGATTGTTGGAAGCGGCATCATTGGCATCGCGACGGCGTACTACCTCTGTGAACATCAACCTGGCTGGTCGATTCACGTCGTCGACTCTTCTACGGAGCTCTTTGCCTCGGCGTCGGGTTATGCCGGCGGCTTCATCGCCAAAGACTGGTTTCCGCCGGAACTTGCGTCCCTGGGCGCTCTCAGCTTTGAGGAGCATGAGAGACTCGCGGAGAAGTACGATGGGCATGAGAAGTGGGCGTATGCCAAGTCGGTGACGGTGAATTATGAGCCTCCGAGGAGGAAGGCTAATGGACCTGGAGGTGAGGATTGGTTACGTGAGGGAGGTAGCAGGGTAGATTTGGTGGCGGAGAAGAGAGATGTTGAGGATGGGAATAGTCCGCCTTGGTTGAGACGTGTCAAGGGTGATGCTGTTAGTGTGGTTGACAATGCTGAGGGGACGGCTGTTCTGTAAGTCGAGACATGACAGTTATGAGTATATTACTGACGTGAAAGAAACATAGTGACCCCATCAGACTCTGTCAGTTCCTCCTAGGAAGGTGTCGAGCTGCTGGTGTCCGATTTCACCATCCTGCAGTCGTTCTCAACGTTGGACCTGACTGCCATGATGAACTCTCACATGTCCGCATCGGCTTCACCGACTGCTCCTCCGAGACTGAGATCCCGGCCACAAGGGTTCTGGTCAGCGCCGGCTGCTGGACGCCCGAGGTTTTAGAGTCTATGTTTCCAGGTTCTGGTATAAATATACCAGTGTTAAGTCTTGCGGGCCATTCACTGGTTGTGCGGAATCCTGGAGATGTGGGTGATGTGTATCACTCGCTGTATTGTAGCTTGGATGATTTCTCTCCAGAGATATATGCTCGACCGAACGGCGATATCTGGCTGGGAGGCGTCAACTCTGCTATACCGCTACCACCTTTAGCTACGGCTGCAAAACCTATGCGAGGGCCTCTGGAGAAGTTGAAAGCTACGGCGAGACAACTGATCAAGTCGGAGGGTGAGCTGGAGGTTGTTCGAACTGGGCTGTGCTTCCGGCCTGTGACGCAGAGGGGCACGCCGTACGTTACGCGGGTGGAAGATGTAGATCTAAGACAAGGGTACAGGACGAGAAAAGGGGCCGATGGAGGCGTGTTTGTTGCGGCGGGACATGGGCCTTGGGGGATTAGTCTGTCGCTGGGGACGGGAAAGGTCATGGCGGAGATGATGCAGGGGAGGGAGCTGAGCGCTGATATAAGTGGTTTGGGATATCTACCATGAGGAAGGGCGTACTCCAAACTGGATAATGATTGAATAAGGATACCCATTTGATGTAACAGAAATCGGATTTGAGCGCGAATGACTCTGTGGTCTACCCGAGGAGACGATCTCGAAGCCTCTTGATATCCTCACTCCTCGCCTTGCAGCATCCACCAACAAGAATGACAGGCCACTTTCCCCGGCTCTCTGTAGCCCTGACAACGCTCTCGACTTGAGACTCCCACGATGAGCGCACCTGGTCCTTGGCGTCGTCTAGCAGCTCCCATTTTTGCGTTGTTGTGTTGTACACTTCTCCATTCGTGCCATCGGGGTACAGAACCAGTGCAGGCCAATCATCCAAGCGGCCTTGCTCGATTAGACGCGCAACAGTTGATTCGAAAATCTGTAGGAGGCGATCGAGCTTGTCGACCTTGGTGCAGTTGATGCCGATGCCCCAGGGCGTCTTTACAGAGACGCTGCTATCTAGCATGGCCTCGACGGCGGCTTCGATAGAGTTTCCATCGGGAAGTGTCAAGTCGGAGCCAGGGGAGAGACAGGAAGTCCAATAAGGTAGATCTGAGAGAGCTGGTGTTGCGGCGAGAGCTTTGCGCATGGCGATAATCTCATCGACTCTGGGGATGGTTTCTAGCGCAACATGGCTCACTCTCTTACCAACGTCTGGAACCTCTGCAAAGAGGCCCAGACGCTCACGATGCCACTCCTCAAGTGTCGATTCTGAGTCATGAGCGTCGTCGTATTTGCCGCTGTACTCTTGACTCGGAATCAAGCACGCGCCGTACGGTCCATAGCTCAAAGCAACCTGCGCCTTGTCACCCACGGCTCGCTGCGCAATATTCACAGCATCATCCAGAAAACGCGGAACCGTATCGCGACCAATCCCATCAGGAAACTCTTCAGTCCGAGTATCAGCGAACCCCTTGGCAGAAACCTGATACGTCGCCGTGAGGAGCACGTCAACAGGCACAGCTCCGAAGTCGCTCTGACAAGATTCAAGAGTCGCGGGATCGGAGATGAGAAGGTGAGAGGACCAGAGAGGCGTGGACCTGGAGAAGGATACGGAGTATTTGGACTCGAGGGACGTGCCGAGGCCGCCGTCGAGGATGAGGGTTTTGGAAGGCATTTTTTTGACTTTGTTGGTGGTGAGTATTGGAGTTTTGAAGATCTTCCCCCGCTCAGGATGGAGATTTAGTGGATAGCCTCAATTACTCACTCTAGCCCGAAGGAAAGCGGTCCTGATTCGTGATGAGTGTGACACATTGTATGTTTTTGTTGTCGAATACTTCCTATATCAATTCTCTTTTCTCTGAAAGATGAACATTAGACTGTCGTTACCCGACGGTTCAAACAACAGGAGATGGCCAGCGCAGATCAGATGTGATTGCGTGACTGCTGTTAAAATCCCTCTTAACTGCTGGCCATCAAGTGTCGCGAATGCCCAATTATTCTTTATTCGAATTAATATGAACAATTCATAGAATCGTCTGGGGCTTTGTGCTGATATCTCTAGATCTCATACCTCTTCACTGGCACATCTCAGTACTGACGGATCTCTCTGACTGACAGGTTTCTGTGCTGAGCGAGAGTAAGATCTTGCTAGCCATGCTGCGACCAAGAAAGATGTGTTGACGTAGATCTATTATTGCAGTCTCTAGGTAGTTATAAGTTGTAAGAACAGCAGCTCTCGTACGTAATTGTGTCCTGAGAGTTTAGATAAGCCCAGATACTCACTATCGACCGTGATAAAAGAATCGCTGTTGTAATGAAGGAATAGTTCATTGGGTTTATAGAATTGGCTTCAATACTTGATGTAAGAAATGGAAAGGAACACCAGACGCTTGTCCTATGAACCTGTTAATACAAGCCCAGGAGCGAGCAAGCAGTCCGGGCCTATCGCGTAGTCATGATTAGGACTGCCAACGGTGAGACTTTCGAACAGCCCTTTCGACAAATCCTGTTTAGGCGCACTAAAGGTCTCGCGACGAGAGTCCCCGGTGTTGGAGTTTCGGGAGAGCGTGGTTATATAAGTCGTCTAACAGTCGGTTGTCAAACCGCTGGGTTGGGATCGCCTATTTCTGGGCAGCTATCCGTAGTTTCTTTGACAATGAGAGGATAAAATCGGGCCAAATAAAGATTGTTGTCTTTCTGCCTGGACGCAATGGCACTGAGCAGCCCCATACCGGCCTTTCCTCCATTTAACCCAAGGAGGTTTCTTGCAAAAGCCCAGACTCACTGATATGAGCCAACTTGATGAAGAATAACACATAATTCTGAGCCAAAAGGTCCTTATTGTCTCGTGAAAGAATAATCTTAAGCAACGGCTCGTTGTATTGATACGCGGCTCAATCGAGCAGTTGTTCAACAGAGTGTTGGAGAGCGAGCTGCCTTTCGAATCCCCGGGCTTAGTGAGGGGATTTTGGCGTTAGAAAAAGAGAGATCTTAGATTGGCCTCACTGTACCAAGACAATCGCCTCTGACGAACCGAGGATATATTTATTGACGTGTTGCGACTATGAGTGTCCGGTTATAGTGCACGCGACACCTTGAACGAACTGTGAGGGATGATGGACAATGATCATAAGCCCTAGTGCTACCTGCATCTCAAAAACCAGGAACCAAGCCTGAAAGTCTTGGATATACGTAACCACTGGAAGGGGGTGGTGGTGATGAGGCCCTCGAGGCGGACGCCTGCATATCCCGATGGTGCACAAGACCAGGGTGTTAACCTGGGGTTACCGGGGAAATGACGCCAGTGGTACGCCTCGATCGAGTTGGAGGAGCATGCGGGTGTCCGGTTCAGCTCTCTTTGTTCAGGGGTGATATGCCACTACCCGTGGCTGAGTATGGGATGTTTACTTCTTTGGGTATCCGTCCGAAGAGCAAGATCAAGGCGATGGCCACGAAATGCGTCAATGGAGTGTAATAATTGGAGTTAAACTTCTTTGTAGCTGATCTGTCATACTTGAACCTCCTCGCTTGCGATTGAGCTCCGTCAGCGCATCCTCAAAATGGACAGAAGCTTCAACCTTGATGGGAGCTGAAAAAGATAAGCTCACACGAACAACAGCCCCACCGCTCGCCGTCGTCAAATAAGGTCGCTGCTAGGGACTCTTCCGGCTAGGGCATCACCAAGGTATCCAAGCCTCAGCTTGAGCTTCAGCCAATGAAGCCCCCGGGCGAGCGTTCCTTGTCTCTACTGGAGTTTCACCCTCCCCTTGACGTGTTCGGCCGCTGTAACTGGCTCCAGTTTTGGGACGAGGGTTGGCAGTGACGCGTTAAATATCGGGGACTGTCCCTGTCGTCATTTGCCTTGCCTTTCTTTGTTCTGTATATCAACTTGTGATGGATTTTTCCGACTTTGAAGAGATTGACCCGATTACTGAGTTTGGCATTGATCATGGTGCTGCTTCGCAGCCCATCCTGCCGCATCGCGCTCACCTTCAAGGTGGACACCCGCCCTGGCAGGGACACGGCGGCAGGTTGATTGGCGTCGTGGATATGGGAAGGTGAGCGATTCCCATGACGTTCCTTGAGTGTCAATCTGACATTGCGACTCTAGCAATGGCATCCGACTGTCCATTTCTGACCTCTCATCGCCTCTGGCGCGTATGCTCCCGACCGTCTGTGTCTACCGGTCTTCCATCTCACTCTACGACTCTCAGTATGACGATGAGACTGGAGAGAAGATTCCCATCCCGGACTCAGTCATTGAGTCTGTTGTTTCGGTCCTGAGCAGGTTTATTGTTGTCTGTGAGGACTTTGGTTGCACAAAGGACAACATCCACGTCATTGCGACCGAAGCAACGCGCGCGGCCGTTAATTCTAAGCAGTTCTTGTCTGCCATCAAGACCAAGACTGGCTTGACTGTGCAGCTTCTTCCCAAGGAGGAAGAGGGCCAGGTTGGAGCCCTGGGTATCGCCAGTGGCTTCTCAAGCATGGAGGGATTGGTTATGGACCTGGGAGGAGGCAGTACGCAGATCACCTGGATGCTCAGCCAGGGTGGCGAGATCCGTATCAGTCCCCGAGGAAGCTTCAGTTTTCCCTATGGGGCTGCTGCTCTGACCAAGAAGCTGGATGACCTTAAGGATGGGAAGAGTAAGGATGAAGCTGACGCCGCTATCAAGGCGTTCAAGGATGAGATGATTGGCAACTTCAAGGACGCATACAACCGCCTGCAGATCCCTGAAGAGCTGACCGAGAAAGCGGAGAGAGAAGGTGGATATCGTATCTATCTCTCCGGAGGTGGTTTTAGAGGCTGGGGATACCTGCTTCTTTACCTCAACCAGTCTCACGGCAGCCATTACCCCATCTCCATCATCAATGGGTACACTGCGCAGCGAAAGCAGTTTGAAGACACCGAGACGCTCAAGCACGTTGCTAAGGCTGCAAAGGACATCTTCCGAGTCTCCGACCGAAGACGATCGCAGGTTCCTGCCGTCGCTTTCCTCGTTAATGTTCTCTCTGAGGCTATTCCCTGGGGTATCAAGGAAGCGCACTTTTGCCAGGGTGGTGTGCGGGAGGGCTTCTTGTTCCGTCAGCTCTCGCCTGATATTCGACAGGAGGCTCCTCTTGAGGTTGCCACGGCGTACTTTGCTCCTGGCTCGCGACATCATATCCAGCAGCTGCTGAAGCATGCGATCCCGAAACCTTCCAAGACCAAGGAGTTTCCTGAAGAGTTTGGGGAGCCTGTCGTTGACTCATTCGCCAACTCGATGTACTTGCACATGTTCATGTCTAAGGAGACCGCCTCGACGACTGCACTTTATTCGACCAGCGTGGGAACAATGTCGTCTATCCACGGTGTCTCACACCAAGATCGTGCTAGGCTGGCGTTGATGCTCGAGTCGAGGTACGGCGGTGAACTGCCACCTCGTGAGATCGAGTTCCGCGAGTCTCTCCGCAAGCTCATCACCCCTGAGGAAGTCTGGTGGGCTGGTTACCTCGGCAGAGTAGGCCGTCTGATCACGGCCCTGTACCCAGCCGGCAAGATCCACAAGTCCAAGCCCCGCGTGGTGTTTTCTGCGCAGTGGTCCTGGAATCTTGGAAAGGACAAAAATGAGGAGGGATTGATCCTGACTATTTCCGTTCAAAAGACCAAGGACGACCCTGCCAAGACCAAGGAGACGATTGAGGACGCTGTTGACGATGTGGAAAAGATTGGCAAGGAGAAGCATTGGAAGGAGGGCTGGGGCATGAAGGTCAAGGTCAAGGTGGTCGAGGAGGGTATCCTGTGATGAGTGAACGAGATACTTTGAGAGACAGGACTCGATATTTAACTCGGTGTGATAATGTCGAGATGGGGCGCTGGTCTGGGGTTTGTACGAGCTGGCAAGGTAAATTGACATGCTGTATACTAAGGAGGGCTCGAATCTGTTAAATTGTAGTGCTATTTAAACCTGTCGCTCGGCGAGTCACACAATGCAATCACCTTGAGAGTAAACGAAACAAGATGGAACTGGAACCGTACTGACTTCGTTTTGTACTTGCCTTACTTGATCATCCAGCGCAGCCACTCAAGCAAATCCTCCAACCATTTCTTGGACACAGATAGATCAGGACAGGTGGTCCAGAAACCATGAGGCAGTCCTTGATAGACGTGCTTCTTGGTGGATAATCCTTCTTCCTGGAGAATCTGATCCAGAAGTAGCGCTTCATCTCGTCGAGGATCCCATCCGCAGATGGCAAAGTAGGCCTTCTTGGCAATATCTGCGTGTGAGTCGAACAACAGAGGCGAGAGACGCTTGTCTTCTGGCGGAGCACCGTACTTTTCTACATAATTGTCAGCTGGGGTTTCCAGTCGAAACTGAAGCGTCTTGGTACCTGAAAAGTAGTCGATTGACTTCCTGGTTAGGCCAGGCGCGTCGTTGATCTCGTCGACGCTCAGGATGCGGTCTAGGTACTTCTTTGGTCGCACATCAGGATGGCAGAAACTACCAGCAAGAAAGACAACACCCGTGATCTTTGGCGAGAGACCTTCGTCGCGGGCCAAGTGCGAGATGCCGGCGGTAAAGTTGGCACCGGCTGACGTTCCACCCAGGATGAAGCCCTTGGCGAGATCGGTGTTGAGTTTGCTTTGACCTTCTGGCGACGCAGCCTAGATGGGAATGTTAGAGGCGAAGGGGTGATTGGTGACATGACTTACCCAGCGGACAATGTCAAAGGAGTCTTCAAAGCCGATGGGGAACTTGTGCTCGGGAGCGAGTCGATACTTGACATTGACAACAACGATGCCTAACTCTAGGGCAATTGCTCGACAAGTTGAATCATCCGTCTCAAGGCCGCCAAAAACGTAGCCGCCGCCGTGCATGTACACCAGCAGAGGGAGGGCATCGTCGCGATTGGCGGTTCGTCTGTACGTGCGGAGCGTGATGGGAGTGTCGTCTCTCACGGGGACGTCAAATTCGACAATGTCTAGTCCTTCCTGCGGAGTGATGGGATCATGATCTCTCGGCATGCCCCGTACTACCTTTGTACCCGGCGGCAGATTGTTTGGAAACTGGATGCTTTAGTAAAGGCCTAGTACTCGTGATGGCCTAACGTACGTCTGTCCATTGAGGATCAGGAGTTGCAAAGTGTCGATATTCAGCCATTGTCAAAGACGATGTAAACGCTTTGTTCACTTCAGTTAACCTGGGTTCGGCGTTTACTTAAACATAGCCTTAGATGACGGCCGATCCCTGCCTCGGCTGGATCACCCGCTCGTAAAACCACGCACTTGTGCTGATCAATCCGATGCTAAGGCTCGTGTAAGGGCTCCACGATGATGAGCGAAGCGGGCGAGATTATCTTATCAGATCAAGCATCGACGTTGCAGCCATCCCCACCAAGGGCCTTGCTGGGTCTAGTTGGAACCTTTGAGCGCTGCTTGGGGCCCGTTTTGGTGGATGACATCTCCACTGGAAGGAAGCTTGGCGGCCACGAGGGAAGTTCATGATGGGGCTCTTGGTGCGTCGGACACTATGTATGCACGTGGAGAGGATCTCTGTGTCATTAAATTGGGCCTTGATTGACGGCTGGCCATGATGCCATGTGTACTTTTGCCTTGAAGCTATTCACACCCCGTCACCTTGCCCGAGTTGGCCACCATTGACTGCCTCAGACTCAATCACTCTGTTGCACCCTCCTCAACTCTTCCTTTTTATGTAATGAGTCATTGATTCGCGATTGTTTGTCCTTTCGTCCTATGTACTGTTCATCCTGGGCACAAACTGGAAGGACCATCTCGCAGTTGTCGTCCTCTGGAGCGTTTTTGCTTGCATGTCGTTGCTTTCATGGCAGGCAGCTCTCTCTTCGAGGCCTGGATATGCTGTCGCCCGGGTCCTTCCTATTTGGACCCTTGCCATCTGGGCAGTCGCGTAGGCCCAGGTGGCGGTTGTTGTCCTCGCCGCGCGATGTCAACTTGTTCGGCCTTTGGCTTGCGTAGAAGGGGCGATAAATGTAGGTCCTCTTCGAGCTTGATTGGATTGCTCATGTCGGCCCGCGACTTGATTCTTCTCTTCCTTTCTTCCCCAGTCGGGCTCTGATGTTCAACGTGGTGAGGGAGGCGTTGCACTGCTTTGCTCAAGGCTCCTTCTTTTCGCATGGGTTCTTTGCTCTCTTCTTAGGTCAATAGATCTTGCCTTTCAAGAAACTTTCCCACCTTCCGGAGGGACTGATGTCCTTGTTCTTGTTCCCTTCGCCGGAAGTTGCCAACCAGGATTCTGACCAGAAGGCTGTTGAGCGCTCTTTTCGGCTGCTCGTTTGCGCCTTTCTCCTTTTAACCAGCTTTGTGCTGGGGCCTTGTACTGGGTGACCTTGTGCTGGGTTCGCTTGCGGCAATCCTTTTTGGCATTGGGCGTCGTGTAGTTCCGATCAAGAGGTTTCCTGCCTTGCGAGATGGTAGGTAGCTACCATCCTCGCGTCGTCTCACGTCTCGTACGAAGCTGCGAGCAGCGATTCCCGGCAGAGGATGATGCATTAATTGACTTGCCATCGTAGGTTTGTTGTTTGATCCCTTCATTCTGCCCTCTACCGTATCTTGTACTTGAAGCCCTCTGTCACGCGGATATGTTGAACCTCGACCGTGTTATGTATGCGAAGTCTTGTTATGTATCGGGGCGCCTTCCTGAACGCATGATCCTATCTCTCTAGGGTTAGGTCTTGCCGTATCATCAGAGTACTCGCCTTCCAACACAATTATTACCATCGTTGCTGTTTCCATCTCGGGCTTTGTGTGTGTATCGAAAAGTCAGGAACTAAGGAGCTTGTCGGAGGGCTATAAAATCCCTTCGCCTCGCCGTCCGATTCTTTTCTTCTTTTCCTTTCTTCTCATACGAGTCCTTGACTCTAGTCGGCCTGTTTTGCGGACAGGTATCGCCTCTTGGGTTTTTTCCATGCGCTAACCCCCCTCGAGGCGGTATGACTGTAGGTCTCCGGCATAATTTTTGGTGTCTTCCCCGTGTCCCTGGTATTACACTACCTCCAGGCGATGCGCACTCTCTTTTTCATTGTATTTTTCGGCTTGCTGGCGATGCGAAGAAGAAGCTTTGTCCCTTTTTCCATGATGGGTTGAGAGGTGGAGGCTGCGTGAAGGGGAGACAAGGAAGATGGGAGATTGGAAGAGAAAGCTGTCGAGAAGGGGGAGAGGCCTGTATTTGTAGCTGAGAAGAGAGAGACTCGGAGGTGTAGAGCTTTGTTACAATCTGAACAGGCTGTCCTCCTGGAATCTTTGACTTTGTGGCCTTCTTGAGTGTGGCATAAAGCTGTGTGATATCTCGGTGAATCTATGAGGCGTGCATGCAGTGCCTCCCGGCTCAGTGATTCATCATGCAGAATGGTATTCTACAAATGTCAAAGAAGACCGAGCTAGGTAATTGAACTTGGCATGCCACCTGTTTGGTGGGCTCGGAATGAGGCTATTCAGAGCACCTGTCTTGGAAGGCATGACTCGGTACCCAAAGTTGAGACTGTCGCTGACGAGTTGACTTGTGTGAGCAGTAATCAAGCAGAATATGATGCCTTGATATCATGGAGATGTATCCGTAATAATAATGTGAAATGAATGGATGTCTCCAAGTTTCGGTGCTATGTAGCATTGAGTTGATTGAAGATGCTACCATTACTAGGGACTCTCTGCCGCGGGCCGTGGCGCCTCCGCGGTATAATAGATGGTAGGAGGAGTAACAAGGTATCTGATCTGACCGAGAATTAAGAAGTACTTGCATCATTCTAAAGAGTGCGTCTTGTTGGTGACTCCTCCCGAAGTCTCAACTGTATGAGGTCAACCGCCCATGGGATCCATGCATTCTCCTCGGTCTTCTGTTGCTCCCAAGTATCGAAAAGATTATCGAGAGGGATATATACACCCTCGTGCTTAAATAGGGCATAAAAGACGGCATCTCACTCATATAAGAGATACCAGCGACTTGGTGGAAGGAATACTGTGAGAGGTGGGATTTCACCGTCGCATCGCTTCTCGTACAAAGAAGCAAGAAGTACTCGATACAAAACAATGAGTTTTATGTGCCTTACAAGACAAGGGTAACACCTAGTCCAAAGCCACACGTCCTATATCTTTCCACCGTCTTGCGTTATTAGAGTATAAGAGGTAATAGAGTTCAAAGGATTAGCTCCAGACTCTCCAGTGTTGGTTGAGCTATTGGTCAAGAAGGATTTTCTTGGACAAGAACAGTCTGGGCGTGTCGGCGTCAGCTATAATCGAAAGCCTCGCCACTATGGTCCCCCGACAATCCGAACCCATGAGGTCGGGACGTCGCTCGTGGTTGGACTCAGGGGACTCGGCATCTGCAGCTGAGCCCTGCCAAGATCGATAGACCGATCCAACGTGGCGAGTCCTTGGGGATAACGTTCTCCCTTGCGAGGAAGCTACGCGGGGGCAGTGTAAAGCCTTGAGTATTGCCCTATGTTGCCCTAGCACTAAATCAGCCGGGGTTGTCATGATATGAGTGTCGGATATAGTTACCCAAGGCCTCAGACGACTTACAATGCGAAATCACCAGCACAACGACACTTGTTAGTAGGAACACTGAGCACATTGAGCAACTGACTCGGGCCAGCCTCGCGGTAATGCAGCAGATTGCTTACACGCAGCCAAGACGATGATCGAATACTCGGACACACGTGGTTTAACCCAAAGGCTCTAACGGGGTCAGTGAGCCAACGTCTTCTTTGCGGTGGCTTGTCAAGATGAGGCTATTGACTGCTAGGCTGCCAAGACTGATCATCTTCCCCAGCAAAAACAGCCTGCCAACAGTGGCGATCATCGTTTCTCTGCTGATTCCTCGCTTCCCCCGGATTCTCAGAGGTTGAAGCTGAGAGGGGAGAGGGGAGCCCGAGGAGCATCTGGATCGGACTACTGAATGGGTGCTTCGATAGCAGAAGCCTCACCCGGCCCAGACAAGCCATTGTTTTCAGCTTTACTTCGGCTTTCTCTGGGGCAAGGAAGAGATGAAGATGAATTTTCAAGTAAAAGTCAGTATAAGAACCCAGCCTGACCAGCTCTTCAGATAGTCTAGCAATCACTTCACGGCACTGCAACAATCTCAACACTCAAGTCACATTCTCGACATCAAACTCTTGATACCACTTCCTCTTTTCGATACTAGAGCATCATGTACTCCCCCACTGTCCTCATTACCATCGTTGCGGCCCTCTCTGGTGCCAATGCCATTCCCCTGAGCTGCGACACCACCCCCATCACCCCCCTCGACCCCTCCTGCACCATCCATGAGATCCCAGGCACAGCGATCTGCGGCGCCAAGGGTAACAAGGGCAACAAGCTCTGGTCCAACGTCGACGCCTGTATCAAGGCCTGCGTCGCAGATCACCCCAAGTGCAAGTCCATCAGCTGGGACCCCAAGCAGAAGATCTGCGGCATGTACACCCACACCGTCGAGTCCTTCAAGCTCGAGGGCATCTCGGATATCACCTACTACGACACGGCCTGCGGCTTTGCCGACTCTGTCGACGCCGTGTGTGGACGCACTGGTGTTGTCGGCGCTGATGATCTGCAGCCCTACGGCAACAAGGTCGTTGAGGACGATGACACTTGTCTTGCTTCCTGCAAGAGTGACAGCAGCTGCAAGGCTGTTCGTTTCAACACCAACGGAAAGCGGTGCTACAAGTATGCCCAACCCGTCAACGCCATTGGCGTCACGTTCAAGTCGGATGTCCGCAACGTCTTTTACGACATTCGCTGCGTTGAGTGTCCCACCGTTATTGTGCAGTAATAGAGGAAGTCGGTTGTGGCTGAGTTGTTGAGGGCGACCTCGTGACTGGATCTTATTGTTTGCCACTCCTTATGATGTTACGAAGAGATGTTTGGATTGAATTTGTACATAAGATTCTTTCTCTCTAGATATGTTCTTGACTCTCGAGACAGGCGAGAAACTTGCAGCTCAGCTTAGAGGTGTACAAATCTGCTTGAAAGAAATGAACACTTGGAGAAAAAAAAAGAATACCACTGATTCTTGGTTATATGCATACTATGTTTATCTCTTCTCTAGGAACACTATGCTTGCATCTAGTCTCATTTCCGCTCGTGCCAGCGCTCGGTGGTTGTGAGGGTTAAGGTGGTGGTAATCTCGGGTTACTGGAGTAAACAGGTGCCCTGGATACTCGTGTCAGTCTGACTGACGCGCCAACCTGGCGTACACTAGAACCTGTCCTTCTGTCCGATGCCCTCGCTTTGATCTCCCTTGCCCTGACTCCCGTGTTCAGACTTCATAAACGAGGCCTTTGCCAAGGACTCCGCCTGAAGCTTCCAGATCTTGCGTCCCATGACTATAAACTCCTTCCCAAACTCATCTAGGGCAGCCTGCGCGTCGTGGTTGCTCACTTTTTGAATCTTTGAGTATTCCTCATCTGCGCCAACTGTAGCAACCTTGTACTTTTTCTTCCATTCCAGAACTAGTGTCTTGGCTGAGATGCTGTCTGCCTAGATGTTTTTGGCCACGAGGTAGAACGAGGATCTCAGCCTGTGATACTGAGGATGCTTGAACAGCTGGACGGTGGAGAACTTGCTGAAGTTGCGGATCAAGCTAAAGCAAGGCCATCTGTCAAGCTTGTGTAGAAGAATGACCATAGTGCCGCCATTGTTGAGGTGCTCGAGGCCGATCGCAAGCTGCGTGATTGTGAGACGGGTAGCCTCGCGGCCCTCTCTCCATGTTGTCCGTTGATGCGTGCGTCGAACGGCACCATCGCACAAGACAAGGTCGAATCTTTCGGAATCAGAAAAGACCTTTGCGAACTCAAGATTGCCTGGATCAGGCCCAGATGCTGGTACATCCTCTATCTGCATGCTCATGTCGGCTGCCAACATGGTGATGTCTCGAAATTCGACGGCGACATTGTGGTGGCCTAGCCTAACCTGGTGGCCTCCATCCTTGAGGGGGAGGCTCATGGCTCTGACTTGGGCATTGGGGTATTTGTCCAAGATCTGTACAAGAAAGGCACCTGGAGCCATGCACATGTCCAGCAAGGCTGGCTTCTTGACTCCGGACAAGTCAAAAGCTCGTGTGGCCTTGTTCATGTCCCGTCCCATCTTTTGCATCATGTTGTAGAAGAAGCGAGCGTCTTTTTCAGTGGGCTCGTCTGCGACTCGTCGTTGCTTGTTGAAGTGTGCATCGCCTTTGGAGCTCTCCCACCCCTATCACGGTGATTAGTAAGTTGCAAGCTGGTTATACTAGATAAGTCGTGATGAAAATTTGCCTTTGTGCGCATTTGTTGAAGATGGCGAAACTCTTGCACGTTCTCTTTGAGATACGCAGTGATGGCATACTGGCCACCCCTTTCGACTTCGGAGATTTCAGCACCATCGCACATAGATGCGTGTTCAAGATCAGGTAACTCGGGAGTTTCGGATTGGCTCCCAACAGGGTGAAAGTCTTGAGCTGTAGGATTGAATGAGAAGGCCATTTTCGGTCAGTTGGCTGAGAGCGGCAGACCTTGTCGCAAGGAGGCGAGATGGTAGCGTCGAGATAAGAGGTGGGTATTTATACTGGCTCGGTATGAATTTGTGTGCGAGATCGAACAGAGAGCAAGACATGCAGGAGGCACTGTCCTGACATGTACAGTTTGACACACTCAGGGCTGGAAAACTGTTGGCCTGCCGCTGTTTGCCCATGGCTTGGCCGGCCTCCAGCAGGCTTTGGGGGCAAATCGAGAGAATACAAGAGAAAATGACAGAAATAATTAAAGGAACGGGAATTGCCTGCCTGGATAAAAGTGGATTAATGGCGTTGCTGCTGTTGAGCCAGGCAATGGCTGGTCTAAACGGTCGGCATAACTGGCCGCAAGCACTGCCACACCGGAAGGCCTCCAGAATCACATACCCCAGGAATTTGACAGTTTTGTAGTAATAAGAGTACCCAGAGGAGTGTCGTGGCTGCTTCTAAGAGAGCCTTGATATGCTTCCAATCTCGGAGAACCAGCGCTGCGCTCAATTTAATCATAACTAATTCAATCCAATTTAACCTAATTTAAGTCCGGATATCTTTCAATTTCGCGATTTGATTCTGATAGCCGGATTAATTGAATTAATTTAATCTGAGTTATGATTTTAGTGATGCCTCTATTTATGATATGATATTGGCGTTCTGGTGTTTTCGTCTTTCGGTCAGTATAAAGTCACGTGATACTGCACGTGGCATATCACGTGGAGTACTACGGTCAGGCGAGCAGGACGAGCACAGCCGGCTGTGCAAATAAGACCACGTGATCGGCGCACAGCCGGCTGTGCATTTAAGAAGCAGGTTACTAAGCCCAGAGCCCCAATAGCGCTTGAGGCCCTGAAGGCCCTAAAATATAGGCCCTGAATGTGCTGAAGGCCCCTGGACTAATTGCCCTCCATGAGGCACTTCAGGCAGCTTGCAACAATCTGCAACTGCTCTCAAAGGCAGCTTGCAACGGCTCTCAAAGGCACCTCGCAGAGGCAGCTTACAACCTTGCAATCGGATTGAGGTCCTGTGGCTAAATGTGGCTCTGGTGGCTAATTTCGGCCTGAGGTCCTGTGGCTAAGTGTGGCTCTGGTGGCTAGTCTGGTCAAGCTTCTGATTGGCTATGTGAGGCGCTTAGTAATCAGAATCTTAAATGCACAGTCGGTCAGCTCTACTAAATCGGGTATAGTCGGCCACGCACGTGACCCCCCTCATGGCCGATAATTCAATTCAATTACGGAGTACTTCAATTCAAACTCCCAAAATAGCCTCCCAATTCAATTCTGACCATACTCAATTCAATCGCCCGAAAAAGCCGATTGAAATTGAATTGAGCGCAGCGCTGCGGAGAACTTGAACGTTGGGCTCGGGTTGCGCGTGTGAGCCAACACGCCTTGCGAATCAACTGGCGGTGTACGCCAGAACAAGATTTGGGATCAAACAGACGCGGTCAGCCACCCGAATATGCCTTGTCACACCTGCCACCTGGTTGGAGGAACAGTGGGCGGTGGCATATAAATCAACAAAGAAGAAAACGCCACTTGCCTGCCAAATGACTACAGTTGTCTCTTATTGGGTGCTCAAGGGCTAGCCAACTCTGCTTGACGAAACCCTTACAGTCACGATGCCGTTCTATCGTATGCCTGGCAGGGAGGAATCCGAGGCGTGACCCGGAGTTTCAGGAGGTATAGAATAGGCACGGTTGGAAACGATGACAACTGCCATGTACCGAGTTCCCATAGCCATGAAACCGGCAAATAGCCACTGAATTTGATTGCTACGCTCAAACGACAGGGGTAATAAATAGTCTGTGTCGGTGCGTGACTCTGGCCCTGGAAGCGCCTTGATTGGCTGGGCATCTTGGCTGCTCATATATCACATATACTCTTGGTTCCGCGGGCCTGCTCGTATTATTTCTTTTTGAAAAGTTTCAGCTAAGCCACCGTAAGGGCTTCTAGAGGCTCAAAGAGATTACTTGCAGATGCTAACGCCTTCTAGCCTCGCTGGAGCACAGCCTGACGACGTCACAAGGCAGACGCGAGCAAACGTTTCCTGCGGGACAGCAAGACGATGTAGAAAGCATTCTGTTCGTCTCAAAGGAGGCCGTTATGCAAGGTCTGGAGCTCTACCTTCTTTGTTGTTTCTCTTGAAGGAGCGTGGCGGTCTGGTGTTCGCCCCTTGCCCACAAACCTACTGCGCGTCAGCAAGCCTTGAACAGGGCGAAAGAATCCCTGATTCGTCCGCTGCCCAATTTTCTGTTTGCTCGAAAGGGCTGACAGGCCTGAAGATGCCGCCTGAATTCCTTGCCTTTTGTTTCTGTACATGTGAGGTTGAGTCAGGTCCACTGGACTCTTCCAGCGCTCAAAGAATGCTCGCTGCGCGCAAAAGAGTATGGTACGAACAAAAGGAATTAGGAAAGATAGCGCGAACACTCTCCAATGCCATGAATCTGGGAAAGTATAAGAAGTGACCCTTCTCCTGACCGGCCTGGTGTTTGACCCTCAGCAGTCCTCAACCCAAAAGAAACACAGACAACATCCAACATCGATAGTCACTCGAACTCGACGTCCCCCTCCGAATCACCCTTTACCTGATTCGAATCTCATTCAGTCACATTGTGAACCACCGCACGATGGACGACATAATAGCAAACATCGACGCAGGGATCATCGATCCCCTCGGCCCTCCACCACCAAGGCACACTTGTCCTTGTGGTTTCCACAACCTTAGATACGTCGATCGGTGCGAAAAGTGTAACGGGGCCCTCCCCACTTAAGCCTTGCAACAAACTACACAAAGAATTGCACAACACACAACTACATAGCAAACGGGCCAAAAGAGCCATCCAATCGTCCTCGGAGTCCCCCTATGAAGTTGCAATACGGGCCCCGGGGTTTCATCCTAGGGAACACGAACTTGATGGTCAAGGGAGAGGGACTCTCTCAAGTTCTATTTCTCAAATGCTCCTCTGAGAGCCAAAGGAACATCGGAGAGAAGATGGGGGAGCAACTTGAAGGCTCTTGATAAGCTCATGGGGCTTTGGAGAACAGAAGAAGAGTTGGTGGGCTAGGACTCGTTGAAGGCACCGTCGTTATCGCTTTGTACATCTCACTTGTTGAGTCTATCATGCCCAATTTCTTTCAGCACTTTTGTATTTAGTCGACCTTACTAGGTTTCATTCATTCACATCTATTTTCTCACTGTCACATCTCCTCTGCTAGCTTAACCAATTGACTAGGCCCAATGTTTACCGGTCTGTACTTCCATGGTATTCTCCAGGCCACGGAGGACTGGAGCTTAGTTCAATATACTCAAATCTCAAGGCATCGCGCATTGCTTGTTTTACTAGATGTGGCTAAACTTGGTTCTCGTCCAAACGAGTGTCATATCTGAAGAATCACATCTATATAAAAGAGTGTTCTTGGCCTATGCGGAGCTTAATCCTCCAGCAATTAGTCTAATCGGTCGAATACCCCGTCTCCAGTCTCTCTCCTCGCACTATCCTAATCCCTCTTTACTAATTGGGGAAGGTCTCGGGGCGAAAGTCCGGATCGTTTTCTGGGAACATGAAGCCCTTCGTCCAGGGGAGCTTGCGCTGCCGACGCTCCAAGTGCCTTGCCCTGATGGCATGTTCATCATTTAGAACCTTGTCAAAGCACTCGATCTCATTGGGGAGACCTTGGCTGACTAGGTTTAAGAACAGGCTTGCGTAGCCCTGACGCTGGCTTGCTTCGAGAAGTGTGGGCAGTTCCCATTGAGGATCGCCGGGTCGGGAGACATAATCGATGCGGTCCAGGACATATGACGCGATGTATCCCTTGGGGACGAAGGCACAGTCCATCCAGGTGTTGAAACCAACCAGGTTGAAGTCTTGGTCCAGGCCAACGTCGCCCAGCCCAATATGGCCGTTGAGGAAACCGCAGGGCGACATGTTGAATCCCTTGCCAGCAAGATACTCCTGGACGCGATCAGAGGCCCGGTGACCATTGGAATAGATGGTGCTGATGACATGCTCGAACATCCACCACTGGATATCCTTTCCCTTGACGCCCTGAACTAAAGGGGCCTCCCACTTTGCCATCTCGCCCACGGCCTTGGCGATCTGGCCCAAGAGCCTCTTGAGGAACTTGGCCGGCATGGGCTCGTCGAAGACCGAGGTGCCTACTCTCTCAGTCAGGATGGCGTATTTGTACTCAAACTCGGCGTGGTAAATGACTCGGGGGATACGGAAATGCTTGGGTCCCTGCTGTGCAGCGTACTCAATGTTCTCGTGCTCCCGAGCATGGTGGTTGACATGCTCGGCATCTGCCTTGGCCGGCATAAACTTGAGGGATCCTGCACTGCCGATGAGGTACTCGAAGTACAGCCCGGGATAGACGGCACGGCGGGGTCGCACGGGACCTTGATCAGGTATCGAAGTCGTTGTATTCGGCCGAGCCTCATCGTCTCCGAGCTCACGGATGCGGTAGATGAAGCCCTCTTTGCGGTCGACGTAGTCGTTGGGCTCCTCCTTGGTCTCCTCCAGGGGCAGCTGGGTCAGAATTGCCTTGTTAAAGATGAGCCATGATGATGCATTGATTTGCCGGAAAGAGCTGTCCCACCTCTTCAGGCCGAAATCAAAGTGCCATTTGAAGTTGCCGGACATTGGCTTGGGCTCGATAAGGTCCATGAAGAGCCGTTCGAGATGCCTCTCCATAGTCAACATGGTGTTCATGGGTAGATTTCTGTTGTTGGAGAAAGCAAGAGATCAATGTGTGTCGTGTTGTTTGGTTCGTGTAGGTGCTTTGCAGTGCGTTTGCAGTGCGTTTGCTTGTTTGCTGTGTCTGCTGTGTTTGTTATGATCTCCGTATCTTCCGGGATACGAGCTTTATTTATACGTATGGAGATGCCCCGATGTACCATGTACTTGGGAGGGCATCCTGTTGTTGTTCATCCCCTGGATGATGGAGTTGGCATTGACATGAAACCTTGCGCTGCCTGTACGCAGCTGGTCTCCTTTCTCAGCAACAGGAACCCAACCTTGCACGCAGGGCTTCATCTTGTTCTGCCATCACACAGCCAGAGCGTCAGAGAACAGTCCCGTGTGGTGGACGAACATCTGGTGTCCGGTGCTCAGAATAACAAAGTGGCTGCCAGGTAACTGCATTTGGATCATGGATGGGTGGGGGCGGCTCGTGATAGGCTCACTGGTGACTCTCCTCTGTTGGTCCGTCAAAGAAGCTGTCCGTCCTTTGGCAAGGACAGACCGTGTCTTCCATAAACGAGACGAAACAAGTACTCATGGCTGGGAGGGTCAGTGGACGTGACCAATCCCTTTCATGAGCTTCCGTAGGCCAAGGGGGAGTGTTGAACGAGGGGTTTGTTCTACCCTGGCCAGGACTTGAGGGGACCGGCCGGGCTATTCCCGTGCTTGGCGAAGTCAAAAGGCTGTATGAGGCTAGGGGGAGCGGGCTTTAGAGCAACCCAACAGAAGTAACACAGTTGTGACACAATTGAAGCTTATACTCGAGCTTCAATGGCAAGGAAATGAGTCAATAAGGCCTGCAACGACTATCGATGATAGCAGTTCTCCAAGGACAACAGAAACCAAGCACGGGGAGCTGGGCTGGTCTCGGACCTCTACGGTGTAAGCCCTGGAAGTGGTGAACGCCACCAAAATTCAGATTTTAATTTCTCAACTGGAAAAGTCAGAAGATTATTGTTTTTTATTCTTAAAAAACAGAGAAAAGTAAAATAGGTGAGTAAGCTCGTACTCACTATTTTCCATCTGTTAGGTCTATTATATCTTGCCCTTTCTCTTGAACTATCGAGATATTGCCAAGTTACTGCACGACCCGCCAAACTTGGAGGGGTTTAATTCTCCACCTCGCTCGAGTCAACAAAGGGCCCCCTTCGAGTCGTCGAGCCAAGGTAGGACGCAAATACCACCACAAAAAAAGTCAAAGCGGGCCAGGGAGACACTGAAACCTGCTGTGCGTTAGTAGGATACTTCTCTTTCACAACGGGTGACCAACCTCTCAAGTCGCCACAAAGTCTACTTCTTCCACCAGTTTTATATGCTTGGGCAATCGAGACAAGAATGAGTATGGGTTTACTTGATACTGCGCTCTGTCTACACCTCTGACCCATTTCGCTCATGTTTCTCGGGTTCTGTCTTGTTCTTCTTTCGATGCGCCTCTCGCATCTCACTCTTTTTGAAACGTGTTGTGAGCAGGCGATGAACTACAGACCATTGATAGACGCAAAATAGACTTTTCTAAGTGAGCGCAGCTCTTCAGAGGATCCTTGGTAATCGGAACTTACAAAGCACATATGCCAAAGCAGCCACACGCAATGGATAGGTTTTCAACCATGGCCACCGTCCCTGTCCCGACGTCGCCGAGGAACCCAGCCCTTCGCTTCTCTACACCGGAGTCGTCGTGCTGGCTGGGGTTTCGGAAGACGAAAATGACAATGAATGCAGCCAGCCACAGTACGGTTGACACTGCCAAGGCGACCATGTACCAAATCGGGGGTCTTGGGTCGGTTGAGCCGCTCGGTCTAACAGGGACTCTGAGCATAAAGAAGTGCAGAGCTCCCTTTTGAAGCTGTCAGATCTCTCATAGATTGATTGACATAGGGGCTGTTCTTACAACTGCAAGGTTGAATGCGGATGCTGCGAGCATCTCCTGACCCGGATGCTTGGAAAGCAGACCTGCCGCCAGACCAATCACGGCGCAGGCCGATATCCATCTCCCAATGTCGGCCTTGAACGCCTCGCGGTAGAGTTTCTTGATCGGGTTTGTTTCCTCTTTTCTGCCTGTGACATCCCTGATGATTTCCGCCAAGGGCATTGGACATATCGCATTCGACATGGCGACTTTGTCAATTCAATATTTGAGTTGCAAGAGTTCAAAATGTTTCGTCTCACGGAAACAGGAAATTGGGGTTTATAGCTGACACGGAAGCATAGTCTTGGCTGAGCCTTGGCGGACAGGGAGTTTGTCCTTTGAGTTCATCCCAAGGGTTCCACAGAGTGACTAATATCACCATGTTTGATACTTGGCTGTCGTCACATCCGGGTAACGGCACTGCCACCCAAGACGGTGTTTGTTGATTGAGTTACGTCATGGGAGAGGTCTGGAATGAAGCCCGACCAGCCAGTCTGACTTTTTATTACTACTATAGACATGGAAGAAATAGTTTTGATCACATAGAATATCTGTGGCTTTAACATAAATTACATCAGGAGTTTGAAAATCATACTCGTAAGAGCCGTTTTCATCCAACATGGTCTAGGGGAATAATCTTGGTCAAGCTCTTGCACAACTTAAATGCAACGGAGAAGAGAGCCTGTGCTTAAAATACTACCAAGATCTTGATCATGATCGAATCTATCATTCTAACCTATCTTGTAAGGTGACTCCAGCATCAAAACTCTCCCAGTTGTTCTGGCACCAAATCGTTAACCTTGCCCTTTTCCAGCGCAGCCCGCACATTCGCAATACACCTCTCCTCCATCTTTGCATGCGTCTAGTAAAAAAATGAGCAGGATATTCAGTATCTGTTAGGCTAATCAAACTCACCTCTACCGTGTACGTGCCCAGGTGAGGCAGCAGCATGGCCCTGGGGTGTGCGACAAGACCAGGATGAACTGCTGGTTCATTCTCGTACACGTCTAGACCGCAGGACCAGACTTTTCCAGACTCGAGAGCATCCACCAGTGCTTGTTCATCGATGATGGGGCCTCGGGCAGTGTTGATAACGACGACGCCCTGCTTCATTTTTTCAAAGTCTTTGTAGGATAAGAAATGCCTCGTTGCAGCCTACCAAATTTGTGAGCAAATATAGCCATGCGCTTAGGGAAACTTACGTTAAGTGGTAGGCTTATAGCAATAACATCACTAGACCCAAGAAGATCATCAAGGCTGACGTATTCTGCCTCGGTTATGTCGTCTGATTTCGTCCTGTTGTAGTAAATCACTTTCATCCCGAAAGCAGCTGCCTTCTTGGCCATGTTTCTTCCAATACCTCCGCATCCAATGATACCAAGCGTCTTGCCCTCCGGATCATGTCCAAGAGGAGGAGATGGGTTGCCTCGCCAGGAGCCACTGCGTAGAGTCATGATACTCTGGTTGAACCCTCTCAAGGCGCCGAGCATGAGGAAGATGGCCGTGTCTGCGGTGGAATCGTTCACTTCTTGGGGCACATTCGACACCTGGATTTGCCGCTTAGAGCAGGCTGCGACGTCAATCTGGTCATAACCGGCACCTATATGGAAGACGTTAACAATGTGGTTGGACTGGGATATCTCCTGCTTACCAGTATGACAGATAAACTTCACGCTTTCTGGCAAAGCCTGTACGAGCTCCTCATCTATCAGGCCAGTGACAGCAACGCTGTGGTACATGCGGTGCAGAACCACAACACCGTCAAAGCCTCCTTGGCGGCATTTCTCAATAAACTCGTTGCGATTTTCTACTCCTGGGCCAATAATCTCGGCCAAAGACGTGAGTCCACGCCAAGATTCTAGAGCACTGCGAGTATGAGGCATATTAGCTAGATGCACGCCTCAATCTCTGGGCAAGTGTAGAGACCTCGGACATACTGAATGATTTCACCGAGCAACAGAATCTTTGGAGGCGCCATTTTTTCGTGCCGCTAAGAGTAGTCAGATGTCGTGTTTTTCTTTACTGTTTGTTGTTTTGGTGTTTAACGAGCCCAAGTTTGGCTGACATAAATGTCTCCATGTTCGGTTAGTTATCCATTCCGTGAGGGGACGGAAAAGCGAGCGGAACGGCGGGAAAGTGACTGATCACACACTGCAGATCCTCTTAAATTTGTAGTCCCAAATACCTATCAAATGAGTAACTCTAGCTAACTAAAATCCTTTAGTAGGTCTACCTCCTACCGTTAAGAGTCATGGTTATGTTAAGCTTAGGAAAACACCTTGGACAAATTCATTACAAGTTTTCCTTGTATGCAAATGATCTTTACGGTTTCCCGTTTGGAAAATCTGCTAATTTGGAGCTAATGTTGGAGGACTTTCAGCTTGCAAGTTCTTGAGGAGGTTATAAGAAGATCGCCTTTCTTTGTTACCTCGTCGTGACTTGAACAAAGGCCATGTGGAGGAACATCCACTTTCAGACACAAAGAAAAGGCTGCATGCCACTTTTATGCATAATCTCTATGCATGTTCCCTTATCGAGTATTCTGCATGAAATGTAATATCAACTACAGTCGGGAACGCCTCGTTAATGATAACATAGTTAAAGAGAAGCAGCCAGTTCATTAACCCCGTTATATCGGAATCAGGATTACTTACGAGAAGAAAACATTCTCAATTTAGCAAACTCATGACTTAACTCCGAATGACCTTTCCTCGTGCAGTATGGAGACACAAAAGGTAAAAGTTGACGACTGGCCCGCTCGCATTCTCTTGTGTCTCATTGGTCAGCTAGGCTCGCCTAGCTGAGCGATGATGAAGGACCAGACACTTGCTTAATGCCTCGGGGACCACGTCAGTCCCTAAGTCCGTTGTTGGCTAGATATTTGCTCTTCAATTTTGAGGGGCCATGGATGCCTATATAAAGGGACCGTTTCCCAGACTGGTATATATCTCATCAGCGATCTACCTCGTCAGCCACTCAAAGCCCCATTCCACAACCCCTATTGTACCACCTTTTACATCTAAACCGCTTCTTAACATGTCTCCCGATAAAACCTACCCGTTCAATCCCTTGACCGACATTCCCTCTCTTAGCGGAAAGGTCATCCTCATCACCGGCGCAAACACTGGCCTCGGCAAAGCTACTGCCATTGAGCTATCGAAACACTCTCCAGCGCATATTTACCTGACGTCACGCAACTCAACCAAGGGAAATGCCGCACTAAACGAAGTCAAGAGCGTAGCTAGCGATGGAACCAAAGTATCCTTGCTCGAGCTAGACCTTTCGAGCTTTCAAAGCATCAAGGCGGCCGCAAGGGACTTTCTCAAACAACAAGATAGACTTGATGTCTTGTTGCTTAACGCGGGTGTTATGGGCGCTCCTCCTGTGCTCACTAAGGATGGTTACGAAGCTCACATGGGGACAAACCACCTTGGACACGCTCTTCTGTTCAAGCTCCTTCAACCCACTCTGCAAAAGACTGCAGCAACCGGGGCCGATGTTCGTGTTATCCATCTATCTTCCGCTGGGTTCCGACATGTAGGGCCAACAGGCATAGAGTTTGAGACACTCAAGTCTGCGACAAGTGAGACGTCGCTACCACTACGCTATGCACAAAGCAAGCTGGCCTGTCTCCTCTACGCAAGGGAAGCTGCAAAGCGCATCCCCAACATCAAGAATATCGCCATCAACCCCGGAGAGGTAGACACGGAATTGTTTACTCGAGAGCCTGGAGATGACCACATGAAGATGCTTCAGACAGAAATCGCTCCAAAAGTTGTTGGCCCCATTTCAGAGGGTGTCAAGAACCATCTCTGGGCAACGACTTCTCTGGACATTGAAAATGGCGAGTTCTATGAGCCTGTCGGAAAGACTGGGGGACTTGAGGGGCATGGGCTGGATGATGAGATGGCGAGGAAGCTTTGGGAGTGGACGGAGGAACAGTTGAAGGACCAGAGCCTCTAGAGTTTATCAAGGATTTTATTTGCCCATGAGGTAGAGCAGATGCTTTACTATGAAGGGAACTTCTAGAAGACAGGAGTACTTCTATATATCATAAACTCAATAGACGAGATGTTTGTTTTTAGGCAGTAAAATTCCATATTTGTGTCGTAACTAATTGCTTAAAAGTAACTACTACACATTCTCTTCTTGATACCCTTTTTAGCTTATAATTAACGGCCCAGTATCATATTATCTACAGAGAAATTTCGGAATGGATCCAAGCAGGAAATTCCCCCTATGCCCACTCAGATATACCAGCATCGAATTTAAACAGCAGAATCAAGTTCTGAGTGTCCAAACATCAATACATTTGGATTACGGTCATCTCGCTCTAAACCCAGCGATCTTCTCAGTTATAGCTAATGACCTCGACATTTCGAATCTGAAAAGTCGTTGCTGTGGTTATAGTGGTTAGCATACATTCAGGCAAGAAAGCGACAACACAACATACGTGTGGTAGGTCCAGGTGATCCTGACGACCCCTCGGTTTGATAGTTGATGATGCTACAGCCCCGTTAGTGTCACAACAGGGTATGCTGATTCCAGACTTACAGCCTAAGGCCTTTTCCAATGTATTCCCTTCCGTATTGTGTCGTCACCTCCCGGTCGTCGAGGAAGAACTTGACCCTGACATCCACGCCATTCTCGTCGCGCAGTTCAGCCCTGACAGAATGCCACTGCGTCGGCTCGGGATAGTCAACGTCAAGGGCGGTGACTTCGGACGAGGTATTGAAAGTGTTGAACGAGATCTTTCCAGAGCCCTTCCACTCGGCAACGTCAATCTCTGGTGGCCACCCACTGGCGGCGTTGAGCCAAAAGGCAGGCCACGTGCCTCGGTCCACTGGGGCAATGAACTCGGCTTTGACGTCGTAGCCGCCGCCTGCGACCACAGTAAAGGTAGATTTGGCGTGGATAGCCCCGGAGAGGTAGTGAATAGGATCTTCTTGGTCTGTTACGGGCTCGGCTGTAAGTGTGAGGACGCCGTTATTGACAGAGACGTGCTCTTGATCCATTCGGGCGCCTCCATTATGAGTAGGTCCCCAGGGGTACAAATAATTCCAGTAGGTCTCAAGCGAGTTGAACGAGTCCGCGGGGATGTCGGTCACAGCGCGTGCTTCGAACGGTGGTCGCAGACTATCGCAAAAAACGCCCGCCGAGTGCAGGGCAAAAAGAAGGGCAAGGGCATACATGGCAATGAACTCTTTGACGAGAAGTTATGTCTAGAGTTTTGTCAAGTGCTGCGTTGTTCGGTCATGGACGGTTTAAATATTTGTTTCCTCTGCCGGAAACCTGAAACGAGAACATCGCAGGGATGATGAGACGTCGATCATCGTATGACGTGCTCGAAACATATCAAAGAGGATATTTAATGCACCAACGGTATATTTCTGCGTCGTTTTGGATACGTTGGTTTGTGCTCGCGGAATGAAACACTGCCAATCCGGGCGAGGATCATCACGGCCTGCATATTCCCGGATGCATTCTAGTATATTTCTAATCTACCCCTAGACAGCTCTCATGGGTCTTTGACATCCGAGATTTTGAATCCTCCTGGGCAGAGCTTCTGGAAAACCTCGCTCGGGTCATACTTGGCTGCCGCATCCTTCATCTTCTTGACATTCTCAGCACCATAACTACCCAACGGATCCTGGCTCTTGTCGGCATAGTTCAGATACGTCCACCCAAGGTTACCTCCTTCGATGGTGGCCGCAAACTCGCGAACCTGCTGGATCCACGCCTGTACCTTTGGTCGCGCAAATGCCTCTTGCTCCGGGGTGTTGGCCATGACGACGGCGAGGAACAGGATCCCATTGTCCTTCTGTCGCTCAACGCCCATGACGTTTCCACCAGCTTCAACACAGCGCTGTCCGAAAAGAGCAGGCAGAGGCTGGAACAGACATTGAGTGATAAAGTTTCCATCTGGGATGAAGTCCTTGAGTTCTTGGACAAGTTGGTCATGCAGCTCTGACGCCTTTGTGATGATGCGGATGTCATTCTTGAAGCAGCTCGTGAACCATGTGTCACTAAACGGAACAGGTCAGCTCAAGTTGGGTAAAAGATATGACAGGGCTTGACTTACTAGTAGTTGGCAGGGATATTATACTCAAACGCCATCTCTGAAATCGTTGTCATCTTGACCGTGTTCAAGATCTCCGGTAGAGCCAGCCACTTTTCATACGCGGGAGGCTTTTCAACACCAGCAATATTCGCATAAAGAGTAGCGACAACAACATCCTTAAAGTCAGGCATATGTGTAAAGATGGTGACCAAGTTGCTGTTGATATCGTTGGGCACGTTGTCCGCAAACGCCGACAGAGCCTCAATGGCACTTGGAATCACCTGCTTTGGGAAAAAGGTCATTCCTCCCCATACCTTGTCGCATGGGATCGCCTTCATTGTGAACTCGGCGACGATACCAAAGTTGCTTGAGCCACCCTTGAGAACAAGGAACAGATCCGCGTTGTTGTCTTTGTCGGCGGTGACGATGTCCCCGTTGGCGAGAACAACTTGGTATGATACGACGTTGTCGCAGGAGAAGCCTTGACGAGCTGTGAAGAAAGCGTTGCCGCCTCCAAGCAAGAGACCAGCTACTCCGACGTTGCCTTCGCGACCGCCAGCGACAGCACGTCCATACTTGTTGAGTTCAGCATAAACTTCACGCCATCGACAACCAGGCCCGATGCTAGCAGTCTCGGTTGCTGCATCATAGGTTGTCTTGTTCAAGTGAACCAGGTCAATAGTCACACCATCTTGGATATTGTTGGATCCCGCCCAGTTAGTATGGCCACCACTTCGGACAGCGAACTTTTGACCCGCAGTGACAAGGGCCTTGACGACGGCTGCCACTTCTTCAGGAGAATGGGGTTGGACAATGCAGGCGGGGTTGATCTTTGCGCTGTTGGACCAGTATGAGTCTTGTCGCGCCTTGAATTCGGCATCCGTGGGGGACAAGATGCGTGACTCGAGGCCAGCTTCAATGAGGCCTTGAGCCTGGGGCATGTCAGGTTTAGGTGTGGTAGCAGCCATGCTGAAAGATGGAGAAGCGGTTGTAAATCGAGGAGTAAGACGAAAAGGAGTGGAGAGGAGATCTGCCGTGATAATCTGAGGACAATGTTCAGCTTTATCCTCCACATTGACCCCTTGACGAAAAAATAGGCTTTCCAAGGGGTCCTAGCAATAGCCTATTAAATCACACCTTGCGTAGGATCAACTCCTCTTTCGGATATAGGAGTTACAGCCTCCCCCTGGATCGCGCATCTTGACGTTCCATCTTTTGCTACCAGGATCCCTTGTTGCATAGCCAACACATCGCAACTCCTTGCCTCTATCGGGGTAGTCTTGTTACAAAGCGTTTCTTCGCTTCAAATCACCCATGTTTTCTTCGTCTAACGCTACGTGACTGATCCCTTTCCCCTCGTAAAGCTGGGTAAATGCGTTTTGGGTCAGTAAGCCATCTCTGAAAGAATCTTAGTCTCGGGTTCTACATATTGTCCGTTAGTCCTTCTGCTGTCCGAGAAGTCAGACATGTCCGTCTTTTTCGCATACATTCAAGTTTTGCTGCATCTGCATCTGGAAACACCATGGCTGCTGTTGTGAATGGCGTCCCCGTCGCCATCCCACCGCCTGAGGGCTATGTAGTCGATTTCGATAACCCTCAGCGCAACAGCGTGACTGCAGCATATTGGCTATTTGGCGTTGGGAATTTTCTTGCCCTTCTTTTCATGCTTCAGCGAGGCTACGTTCGACTGCTGATTCAGAAGACACTTCGGCTAGAAGATGGTAAGGCTGCTTGACCCCCTTTTCTTCCACATGTTAAACCTTCCGATAACTTGCTGACATGTCGAAGCTTGCTTAGGTATCGCATATGTAAGTGCGACTCTTGAATGATCTCGAAGTGGTCTCGAGTCTCGATTTTGACACTCTATAGGTATTTTCGGTGGTCCTCCAAACCCTCATTATCCGTAAGCATCGCCATTATACCCCTCAAAAACACCTCTGGCACTTCGCTAACATTTGTTCTAGGCGACTTTGCTCGCGGTGTAATGGGCACACATGGCTGGGAAATGCCAATCACAAAATTCGCCATGTTCGTACGAGCCTTGTACCTCCTCCCGATCCTCTACAACCCCGTCCAATGCGGTGCGAAAATGGCCCTCCTTCTCGTCTACCGCCGACTTGCGCCTCAAATATGGTTTCGAATTTCCGTCTGGTTCACGACTTTTGTGGTAATCGGGTCCTCTTTGGCCATCACCTTCGTCACCATCTTTCCCTGTCAACCAACTCGAGCGGCGTGGGATATCAGCTATACGAATCCGAAGTGCATTGATAGGAATGCTGTATACAAGGCTACAGCAGCTCTAGGAGCCATTACGGATCTCATGGTGCTCGCGATCCCGATCCCAGTTGTGATACCCCTCCAGATAGCCATGAGGCAGAAGATTGGGTTGATCTGTTTCTTCGCTGTTGGTGGAGTGTAAGTCGCATACGGCCGCGTGTGTAGGATGCAGAGCTAATAGTCATGCAATAGGACCGTATTCACCTCCATCATGAGACTTATAGCTCTCATTAACTCGATGGGTGATGTGGACCAATCTTGGGGCGGCGGGCCTGTACTCCTTTGGATGTAAGACTCTCCCTCTTGTACGGTACAACGACATGGAAATCATTCTAACACCGTATCAGTTTTGCCGAAGCCAACCTCTCTTGTATCTGTGCCGCCCTTCCCACGGTTAAGCCCTTCATCAAGCACATTTCTCCCCGAATCCTCGGAACGACAGATCCCGCGACCAAGAGCGGCCCTGCATTCTCTAACCCTAGCGCACCACCAACTATCGGAGCGATAAGCACCGGCAACCAAAGACACGATCGATACCAACGCTTTGATGATGGCCCCATGTACCCTCTGCAAACTGTATCCAAGGTGGAGGCGTCCACAGGATATGATCCCAACGTTGGGAACACTTGGCAACATGCACGTCAGAGTTCGTTGAATAGCCAGGGGGATTCTAGCTCTGAAAAGGCTATTATACAGACACGGACTACAGCTGTTACATACTCTACTTAATACAGCATTAACAACTTAGCGGGCTCTAGGTATTTATGCGAGCAGGGACGGAACAACATGTAATAGTTATACATAGAATAAGTGTATGCACAACTAGGTACGGTACATAACCAGGAGCAAATAGAGCTGTGGTTTCATAATGCGATATGCGAAAATTAGTCGTTTCATAAAACATAGCTCTGTTCAGCTAATGATATATGCATGGGTTAATATGTACTAGCTTAAAATGGTCTTGAGTAAAAAGACCCAACACTACTGGCTACAAGAAAGAAACCTCTAAACAAGAGAGTTGACATAGTTCTCCAGGTTGGTGTACCCGTTAGAGGCAATCTTCATACCATCAGACTTATCATTGGGATTGAGACCATTCTTCTTCTCCCACTCATCAGGAATACCATCACCATCCGTGTCAGTAGGCGCCTTGCCGCTCGCAATCGTGCCCACGCCGCCAAAGTCACTCTCGTCGGAGATCTGGGATCCCTTCTTTCCGTACGTCTTGACCTCCTCGACGAGGCCAGTGTCGACTGCGTCGCGGGTCCGAGAGTTTCCGACGCTGGCGAGGACCACGTTGAGAGCCTGTTCCGCCGTGCGGGCGGTGGCAGGGGCGGGGTAGTCGTAGGGAGTCTTGACGATGTCCATGCTGGAGTAGCAAGTGGCGCTCTCGCAGAGGGCAGAGCCGTCGAGCTTTCCGTTACGGTTGGAGTCGTAGAAGTTGTTCTTGACGTCTACACCGTGTTAGTGGTTTATTCCCAGCCAAGATATGGAACACTTACAGGCATGGAAGTTGGCGTTGCCTCGTGTGAAAGCAGTGACACTGGTGTGAGGACCAGAGATAAAGTAGTTGTTCATGATGTTGACGTAGCTGTCGCCGTCACTTCCTCCGGCAATGTAGCCACCGCCACCTCCCCAGTTGTAGATGACCTACAATATTAGCTTCATGAGTCTAGACAGTAAACAAGATACTCACATTGTTCTGGAAGTCATTGACTCCCTTGACCTTGGGGTTACGGGTCTTGTTGTCAATGTACAGGTTGCGGAACAGACTGACTCCTCCATCGGTCTGCATCAAACCACCGCAAGAGTGCGACACGAGGCCCTGAGCGATGATGGTGTCCTGGATGGTGACCTTGGAGACAGCTCCGTTGATGGAAAAGGTCTCGTCACGGCCCCACGAGGCACTGACGTGATCAAAGATCATGTTCTTGCCGTCGGCGATGGTGATGGCGTCCTTACCCGAGGTTCCCCCTCTGCCCATGCGGATGGTGATGTATCGCACGATGGCATCGTTGGCATTGGAAAAGGACCAGCCATTGCCGTACACCACGATTCCCTAAGTACACTTTAGGACAACTCTCAATAGAACGGAGTTGGATTTGACTTACGCCGCCAGGAGCAGTCTGGCCAGCAATGTAAACGTTCTTGGAGACGACCATGCGACCAGTAATCTTGATGATGCCGCCGACGTCAAACACGACAATTCGGTTAGGCTTTGACACGGCATCACGAAGAGAACCCGAGCCCGAATCACTGCCAATTGTTAGACATTTGAAGGTACCATGTCCGTTTTAAACTTGCTTAAGATTCGTCACCTTGTAGACCTCACCACCATTACGACCACCAATAGCATCCTTACCAAAGCCCTCGGCTCCGGGAAACGCAGGAACAGCAGCCTGGACTGCGGAAGTAGCCGCAAGGGTCAACAAAGAGAGGGAGAGCTTCATGATTCGACGATGGACTGGAAGAAAATGACCCAGATACTCATGTTTCAGATCCGAAAAAAGGCGGCGTACAAACCGACCTTATGTAGCACTCCTCAAAGACCCCTGAAACTATATTCTTACCGAGCATACGGTCTGAACCTCTTCTGCTCACCATCTAGAAACGGGGTGTAGAATATCCTCCAATGTTTAGTCTTCGGGTAATTAAAGGGGGTGGACGGGTGTTTTGCTAGCATGCTGTGCCGATTGGTGGAACTGTCGGGCAGGGGGTGTTTGACAGGCCTATTTCTGCCACAGGAACAGTTTCAAAGGGGGACGAGACTCCGAGCTGCTGTTTATGGGCTCGGATCGCTAATAATACTTGTTGATATTGTAGGAGGGGGAGTGTTGATTGGTGTGTTAATCATGCTTGGCTGATACAGCAGTGCATTCGGTTCAATCATCGAACGGTAGATCTGCCTAGTCTCGTATTTCGTAGTTTGGTTCTCCTCGGAACAACAGCCTTACGCTCCACTTCAATTGGTTCTGTGTAGAAGTGTTGCAGGGGTCTCGTCGACTTAAAACGAGCAGAACCTCGAACATCTTCAGGGCTTCTCTTCACATGAACTACTTATCAGCCATGATCCAGACCGGACCCTGAAGATGCCCGTAGTGCTGAGGTCGGGCTGAGGCACCCGGAGTTCAGGTTGAGGCGGGCAGCCCTGTTTTGGGCTCTGGCTGGGCTTTTCTACATGAGTTGCTTGTCTCCCTGCAGCAGTCAAGGCGATATAACAGGCAGGATGCGGTGTTTTCTTAGCCAATGTTGGTAGCAATGCATTGGCGCATTGCTGCCTAATGCTCAAGCCTGCAGCACGCCGAAATAGTCATGCACTTTGCTGGTTGAATTGCACGTTGCCTTGGTCGAGCCCTTACTGGGTGTTTTGGGGCGCGTGATCGGCTGTGCTAAGTTTGAGGGTGGGCCGAGCGGTGGTCTTGGTGGTCCGGAGGAATGAGGCCAGAAGCAATTGGGGCTCAGATCTCAACAGCGTGTCCGGGATTACTGTCAGGATGTTAATAGGTGGCGATGCGTGGCTATAACGAGGCGTACTTCAGGGCTGACATGTGTAGAATGAAGTGTATTTGTACAACCAGATGACTACGGGCTGAAAGCTCAGTCGCTCAGCCGTAACGGTGGACTCTAGTTATATATGTCCAACTACAATTATTATCAGCCTAAGTGATGTCAGAGGGGGGCCTAAAGAATTTCATAGGACGTGATTTGTTTTCCCACAAGCAGGGTGTGTCTGCTACAGTCGTTACTCTGTCTTCCGCTGCCCCAACCAGATTGTGGCTGTCTCATTGGAGCAACGCATTATCGGAATGCGCCTTGTCAAGGATTTAAGAGCTCCTCGCACACAGATTTGTCGATATCAATTTCCCAAGACCATGTTGGTCTACCACTTTGGCCGGTGAGCTGTCATTCCTTCGTTGGTACATTGGTAGAACTCTGACCCGTCTTCGGGTGCACACCTACCATGGCTCTTGAAAACGAAGACAGCTCTGCTTCGGCAACAGTGGACAAAGCGTGGCCTTCTGAATATTCAACACGCAGAGAGTTCTCGCCATTTTACAATGGACCCTCGTTCGAACGGTGGAGGGAGCTTGAGCTGGACGGCGACGAGCTCGACATGTTCTTGGACGATTTACCTCAAATTCCACGTCTGCAAGCAGAAGAAATACGGAGTTACTGCCGACCTACTCTCTCCAACTGTTACAGCCGAATAAACTTCCACACGGAGAGGCCCCCGTGGCCTGAGTCATATGGGGGGCTTGCCTGGGTTGATGACAGGACGGACCCGCCAGGCAATGAATCCGCTTATGCTCGGCGATGTCGCACGCCAGCTCAGCTTGATGAGGCACTAAAGAACCAAGTACGCAAATTCCTCTGCTTGGGGATGAAAAACCAAGACTAATGTTGTCTCAGAGATTGCCAGACAGTAACGGGCCTGATGCCGCGAGACGCCTCATGTATGTTTGCTGCCTCGAGAATGGCTACGCGGTTGCTCACTCGTACATAGCTACCTCAAAGGTTTACATCCCGAGCATATTCGAGTTTTAGCAGGTACAGCAACCTTCTGTCAAATCGAAGGACTGCGAAACGCAATTTATAGGTACATTGCCTCGGAAGCATTTGTAGGAGTTGATACCGTAAGGGCCTGATCTTGGATTCGATTCGAAATTTGCGGGTGTTTCAGCTAATCACTAGACAGAGGCCTGCTGATTGGCGCCCGGGCTGGTTCAACCTGGAATTCCATTTACCGGTATTCCTCATTCGGTCTAAAGACGCTTTGCGCGAGACGACGAATGAATATCCCCAGAGAAGGTGGAGAGACGTCTCATTTCTATCGCATGAGGGGGACCAAGAGAAATTTAGCATATGCAAAGCCCAAATTTCATGTCTTGTGGCGGGACGGGACGAATGGAATTGGACTGCGTATGCTTTTGTCGACCCTCACTTGGATGATGAGATTTACCTCGACACCGACGAATTGGACGAGGACCTTGGATATGAGGATCCGATCTCCGCCGGCAATCTCGATGGATGTTCTCCTCTCTGGAACCCCCGAGAGTACTTTCTGGCCATTTTTTCGTTTCGAATAATGCAGATCCAACGCGAATGGGACGATGTGGCACGCGAGCTGGAACGCAGGATCGATCGATATGTCAGTGTCCCATATTTATCATCTTGGAGTGAACCCCCCCTCCTGCTGAGATGAATTCAAATTCATATCATTTTTTGCTGACTATAACTAGAAACAAGACCATCCCCTGTCCTTGTCAGAGTATACAGAATCTACCACTGCCAGGCTGTCCTACGATTGGACCCTTCTTGTGATGACGTTGCTGGACGAACTTCTCACAGCCTTGGCCAAGTCTAATAGATCCTGGGACATTTTCTATCTCCAGGACGACGGGAATGCTTATTTCCGTGACTTGAAGGGTGCTGAACCTCTTGGGTCCCTCCAGAATATCAAGAGATGCTTTGGAAAACTAGAGCGCTGCAGAGAGAATCTGCAGAACCTGAAAGAAACTGTCACGTCTTATTCACGAGCTGTGAGCTTTAATCTTGCCAACCGTTGGGAAATTTCAGCACTAATAAACGTAGCTCGAACGGATCTTGGAAATCAACTCCAACAGTTCATGGCTAAGACACATGCCACTCTTCAATGGGTTGAAAATTGGTACATTTATGTTTCCTCAGACAAGCCCCCTTTACAACCAGCTGAGTTTCCACAACTCCGAGATCCGCCTTCTAAAGTTCACGGCCCCATGGACTGGCGCCACTTTGGCCTTTACCCTTGTTGTGGTTCCGCTACCGAAGTCTCCGAAATATGTTGCATTGTCATACAATTGGGGCCAACATACCAGGACAGTGACCATACGACTGAACAACTTTGTTGTCCCAATCACAACGAATCTATACGACGCGCTTCGTCGACTCCGCGCGGGAGGCGCCCAATACGTGTGGGCGGATGCTTTATGCATTAACCAGCAAGATCCTGACGAAAGAAGCGTGCAAGTACAGAGAATGCGCGCCATCTTCCAAAAGGCCAGTCGAGTAGCTGTGTGGTTAGGCCCCGAAGCTCGTGTCAACAAAACTGGGCTTCAACTGCAAGCTGATACCACCTATGTTGATCTTGACCATCAACCCGATCTCGTTAGTTCAGTCGTGCTTCGGGATCTACTCTCACGACCATACTGGGAGCGTGTCTGGATCATCCAAGAAGTTGCAGTTGCTTCGGATGTCGTCGTGTATTTTGGCCGCTATAGCATCTCCTGGGAAGAATTTGTCAATTGCTGCCGCCTGTACGCCAGGGATGCTACCATCTCTTCCAGAAGACTCTCAAACAGCTCTCCTAGCGGACTTGCCACTCTACTTCAATTTCGGGACGACAAGAAGACTGGAAAACATGTCAGTTTCTCGGAGGCCATTCGTCGAAGTCGGTCATCGCTATCCACCGATCCGCGAGACAAGCTTTTCGCCCTCCTAGGACTTAGTTTCAACGGCAAAGACTTGATCCCGGAGCCAAATTACATAAATTCCCCAGAGGAAGTCTTCATAGAGTTTACCGCCGCCTTGATCAAATCCTACGCCCCATTGGATTACATCTACCTCAAGGCTGCGCACCGTACCGTTGGTGAGGACTTGCCGTCGTGGGTGCCCGATTGGACTAAGCTTGACGATGTTATTACGCAAAGACAATTTGACTACATTATCCAACTTCCCCAAAGAGAGCTGGAACCAGGAGGAATCAGTGTCTTCTCATTGTCTGAAGCCACGCTCACCGTCAAGGGCATGATTGTCGATACAGTTCACTACCTGGGGAACATACTTGTTGGTCAAAACGGAGATATCGAGGCCCCAGGTACCGCAACTTGGCCAGATGTCCCAGAATTGAATCTAGGCTCTGATGCGACCGTCTTGATTTTCAAGACACTCACTGGAGTTGGACTCCGTTCTGAAAGAAATTGGGACAGTCTGGATGTCTATTACGTCGAAGCCGATGAATCCTGCAGCACTGACGAAGGGGAAGAAAGCTCACTTTCTTCCAGTCTCGAGAATACATCTGAGCTGCTTGCCCCTATTCATGCCTGGCTCGCAGCAAACTGCATGGCAAGATTAGGAGCGAGAAGCCTTGGGAATTGGTGGAAGAGACTGATTGCTGAAGCCAGTCACATTGGAGACGTACCAAGAGTCTCCCGCCACGTTCATGACTGCATCAGGTGTGGTATGCGCCTTTTAGTGACGGCGAGAGGCTATGTTGGGTGGGCACATCCTCAGGCGCAGAAAGGCGACAAGATTGCGCGTGTCTACGGCTGCAGCAGGTATGTTCTCTTGAGGGCTTTCCGAGGCAAATACCGGGTGGTAGGTGACGTAATTATCACAGATGTAGAGATTGGAAACCCAACGTATGAGGCATATACGATTAGGGAGTTACAAATTCTATAGTCAAGCACCGCTCAATTACGGACCTCGATCAATTGTATTTGGCCTTGTAGCGCTTGAATTTGGGGTTATGACTAAGACCTCAGTTGAGTTTCGTCTCAAGATACCACACTGATAATATCATATTGTGCGTGAAAAGGAAAGAAAACGAGCCCAGGAGTCTTTGTGGCTTCCCTGTGTCGTTTGCGTAAGAATATGAGTCTGAAATGGACTTGAAAGCTGTTCAGGCTATAGGGGTCTGTAATATTGAAAGGTGAGTTTCTTCGCCACCTATGCTCTGATGGGTTAAGAGCGCTCTTCCGTGTGAGATGATTGAAGGAGATACAAGTCGGGAAGTTGCCACTTGATGACCTTCTTGTGCTAGTACCTATCGCGCCTGATGATCCCTAAGAGAGTGAGTGGTGAGTTATCTTGTTAGGTCAAGCCAATAGCATGCATCCCACGCTAGAAGGGCTTTCATGTCCACAATACGAGTTCCACTACCATAGGGGAATCCTTGCTCGCTCATTTCTCGAGGCTGGCGGCCATGGACTATTGCACGATAGTGACCACGCAAACGTGGACGAGCCTGGGCAAATTTTTCGGATTGGGCTTTGGGACATGCCAAAGCCACACATTCCTAATGACATGACCCCAGAACAATATAATTTAGAGGGAAATGATAGATACTGCGATGTATATATATATAGCAATTGCGTCAGCATGTAGCATGTCAGAGAGCTTAGTATAAATAAGTACCCAATTCTATAGCTGACAAAGTTGGATTTTTGCCGTTCTACAGCACAACCAAATACGACGATATAGGACATTGTAAACCGTGTAGTGATCTTCTCGAGAAGCTAGTTGTCAGTCCAACCCCTATTCTGTGAGTTGGTAGAAAGGGCTCCCTAAGGTGTTGTTCTCTTAAACAACACTTGGTATAAGCAACGTCGAACACAAATTCTGCTCTAAAATTCTTGATCAACTCTTCAATGTATCTTTCCCAGTTAGTACCAACAACATTAGATAGACAAAGGCAGCGCAGTTTTCGGGGCCCCTCCCCGACGTTCTCGACTTGTGGTGGGGCCGATATGTCGGGGTTTCAGCCCGCCGGACCGGCCTTGAATTGTTCGGCAGCGGCCCGGGCACCGAGAAACAGGTATGGCCGGGAAGGATTGGAGGAAAATAGCATGAAATTTCGATAGGTATTGTATTGAAGTAGTCTGTAGTTAACACCTGAGGGAAGAGGTGTTAAAGCCCCGTGTTGTGGAACACATACATGGTTCGAGTATGTAACAATATGTATATCATAGATCGTAAAATATCTCGTCATTATAGCCAATTGCAACCTTTTTTAAGAAATAAAACATAAATTCAGATTCATCAAATTCCATCTTTCCTGCTCTGGTGACTTTGGCGCATGTCGGTTAGTACCCGACGGATATGGTGTGCTCTGCACTACAATCGGCTATCATCCGAGCAACCCCATCTGCCCCCGCGTCTGCTCCAAGAACGAGGCATATTCCGTTGAATGTATCTCATTTTCTCAATTTTTGTTCTTCTGTTGATAACCTTTCTTATTGGAGAATATCGGCTATGAATACCTGGCACACACGTGGGTGGTAGAGCTAATGGAGGGAGTCGAGTTAAGGTCGGCCGTGGTCACCGGAGCGGGACCCTGCCGATCAGGATGCAGCCATGGCGTGGCTCAAAGAGGTAATTATCATGGAGCCCGGTACCAAGTTGACGTGAGGTACTAAGCTGCAGGCTTATGTGGGTATAAGTAGGTAGGTCAACATATAACTCGCCTCTCTCCCCTCATTCTGCGTTTATCAACCTTTATCACAAACACAAAATGACCTCACCTATCCCTCCCCGAGGCATCTATGCTCCCGCCGTCGCCTTTTTCAAGGAAGATGAGACGCTAGATCTTGATTCCATTCGAACCCACCTCACTCGTTTAGCCAAAGGTGGTGTTGCTGGTCTTGTGATCCAGGGCACAAATGGAGAGGCCATGCACTTGAGTCATGATGAGAGGAGTCAAGTCATTCAAATATCAAAGAGTGTTCTCAAGGAGCATGGTCGTCCGGATACTGTCGTCATCGCCGGTACTGGTGCTCAGAGCACCCGTGAGACCATTCAGCTCTGCAACGAGGCTAGCGAAGCTGGTGCGGATTTTGCCCTTGTCCTGAGCCCCAGTTACTTTGGTAAGACGACCTTGTATACAAAAACTACCTTCTCGACAAGCTAACACTCGACCCAGTTGGAGCCATGCAAAAGCCCGTCCTCTCCAAGTTCTTTGATGACGTCGCCACTGCATCCCCCATTCCAATCCTCCTCTACAACTTCCCCCTCGTCACCGGGGGCATCGACCTGGACTCTGACCTCATCACCAACCTGGCTGCCGCCAACCCCAAGATCGTCGGCACCAAGCTCACCTGTGGAAACCTGGGCAAGCTGCAGCGTCTAGCCCACGAGCCACGTATTGGCCACCCATTCGCCGCCTTTGCTGGCAAGAGCGACTTTTTCCTCCACGGTCTCGTTGCCGGCTCGCATGGTGTTATCGCCGCTGCAGCGAACCTTCTCCCCAAGGTTCACGTGCACGTGCTGAAGCTGTATGATGAGGGCAAGCTTAAAGAGTGCCAGGAGCTTCAGACTCTGCTAAGCCGAGCCGACTGGGCGCTTGTTCAGCTAGGCGTGGCCGGTATCAAGGGTGCGCTGGATCGATACTACGGCTATGGTGGTGGACGAAGCCGGAGACCACTGGGTCAGGTTGATGCGAGCAAGTTTGAGGGCGGTGTTGATGGGACTCTCAAAGGTCTGATTGATCTAGAAAACTCGCTGTGATAGAATAGAATAAGGGACCATGTCGTTCTAGCTATAGACAACAAACCAAAAAATAAATCGCCTTAAATTCGCCCTCTGAGTTCAAGAGTTTGGTGATGATCTTTCGTGCTCCGTGCCAGATTCACTTTTCAAAAAGTCCCCCAGTGTTGTTAAGAAAGTAACTTGACCTTGGTCAAAGTGCCTTCAAGGTCTGTATGTGCGAAAAGATGGGGGGAATAATAGAGTGCCTCTTCAAGTCTTTGTTCTCCCTTTGTTCTCCTGGTAGATTTACCTCACAAGACCCTCTAAGAATAGAACTGATAGCTCAAGGCAAGAAAATACAGAAGCTAAATTCAACTATTCCACTAAATTCGTGAACATCATGATCTATGAACAAACCACACAACGCCTAGCTGAGAAACCAACCCGGGTCAAGAGCTCTCCTACCTTCCCAGGGCTCCAAAGAGCTTGTACCATCTTTAATCTTTGTCCTCCTCTCTTTGAGTTTTTTCCCCTTTCTTCTTTATGAAGCTTTCTTTGTAACCTTGCTCTTCTTTTGTGCCTGACCAACACGTTCCCCACCAGCTCGTTTCCGCTTGTTCTGCTTGCGGACAACATCAACGTTGAAAGCCCCAGGATCATGCCTCGGAAGGTCAATCATATCCAAGTCAATCCATTCGTCATTGGTGATGGGAAGGAATGGTCGCTGTCGTGATGGCTGAGGGCGGAGCATATATGGTGCAGGGTGCCGATAAGCCTGAAGCCGACACTCCCTTTGCATGGTACCAAGCACGTACCTGAGATAGTTATTCCAAACATCAATCACCTTGGTCTGAAAGCAGTAGAGATCCCACGCAGCCAGACTTTGAAATTTCCAAGTTGGCTCCAAGCCCAAGCCGCCGGGTCCGAAAGGGTGAGGCATCGTCCAAGCCATGCTAAAGTCAACGAGAACACCGTTGACGTACTGCGAGATACTCATGTCCCTGATAACAATCCCGCATCTATGGATCTCATGCAGGTCCTCCAGCATCCTTGGAAAGTGCGAGACGCTGAGGATGCTGTCAATCCTGTGTGATGGGATATCTGTCTCACGCCAATACCTAGCCGGTTCCACCCAATCCTTGACGATGCCTTTGATCTCAGAGGAGGTAATCAATATCGATTTGGCGGTCGGTGGGGGATCATTGGGGAGACGATAAAGCTTCAACAAGGCGTTGCGCATCTTGCGCTCCAGGGCTTGATCCACCTTGAGAGAGACGTAGCCGTAAACCTTGACGGCGAGGTATTCGCAGTTAACCTCCTTGAGCCTACCATAAGCGCGACATTCCTGGTAGAATGGGGTAAAGTGCGACTCAAACTCTGCTGCCTTTTCTCTGGGAATCGTTGGATAGTCGCTAGCTGAGTATTCGGGTTCTGACATTTCAGTCTCGGTAAACTATTCCACAGTCGTTAGCAACTCAAATATCACCAAAAGATACAATGAACTTACGAATTTGATGGCGTATATGCGACCTCTGATTCTCGTTTTTACAATGATTCCATGTACGCCATGGTGCCCGAGAAACTCGAGAAACTCGACATCGTCGGAAAGGAGGTTGTAACTGAATGGCTGTAGCTTGGGGCCATCGCCTAGAGGTAGTGGTATCAAAGCTGGCATGATGTTCAAATGGTGAAGCTCGTGTGTAAACTTTCTGTTCAGTGGCCTAGTCGATGTTTGATTGAGAGCTAAGAGAAGGTAGAAACGTAGTGGGTGGGAATCCTCTTATACCCCTACATGTTCAAAGACACGGCTTGATATGAAAGAAGAGGCGTAGCTAAGCAAATACTACAAACGAATCAAGAGATCACTCAGAATTTACAAAGGAAAGAACAAGGATGGGAGCAAACATGCAGTAAAGCAGACGCGGGTCACTGCATAGGGGAGAGGATAGCTCTTTGTCTTCCACTTGGGTCTTATCCCGTCACAATAATGGGGAGCGAAGTCTTTGTCTAGGAAAGGAAAGATTGTCAGCAAATAGCCTATTACTGTGCTTAAGTCGCGTTCTTGCGCTCAAAGGCCCCTGTATACCGAGACCCAGCATCAGTTTTCGGTCTTAGCTATATGTGACATAGTCATATCTATGGCTCTTTGCAATAGTCGTTTATAGCTATAGCGTCAACACTTGCTTGTACAACTTTCAACAAGGCCAGCCAAATTGAGCTCCGAATTCTACGTTGCCGTATTGAGATGACTCTGCCCCGATCTTACAACTTCTCAAGAACAGAGTCGCAACTGATCCAGTCCACTGCACATAAGCCTAACAGGCCCACTTCATGGCATCATAAGATACCCAGGACCAACCTATCAACGCAGTGTCATGTTGTCAGCACACACGCATACATGGATGAAGAAAACGTCACAACTCGAGAGTGTAACGGACTCTACTTCAACTCCTGATCTCGGCAGTGATTTGCGGGTACAACAATGCAGAACTGGAGCCAGTTACTCAACAAATCCGGTATCTGCCCGGTTAGCTCAATCGGTAGAGCGTGAGACTCTTACGAGTACACAATCTCAAGGTTGCGGGTTCGACCCCCGCATCGGGCTATTCCTATAAAATGATTGAGATTCTTTTTTTGCCGTTGGTGGTTACTTTTTGCCGCGTTCTTCACCTCAATACCGAGGCTGCCCGGCGATATTCTCGGTGCCTGCCGGAAGGCTTCTTTTCCCTTCACCCATACACCAATGTTCCAGGTCAGTCAATCCCTGCACCAACAAATGCACGACGCCAGTCACCAGTGATGTCGGTCATTTCTCAATCAAGAATCGTTTCGAGGATTCGTCTCATCAAAGGGTCATGATAGTCATCATAGAGTTGCTCTTCCGCTTGCTCAGATACACCCAGAGTGTCGTGTCAACCTTCCCTCGAGTTCCGCTTCGCCACGTTACATCACAAACAGCAGGTCGGTATCTGGTCACCAGTCAGTATTCGGGCTGTTTCGAGAGTATGGGCACACTCACCAATGGGGTGACTGCTCGACAGCTGAGGCTTCTGAGTATACTTGGTCTCGAGGATGTCGCGAACGCTGTTGAGGAGCTCGACGTAGCTCTGCTGGGGGTTCGCCTTGATCGCCGAGATAAAGGCCCATGACATGGCGCCAGTGGCCTGGGAATTGATGGTAGCATCAGCCCTGTGATTACATATTAGCAAAAGTTCGCGAATCCCTTGGGCGACACTCACGATGTCTGGTCGTCCTTGCTTCCCGACCACATGATGACGTCGGCAGGCGAAGTTCGCGTCTGCTTGGTCTTCTCGTAGGCGTCGTCACCTGTAAAGGCAGACTTGGCCAAGCTGAAAACGGAGCTTGCAGCGCCAGCCACGTCTCCTCTAGAGTACGCGGTAAAGGCGTCAAACAGACCCGAGGCAGCTTCCTTGGCCAGGTTGGGCTCCTTCAAAACACCCTTGGTGGAGTAGACGTAAGGAAGATCCATGACGGTAGCCGAGTGGCACGAGTCAAAGATGGCAGTGAGACGGACGCCCTGTCCCAGAGGCTTCACGACGTAGTGGTGAATCTCGTCGTCGACAATGTGGCCGGCCTGTTGGTGGTCGACTGGGTAGATGCACTCGTCGTATCCATCATCCTCATCGCCGTCCTCGTCTTCGACCTGTCCGCCGTGGCCTGACACAGTTAGATCTCGCGCATTATGTCGCGAAAGGGTGTGGCTTACCAGAGTAGTGGAGGAAGAGAGCGTCGTTGGGCTGGGCATTAGATACGAGCCAACCCATAGCGCGAATGATGTTGCCTCTTGTAGGCTGCATCGTGGGGTTGGACTGGTCGTCGGTCAAGATGACCATATCCTCGCGCTTATACCCATAGCGCTCAACGAGGAAGGCCGAGACGTTGTGAACATCGTTGATGCAGCCGCGAAGCTCGCCCTCCTGGCCAAAGTAGTTGATACCGATCAGCAGAGCCTTGCGCCGACCAGTACAGTTGGAGTACTGGAAAGTGTAACCTTCGGGAGCTCCATGACCGAACTGCTGAGGCGCCGAAGGAGGAGGTGGACCGGAGCGGGCATGGGCGGCGTAGCCGTGACCCCGTGAGAGCGGGTATCCGTACGCGTCGAGGCCGGGAGGTGGAGGGTATCGTGGAGGAGGGTAGCGCTGGTATCCGGACTGGCCACCGTAACCCTGAGGAGGATGTTGGGGGGGAGGAGGTCCCGAAGGAGGAGCATAGCCGTAGCCGCCGCCGCCACCTCCGTGATAGCCTTGACCCGGGTAGTAGGACATGTCGGCAGGTTATGTGCGAGGTAGATTGTGGTGTTGATCCTTGGCGCGTGAAGCGACTCGAGGTGGAGGAAGAGGAGAGAGTTGTCCGGGATCAGGAGGAAGATGCAGGAGGGAACCTGATGGAAAGATGGGAGGCTTGAGACGCAACAATATGGGGTCAGCGGCTGGCCGGACGAGCTGGCAGGGCAAAGATTGGTCTGGAGCTGACTGGCTCGACCGACGCGACAGGAGGCAGCGCAGCCTCAATTCAGTCTCACGACGCACGCGGAAGCTCTTGGTGCTCCGGAGCGACAGCGGGCGCTAATTGCAAGGTGGGGCGGGCTATGAGCTGGTGGGTGGTGGCCGTGGTGGTGAATGGTGATGGTGACTGGTGCTGATGGAGGGGAGGGGTCCCTTCGGATCCCGGTCGACGCGGGGCCCTCACTTCGACCCTTGGTGCTCTCACTCCATCCGACCTTCCCCTCCAGTCCCTGGGAAACCCCTGGAGTCCAGCTGGAGGCCGCTGGGTGCTGCCTCTGGATGCCCTGATGGCGCCGGACTGTTGTGGTCCTGTGGACATCAGCGCCAAGGTCTTGGCTGTCCCTTGGCAGGGCTTGGCGCTGCAGCAGAGCCCCTCCCCCTCACCGCAGTCCATGTCTGATGCTGGCGTTGCAACTGCTGGAGTGTGTATCAGAAACGTGATTGACACGGATTCATCATCACAAGGGACCGAAACTGGGACGTCTGAGACGAGATGGGGGAACGGGTGGGCGCCCTCTGGAGCCCCGCGGCACGACGCGATGCTCCATCCCCAACCTCTCTTGGAGATGAGATGAGGCTTCACTGGCGGCCTCCCGCTTACCTCGGGGCGTCACGCCGGGACCAGCTGGGTGACGATGCTGAATGACTGTGTGTGTTTACAGACACGTTTTTTTTTACCTCAATCTTGATTCCGTGAGGCGGCATGGTCGGATATTATGGCGACGTGCGCTCAGGCTCCGCCACATGTATCAACACAGCACCCCTTTCCTGGACCACGTCCGATGAGCTTTGAGTGGGGATTTGAGCGCTTCGAAGGGAAAGCCGAGAGCAACACTTGTCATGAGCGTCCAGAGCCCATGGTCAGGTCAGACAAGTCAGGCCCAGATGAGGCATAGCCCAATGGAGATGACTGGAAGGAAGCCATGTACCATATACCAGTGGAGATGCGGTTTGGTTTTCTTGGTGTACATGCGTCCAAGTACCGCGCTGGTGCGATATCCACACTTTGCTTCTGAAGACTAGAGAGCGTTTGAGCTGGTGAGGACTTGTTCCTGACAGAATTCGGTTCAGAGTTTATTGATGACGCCTCTTGAGACCCTTAAAAGAAGCATGTTTGCCAGGACAAAGAGCTCTTGAAGCTCAAGCTCTAAGAAACTCATTTCATGGAGGGGCAGCATCTTCTGCCCCGCCGGAACGGGCCGCAAGGGGCATTGAATGGCCAAAGCTTCCGGCCGACCGTTTTCCAGACGGTGTTTGCCCTGTAGAGGGGTCGATTTAATCATTGCTCAAGATACGACAGCACCAGTGTTGATTCACGGATGGAGTGGAAGGGAAGGCAAGAGAAGCAGTGACATGCATCGATTCGAGTGACTCTCTCAAACAGTGACACAACTCGCTTCACCCCACCATCCCCATCCCATCCATCCTTGTACCGTTTCGGCATTGCCAAGTCGTCACGACTGACGATAACTGAACGGGTCCATCTTTCTTGCCCGTGTTGCATGCCGCCTACCTGTATTCACCAACAGCCAGTGCCTGCCAGTGACAACCAGCTGTTCACTCCTCGCGCCTTGCACCTCAAGCCTTTCGCCATATAAACATAAATCCCTCCGCCTCTCCTCTGTTTGTTTTTCCCTCTCATCTCCATTCTCTCTCCTCTTTCTCTTCTTCCGCATCTTCCCTCCTGCACATCCCTCACCCAAGCCTTTCGGCATCACCTCCAAGGTCTCTCTCAACCATGTCTTTCTTCAAGAAGCTTACCAAGGAGCTCGAGAACTTCGGAATCGGTGATAAGGACAAGGACGAGAAGAAGGACGAATCTCAGTCCCAGGCTCCCCCTCCCCCTCCCGCTGAGGGTAAGTGTCGGGCTGATCAATCCCAATCACACTAGCTAACCTCTTCTCCCCCAGGTAATCGCGCCTACGGCTACCACGGTGAGGGCGGCCAGGGAGGTCCTCCTCCCGCTCAGTACTACGCTGCTCCTCCCCAGCCTCAGTACCAGCCTCCTTCCGACAAGCCTCCTCTGCCTGAGGGCTGGACTGCCCAGTTCGACCAGCAGCACCAGCGCTGGTACTATGTCGAGGTAGCTACCGGTCGCACTCAGTGGGAGGCTCCCGGCCAGCACGCCCCTCCTCCCGGTCCCCCTCCCTCTGACGGATCTCGCGACTTTGGTAGCCATGGTGGTGGTTACGGAGGTGCTCCTGGCTATGGCGGCGCTCCTGGCTATGGTGGCGCTCCTGGCTACGGCTCTCCTCCTCCTCAGGGCGGTTACGGATCGCCCTCTCCTGGCTACGGTGGCTATGGATCACCTCCTCCCCCTGCCGGTTATGGCTCTCCCCCTCCTCCCGGCGGCTACGGAGGTGCCCCCGGATACGGCTCTCCCTCTCCTTACGGCGCCCCAGGCTACGGTGCTCCCGGCGGCGGCTATCCTCACCAGGATGGCGGCCACAACCCTTACGGAAACGAAGGCGAGCGCGGCGGCGAGAAGAAGAAGAGCGGCAGCTCCGGCATGCTCCTCGGTGCCGCCGGTGGTCTTGCTGTCGGTGCTGTAGGCGGTGCCCTCATTGCTAATGCCCTTGACGACAGCGACAGCGAGCATGAACATGCCGCTCCCGCTCCGGCCCCTGTCACACACACCGAATACAATGAGTACAACCAGTACCGTGAGGCGCCTCCCGCCGACTACAACGACCCCTACGCCCAGGATGGACCCCCTGCTGTCCTTCCCCCCACTGACGCCGATGGTGACTCTGTCTCATCGAGCGATCGCGAGGATGTTCAGGAAGCTCGTGAGGAGTATGAGGAGGCTCTTGCAGACGCTGCCGACTCGGACGCCAGCAGTAGCGACCAAGAGGCCCTCGAGGAGGCTCGTGAGGAGTACGAGGAGGCGTACGAGGAGGTGTATGAGGACTAAAGGGTGTAAAATGAGCCATGATTAACGACGACGCATTTCAGGTCAATATTCAATTGGGATGGGTTGAAGCCGTGTAGGCAGGGAAGCAGGTTATCGAATTTGGACTCCACTTGTTGATACCTTTGCACATTGTACAAGCAGAAGGAACAAGAATGCATCCATGCATTCATTTCGTGATGATGCTACATCTTGGCGAGAGCCTCTTGGCAATCAGCACTGCCACTGTTTTGCGAGTGAATGACTGAATGACTGAGCATCCATATGTCGTTGATGTCAAAGGCCTGGGCTGGCTCGGTGTGCTGCACCTCATGTGCCGCCGCAAGTGCTCTACTGCAGCGCATGCATGGCCTGGCCAGGCGTCAGACCATGTCCCAGACGCGCCGGGGGTGCATAAAAGGATACTAGTAGTCATTGTTTTCGCTTATCGGCACGGAGCCAAGAACTATTGGACCCTCTTTGCCTCCAACCCCGGTCTCGAAATATCCGGCCTCTGCTCCGGCCGAGAGCCCGAGTCTTCGGGGTTGAAGTTGGAGGCCTCACCGGATGGAGTCGATGTCAGTGAGGAATAGTAACATGACAGCGCAGCTCTATGAGGTAAAAGTCACCAGAGAAATAGACAGAAATTGAGGCAAGAGAGAGAAAGTCACTCATGTGAGTTGTCCAGTGTCCATGCTTACTTGGCATTACACGAACGTGGTGAGGGACTCTTTGCACAGCCTCCTTCTCTCCCCGCTCTTGTATGTAGATAGTCGGCGGTTGGTTCTTGGCGACTGGGAGTACCTTTATACTTGCTCCGTATTGTATCCGTGGACCGTTTGAAACTGAGATTGTTACGCGCCCTTTTGGTAGAGGGATGGGGCATTGATGTTGTTGATGCCCATTCTCTTGTGCTTGAGGTGGTGGTGATGGCCTTACACGCTACCTACAGAGGTGCACTTGGACATCAGGACATGTCGTCACCTTTTCATCGAACAATACATAACGGTTTCACAAACCTAAGCCCTACGAGCCCTCTAGCGGGCGCGGATCCCCCCTTTTTTTTTTTCTCCTATCCCTCTGGTTCCCACTCAAACCCTGGGTAGTAATTGAGGCTGTGTTCTTGACAGCCCGCATATCTCCACAAGCCGAGTGAAGAGACGGACTCGATCTCTACAATAACAAGGAGTTCTGAATCGAGATTAAAAAGAGACACCGCCATTTAACACTGGGATCGACCGTTTTTACTAGCCTAATGCCGAGATATACACGGCAAAATCTTGCCGAGAATGCGGTAATAATCACACCTGTATGATGCTTGATCCGATCAAGCTTTTTTAAAGCAACAGTCAGCGAGAAACACGCACCTTTTAACAAGGGAGAAAAAAGCTTGACAAGAAGCTTGACAAAGAAGCTTGTTTTTTTATTTCTTGCTTATTTTTCTTGTTGGTCTTGGAAAGTGTAGGGGGACCTTGTAAAAGGGGCGTTTGGGTAATATTGCTTGGCGCGCGTGGATATGTGTGTGGTGGTGGTGTTGATGCATCAAGGGGTGTAGTCAGGACGAGGAGATTGGCAAGTAGATACGGAGCGGTAAGACTGAACTTGGTTCTTTCAAACTTGACTTTGTTGTTGTTGCTGTTGTTGTTTGTGAAGACGCTTCCCTCAATGTGTGCTCTGTCAATGGCTCTCTCCATGAGTTGACACTCCCCATTGTGACGGGAAAATTGACGACATAGGTCTATTTCTTCATTATTTGCTACTCAAGTAGGCCGTTTTCCTCATTCTAGCAATTCCTCTCTGCCAGTTCCGAAAAACACTCGTCACAATAGAAACAATGCTGATACTCAAAAGAACCTCCCAGGACAAACACAAAAGCCGACAGCGAGTTCACCTCTGCTGGGTATCAATAAATCCTCCTCCTCCTCCGGTCATCGTTCCGTCGTTTTTTTACTTTTCGTTATTCTTCTCGTCCATGCAGATACACAGAGCAGCCATGAGGGCCATGTCGACGTTGGGCGCCACGACGAGGGCGTACGTCTGCTGGCCGAAAAAGATGTCCTTTCCGCTGAGGAGCTTGCGGTCGATGCGGGCGACGGCTGTGCCTGTCGTCTTGTCCATGATGTCGGCTGCGTAGTCGAGCCAGCCGCCCTTCATCTCGAGGACGTCTTGCTTGCCGTCAGCCGAGGTAAAGGTAGCTGTGGCCTTGGATCCGAGCACTACGACTATCAATACGAGACACATTCGAAAGGTGGTTCAAAGGAGAGCTTACGCTTAAAGCTACTCTTGACCTCCATGAGGACCTGTCCCTGCGGACTCTCAACATGAAACGTGGTGTGGATGTTGAGCAACTTCTTGACAATGTCAAACAGGTGATTGCCCTGCATGTCGTAAACCGACTTGCGACCCGAGATGCTCAGCATCTTTCCCTGGACCTTGAGGATGGGCTGGCCATTGGCGAGCTTAATGTCGAAGCTGTCGCCCGTCAAGGAGAGCACCTTTTCCTTGAGCACCAGCGTCTCGGTCTGTCGGGCGATGAGGTTGGGAAAGACGCCGACCTGGCGGGGCGCGGGCTGGAGCTGGACGGACATTGTGGGTGGTGTTTGATGTGCTGACTATGGATAGGGACTCGATCGAGAGGAATGGGGGATGAAGGTGAATGACGTCGCAAACTGTTGGACCCTTGGGCCCTTTTTAAAGGTGGCAGTGAGACCCTTGCGGACAGCAAAAGTCAGTCACATGGAAAACGCCCATCCTCCCTCCCCGCTGGGACGCGCGCTGCCATCAGCCATACGCAGCTTCTACTGGCTGCTACTGACCGTAGGGCTGATCGCAGCAACGGTCCCGATATAGCAACCCACGAATGGATAGGGTGTGGCGCCGGCAAGGCTGATTCCACTTGACCTCTGAAGCAAGGGGCGGTGGAGGAGCTGAAAGAACGATGGATCACTGCTTCAGCATGGGCTGTTGAACGAGAAAGGAAAAATGCCTTGCGTGCAGCAAATGCTCGTCGCTTGCCACCCCTCATTCGCCCATCCATCCTGCCGGTACTTTTTCTGCTTTCCCTCCTGTCGAACGAGTCTTGGCTCGGTAGCTCAGCTCCGAGAAGAAAAATAGCTCCGTCGGAAGTGAAATGTTTCGCATTGTCCATCGGGTCGGGTTGGGAGGAGGGCTGTGTGTGTGTGATACACGCTAGCTGCCTAACAAGACATATTTTGTGTGCTGGATGGAGATCTGCAGGGAACTTTGGGAACACAACGTGATTGTGGCTACTGGCGGCTGAGATATTGCCTGTCTTGTACGGAGTACAGTACTGAGGTCTCTGATGTGACTTGTGAGGTAACATTGGTTCTTATGATGAATGGACTTGAGCTGCCCTGTCGGGCTTTTAAATTGCTAGCGCTTAGAAGTTGACCAGGGAGCTCCATGCAGTGGGTGGCTCTGAAGCTTGAGACTGATATTCCTTTGAAACGACCTTTCATCCCTAACAGACAGCTTGAAGCACAAGGAGATTGTCTATGGTAACTGGCGGCCTCCGATTTACCTCATTATCACACTAGAATAAACGCGAAAGAATGCCTTGGAATCCGAAAAAGGACAATCATCCCCCAGTCCCAAAATCCTCTTTACGTCATGTCAATCTTAACCCATCATGATCCTACCCTACATCGTTGTGTCCTCTCGGAGTGGGTATGCACTCTGATTGCTTAACCACCTTCATCAACAATCACGTGATTGGTCTGGTGGTCTAGTGGTATGATTCTCGCTTAGGGCAAACCCGAAAGCAAGCTTGCGAGAGGTCCCGGGTTCAATCCCCGGCCAGACCCTTTCTTTTGCACTTTTTGCCAGTGAATGGGAATGTTTTTGACTTGATGTTGTTGGATGACTGCATCTCTTTTTGCTTCCTGAGCTTTGGCATATGCCCAGTCATGGACTGGAATACCAGGAGTACATAGAACAACGACAGCAAAAGCACACAAAGAATAAAACCTACTTCACAAAAAACTATGTCATTAAAGTCAAATAACGGCAACCTTCTTAAGTCTATCCTTGGTCTATGCACGAATACAAAAACAGATCTCGGGCGCGAGATAATACACAAGACACGCTAATGGGCGTCAAGTCAACCCACGATCCATTTTGGGTAATTTACAGAGCAAAGAAGGCGGCGACGATGGCGAGGCCAGCCACCGAAACCTTGAGGGTAGAGGCACCGCTGACGATGGTGCTGGGGGTCTCGGCGGGAGCAGAGCCAGACTCAGAGCCGGAGCCAGACTCGGAACCAGAACCGGAGCCAGAGCCGGACTCGGAGCCAGAGCCGGAAGAGCCAGATCCAGACTCAGAAGAGCCAGAGCCGGAGGAGCCGGAGCCAGAACCAGAACCGGAGCCAGACTCAGAGTCGGAGCCAGAGCCGGAACCAGATCCAGAGCTGGAGCCAGAGGTGGGAGTAGAGTAGACACCAGTGCCAGTAGCAGTCTTGGTAGACTCGTGACCAGAGCCAGAGCCAGTGCCAGTAGCGGTGGTAGTGGAGTTGTTGTGGGCAGCGCTGGTGGTCTCGGTGGACTCGGCATCCTCGGTGTCAGTAGCCTTGGAAGAACCGCTGGTGCGGGTCTTGGTGGCAGCCTTGGAGGAGGTGGAGGTCTCCTCCTCCTCGTAGCCGTCGCAAGAAAGGTCGAAGAGAGGGTTGGTGGACAGGTCCTTGGTGATGGCAAACTTCATCTTGTTGTCGGGGTTGGAGTCACGGAGAGTGTACCAGAAGGTGGGGGTCTGGTTGAAGAGGCGGCGGCAGCCAACATCGCGCCAGTACTTCTGGGCGTTCTTGACGCTGGGGACACCCTCATCCCAGTCGGGACCAGTCACGGGCCAACCGGTCTCAGTGACCCAGACGGGCTTGCCACCGGCGGCAGCAATGGTGGCCTCGTAGGCCTTGTCGAAGAGCTTGCCAGCGTTCTCGATGCTGTTGCCCTTGTCGTTCTCGTAGTAGGGGTACTCATCGACACCGATGAAGTCAATGGCGTCGAGGACGGGCTTGTTGGTGACGTTGCCCCAGACATCCCAGGTGTCGACGTGGCCGAGGGGAACCTTGGAGATGGGGGTGCCCTTGAAGGCAGTGCGGAAGTCGTCGATGAAGTCGACGAGGACATCGGGGTCAACACCGACACCACCCTTATTCTTGACACCAGTGACCGAGTTTCGGTAGAGATCCTCGCTACCGATGGAGACACCGATGATGAGGTCGGTAAGCTCAGTGCCGTACTTGGCAACAGCCTTCTTCAGGGCGCTGATCTCCTTGTCAATGTTGTCGGTTCCGGAGGCCCAGACACCGAGGAGGATGGAAGTCTCGGTCTCGATGGCAGCCTCGAAAGCCTCGATGGGGTCATCCTGAGAGTAGGCCTGGATGTTGGTGTAGAGTCGGACAGCGCTGAAGTCACCGGGGGCGCCCTTGAGGCCCTGAGCAGTCTCGAACTCGGCCTTGAAGTCGGCCTTGAACTTGGCGGATCGGTCGGCGAGGGTGGCACCGGAGTTGAAACCAAGGTAGTTCTTGGCGGAAGCGCCAACGGCGAGGGCGCCGGCAGCGAGGGTAGCGGAAACCTTCATGATGGCTAAAGTCTATTCGGTTCGACAAGAGAGTGTTGTTTTCGTTACTTTTCCTGTGAAACCTTTGAGGTCACGCCACGCCTAATCGATCACGTATTAAAAAGAGCGTGGGATATGTGTGAAATAATATTCAAAAAAGGCCTGAGCCAAAAAGAGAGTGACGAGGAATATAGATAGTCGATCCCAAAAGAGAAAGGACAGACAAGAAAAAAGAGAATGATGAGAGAGAGTCTTTTTCGTGATTGAAAGAATGGAGGAGCTTCTTGTTTTGGGTCATTCAGGAACGCCATGAAATTAGGGGGAGCGGGCCCTGGCATCTGTCACGTGCATGCACTAAGTTCCCGGTTTTTCAGGGGAAAGAGCTGACGACGCGGCTCCACAGCGATGGAATGATTGGCCCCGGCGCTTAGTCCGCTAAGAATAGCAGCCTCGAGGTCAGTGCTCATTGGCGGCTAACCCCAGCATCTCCTGTCTCGTATCCAGCGCCACCCAAGCCATAGACGGGACGGTAATTTGCGTGTGATCGACGATAAACAATCATGATCGCGTTGAGGAATGGTTATGATACGGTCAAGTACAGTTTCTTGTTTATCCTATAAAAATGACGATAAAACGCGCTCGATGCATGCTTCACTCAACTCGCTGAGGATCTGCCACGTCTCGATGCCATGTGTTGTCAAAGCAAAGCCACGTCCAAAACTCGGCAACTGGGCTTCAACGAGGATCAGGGAGGACCAAGCTCATTCACGGGTGGATCTTTATGCAAGGAACAAGTCACCGACAAAGAAAACATAAGCAAAGTCTATTCGCGTACCCAATCTCTAGCGCATTTATAAGCTGGGATCTGGGATGTCTCTTTTGCATCCAATTCCATGGCCAATCTTCATGTTTAGACTGGGCATGCAGGCGAAACATTCGATGCGACCTCCTGAGTGGTTCAATCAGATGCAGGTACAATTTCGCAATCCTCCTGGATTCACTTCGCTACTGATGCCCAGGAAACTTCCTTGACGTCAACCGGGTCAAATCTTGGTCGTGATACGAGAAGATCCCCCGGGAACAAACGACAGTCGACGAGTGGCTGAATCGTGGGTGGTCCAAGTGGGCTAAGCTCCCCCTTGGAGTGGAGAGCGGCACGCTTGGCTTGGAAGCCGATCGATTCGTTCTTTGAGCTTGCGAGCTTCGGCGTGTCTGGAACGGGCAGAGTCGAGATGGGACGAATGTTGTGCGACCGAGTTTAATCCTGTCTGAGTTGAAGACATTGAGATGATTCTTTTCTTGCAACTCAAGATGAAGCATCAAGCATTGGATAACATACTCGACTCGCTTACCTGTTCCACTCAAGCTGCCCCTATCTCACCCTCAGCTCACCGTTGAATGCTTGTAAGGAGGTTCCCGCCTCAAACGCTCCCGACCATGTCTCACCGACCAAAACATGCCCGGTCACCTCCGTCGGCCGACAAGTCTCAGCCATGCATTTTCAAGAAAGCATTGCAACATAAAATTCTTTCTTGAATTCGAGGCTGATGGATAAAACAAATTGGTATTTGCACGGATTCCGGTTTCCACGCTTAAAACTAGACCAAACCACTCCTTGTCATTCATCCCAACCACCATCACGCATTTCACTTTTGCTCCCTGCTGGCCTGAGCTTCAGCAAGGAACACCTCATCCTCGTTGATCTTGTAATTGGCAGACTTGCGAGCCGGGACGCCCTTCTGGAACTATTAAGGCTGTTAACGAAGATCCTTCTTGACTTGGGCATATCACTCACCATGTAGTCCATCTCACCAAAGGTTCGGTCCTTGGTCTCAAACATGCGGAAGTAGCCCCAGATGAGCGTAAGAGTAGCGAGGCCGGCCCAGAAAAAGGCCTGTGCTGTTGTTAGTGGACGCTGTGGCGAATGTGGTCAGGATGGGCACTCACAGTCTTTCCCTTTGCATTCCACGCCCCGGGGGAGAGCAGCTGCGGCTGGAGAAGTCCTCCGCAGACAATGTTGCCGACGTAATAGGTTGATCGGGCCAGGACGACGGTCTGGGTTCGTAGACGGGTTGAGCCAATCTCGGCGACCAAGGTGTAGATGATGGGGCCGACCGACATAGAGTAAGCGCCGAGCCAGACGATACAGAGTATGGACTGCGCCCAGGCGAGAGCCATGGTCTGCTTGGCCAGGGCTAGGAAACCAATGACCCAGAGGATGACGACGAGGGAGGAGAAGCCAGTGAGCCAGATTGTGCGGCGTCCCCATTTGGAGATGTAGAACCAAGAGATGATGGTTCCGACAAAGGCGATACCAGTGCCACCGAGGGCGATTCCGTATGAAGCATCAGGTCCAATACCGGTCTGCTGGAAGAAGAAAGATCCACTGTAGCAAAGAGCGCCGCCATTGGTGATCTGGGAGAGGAAGCCCACGCATGCGATCTCGGTACGTCGAATGTTGCTACCGCGGAAGCAATCCCAGTACGTGACACCAGCCCGCTCCTCAATCTCGAGCTTGTTGGTGTGCACCATCATGGCGACGGTGGCATCGATATTAATGTCGTGCTCCGGCTCGGAAAGACGCTCGAGGGCTCGCTTGGCCTCGTCGAGCTGGTTCGTCCGGACGAGATACCACGGAGACTCGGGGGCCATCCAGGCGGCGATGAACAGAGGGACGGGCCAGATCCACTGGATGGCAAAGGGAACTCTGTAACTCCACTCGGTAGGGTTGTTGACGAGACCCTTGAGGACGCCGGCTGAGATGAACTGGCCGATGCACCAGCACAGGTTGACATAGGCAGTGAGATAACCACGGATAGCCAGAGGAGTGACCTCGGCAGCATACGCAGGGCCAGTGGTGGCAAAGACACCCCAGGGAATGTTGCAAAGGAACTGACCGACCAGGAGAACCTCGATGTTGGGCGCAAAGAAGACGACAAAGATGAAAGCAGTCAGCCAAAACAGGCTACCCATGAGGACCTTGCGGTGACCCCATTTGGCAGTCGCCCATCCGTTCATCATGGCGCCGATGATGTTGGCAAAGGCACCGAGACAGTTGAACCTCTGCTGCCAGTTTGCCGAGATCTGGTATCCGTTGTCCTCATCCAGCCAGGCACCGTACTTCTTGCGGAAACTCGGGTAAGCGTAGAACGAGCTCAGGAGGGTAACGTCGTAACCCTCCATGATGACGGTGGTCGAGATGACTGGAAGCTGTTAGTATAGCACCTTTTTGAGTAGGTAAACTTACGGATGGACCAAAAGGCAGCCCGCTTGTACGTCTTGAGAGCCTGAAAGACACTGAAGCTATGCTCCTGGGCCGTGGCCTGGTGAGCCTCGGTGTTGAGCGTCTTGTCATGCAGGTCGACGTCCTTGAGATGGTCGAGGCCATTGTCAGTGGTCTCGATCTGGAGATCTGGAGCTCCGCCTTGCTTTTCAGTCGCCATGTTGAAGCCTTCCCAGTGAGATGAACAATTAGATCTCAATGGATGAGAACTGGAGAGGATAGGGTTGTATCAATTGAGTTTCCCCAGACTGGGGCCGCGGGTAGTTATAATGTCACCTTTGAGCTCCCCTCAAGCTAGGATCTTCTCCTCATCCTACCTCGACTCTGCAACCTCACGGCGAACATGATCCTCTCCACTCAAAGCCCGGCATATCGAATTGAGCCTGTATCCGCAATAGGATCGACGGGCCGTGAAATCGTTCCTACCCCAGGTTCAAGTTTAGTGTTCGAGGCCATCCCCGCGCCATTGGTGGAAGATCTTGCGGGGGTCATGTTCAAGATGGCCTGGTCTCATCGACTGCGAGTGGACCGCCTAAGATCAAGAAACCTTCTGACCACTCACAGCTTGTCTCCTCCCCCTCAAATCTCTAGAGTTTTGGGGTAAAAGGGATTTCAACTGCCTAGTTGAGCAGGTGGAGAATCTGGGGTAAGGTCTGGGGGATAGTGATGCTGGTCTCCCTTCGGTGTAGACTCCGCTTTCTCTTAGTCCTGCAGCTGGTCTTTTCTGGGGGATTGACCGGGAGGATCAGGCAAGCTTTTTGTTGGTGTCTGGGGCTAGGTTCGTCGGCAGTCAACTCCGTCTTAGTGGGCTTGGGGTCATGCATGTGAAAGAACTTTTGTCTTTGTTGGCACCCGTATTTGCTTGATCACGGGAGAAGCTCATTCTATCTTTGCGTCTATTCTGCTGGTATTATATCCTGGGAATGGGTTAAGTGCTTCTCCAAGCGCTGCACGCGACCTTGACCATGGTCAGAACCTTAAGCCGCATGCAAGGAGTCCCATTGTTCTCTCCAAGGTGTCGTACATTGTTGGGCAATATTCAGCGCTCTCAAAGACCCGTCGGATAATTCTGGCTGGGTTACTACTCTCGCTTGTGTGAGTGTCGGGCCCGCTGGATTGTCACTCCCTGATATGTCAGTCATCACTAAGATGGTCTCTCTCCTAACAGCGCTTAGCTACTGCTTACTTTTGCCACGGACAAAGCTCGTATGACCAGAACTCCAACACGCCAAGTCGAAGATCCATCAAATGGGTGATATTGTCAAACGGGCCGTCGGGTTAAAGTAGACCAGAGAGTCGCCTCATCAACAGTTCGCCCAAGTCTTCTCCCACAGACCAAGGTTACATCCCCTCCACACCACCTCCGCATCTGACTTGTACCCCGAAGTTTATCTCCCAGTCCATTTAGGCTAATCCACAGGCTCATATTCCCCAGCCTATGAAGCGCCAGGATGGGGGGGTTAGAAGACGGCATATCAGATGCTGCTTCGGCTGCTCTCGTCCCGAGGCACTGGATCACATCGGACCATGGCTCGAGGACGTGGTTCGAGAGAGGGCGCTCTTGAGGACCCGACAGGCTGGGATGATGGATTTCTTGTTGCATTTTGCCTGATTGCAAGTGTTGGTCGGGTTTCGGGTGAGACTACCGACGGTTCGTGGCGTTTACATCCGTTGGCGGTAGTCGCCGAAGGCGAACAGCCTGATCTTGGCCATACAGGTAAGTCGTCTATCTTGGCTGTTTCTTCATCTTCAATCCTCAACATTTTGTCTCTTTTGTCTCTTTTGCCTCTTTTCTCGCGTTTCTTCCCCTTCCAAGAGCTGGACTTCAGACGCTCCACGAGTCTTCTTCCCTCTCCATGCGCCGCCCAGTGTCATCGCCCCCTCTCCCATTCCCGATTGTTGTGAAAACGTCATAGTCGCTAGGCCAGCCCAACTATCCGTCGGAAGAAATGGATTATGATCACAGAAGGATGCGGGAAAGGGGCATTCGGGTCCCCTGAAAAAGGCAGAGGTGAGCCTAGGCCGACGGGATCGACGTGTGAACTCAGTCGCTGCTGGCCGACTTGTCCAAGCTATTGAAGCCATAGAATAAGTTGTCGTTTGGGTTTGGCCACTATTCACAACGAAGCTAAATATGCCTTGTTAGCCTGAGTTCAACCATTTTTCATATGTACGGATAGGTGGCTCGCCTTGATCTGGGTCTGGGTGCCGAGGGGTCAAGTGAAGCGGTGATCCAAAGATGTCGTGCCGCCGAGGTGGCCGTCAGACGCCCTTCACTTCGTGCCTGTAAGAATTTAATGATAAAGTCTTGCCCGTGATCCGAGACTTTGAAAGAGCGCAATAAATTCTTAGGAAACGGAGAACTAAAGATGCAGTACTGAGATAGACCACGGAGCTGGGGGATGGAAGCGTCCTTGTGAGTGTCTTGTACACGACACGACCCAATGACCATATATCTACTGATAGAGGGTACCGATGGTCTGGTGTTATGCCAACGACCTCTGGAGCCGCGTATCCTGCGGTCCCGCGAGGAAGGAAAGCAGATGTGTCCGAGTCGCTCAACCTCCAACTAAATCCCAAAGTCGGCGACCCTTACAGACCAGGCCGAGACCCTAAAAACAACTATGATACTCTAAATACTAGTCAGAAATGTAGCTAAAGCTTCACCCAATAGGCATACTGATAGCTTCAAATCGTGATGGAGATATCCGCTGTTGTGTATACACATCAGCAAGACACGAACTGACCTTGGGACGCGAAAACTTAAAGACTGCTTCGACCTCTCGGATCCAGTCGTTTTCTGACCCCTTTAGAAGATCCATCTTGATTTCTTTGACAGTTCTGACTTTGTTGTTGTTGTCATTGTCCGTGATGCATTTCTCAAGATGGACCATTCCATAGGCATTATGCCCAAGTAGTGACTGTCTCTGCCATCGCTCCTCTCTGCGCAAGCATCTTGAACTTGGAGATGGATCAGCTTCATAAAATACACCGTGAGTGCACGAGTCCAAGAAGTTGGTCTCGATACTTGGAGTCCCTGGCGAAGTCAGGGAGGAATCCGGAGGGCATCTTTCTGGGCTGGCTAGGCTTACAACCGCCTAGTAGGTGATATATTCCACATCAAAGGCGGCCTTGTTGAAGTACGTGTCGAGATGGTAACTTTGTTGGCTCTCTGGGCTGGCATTGGAGAAATAAGCCAAGGAAGCCTGAGAGAGGCTGTGCTTCTCAAAGCCTCACTGCATGAGGTATTTATGCATAAGTACATTCAGCCCAACTGTGCCTCACTCCAACTTGGTGAAGAATCAATCTACATATCTCTAGAAAACGAGACGCTGGAAGTCCTTTGGATATTGCTGTGCTGCCAAGTTTCTTCAACACAAAGTAAATACTCAACTGTGTTGACACTTGGACTAATCTATTGCTGCAACGTCGAGGCCGAAACACAATGCTCTCACCACCCTGCAAGATATGCCTCGACTTTGACGAGAGCTCACTTCAACCGCCCTCGAGGACACGCTGCACGCTGGATGAACTATGCAACTCTGCGCCAGCATGTTCTACCTGCGGCATCATTCTTACCGCTGCCAAGCATTGTTTTCCAGAGATTCTCCTGGCGACTAGTTACTTCTCTCTCTCCTTCTCTCGATTTAACGGTCGTCATCTACAGAACCCTAGTGAGACGTTTAGTGTGACCGTCTCTGTGGAGGTAGATGTCGTCGAAGAGGATTTACCAAAGGAGTTGGTGGGGAAAATGTTTCGGGATCGTGAACTTCACATCTACACTGCCAAAGGTTAGAACTTCCCAACCGCTTTCCTCGATTTTAACTCAACTGCGCACATAGGAAAACCTTCTCCCTGGCCAGTGTTTGAAGAAGGCCCGGTAATCCCTTATAATACTCAGGAACTGGCAAAACAAGCTAGGAAGTGGATTGACGACTGCGACAGGATGCACACGGGCTGTAGAAGGTCTGAAGAGAACATCCTGCCGAGAAGAGTCGTACAGATTATCCAACACTCAGGGACATCATCATGTAGAGCTCGCCTGTACGAGACCTCGCCTGGCGAGCGAGGATCTTATGCTTGCCTCAGTCATTGCTGGGGTAAACACCAGATAATCAGGACGACCAAAGACAGCTTTGACCGCCACAAGGGAGAAATTCCATGGACTGAGCTGTCGACTACCTTCAAGAACGCCATTGAATTCTCGCTTCACCTTGGCATTGAGTTCATTTGGATTGACTCTCTATGTATCATCCAAGATGACACGCCAGACTGGGAGAAAGAAGCCGTCAAGATGGCTGACTACTACGCTAACGCTGACGTTACGTTGGCAGCTACTGCATCACCAGATGGCACGGTGGGCTTCTATCCTCCTCGACCTGCACGAGATGAACCGCTTGATGTACAAGGACTAGACAAGCAAGGACGACCATACCATCTTGTTGTGAGAACTCACATGAGACATCCCTACGAATCCAGCCGCGATGAAACCTTTAATGGGGGCACCTACGAGTTTCCTCTCATGACCCGAGGATGGGTACACCAGGAACATGTCCTCTCCCGAAGATTCCTCCACTTTGGTCCGAGGGAGCTCGTGTGGGAGTGTCAATCTGTGACGACATGCCAATGCGGAGGAACACCTGCAAGACCAACCGTTCGCGAGAGGACGACTCAACTCCTCAGTGTTTCGAAACCTAGCCTGGATCTAGGAGACCCTATGGTGATGCTCAAATTGTGGTATCAAAATCTTAGGAGCATCACGTCCCTGGATCTCACATACATCCAAGACCGACTCCCAGTCATGGCTGGTATTGCGTCGCAGCTCAGCAAGGACAGAACAGGGCGTTATCTAGCTGGCCTGTGGGAGGATTCCCTGGTCTCTGATCTTTGCTGGCAGACGTTTGGCGACGATAGAGAAAGGCCAGAGACGCTAAAGAGCGTACCGACATGGTCATGGGGTTCAGTCTCGGGGCCCATCGCCGGCCCGTGGGATCGTGTCCACAGGACGACTTTTACAGCCAAGGTCGTTGACATTGACTGCAAACCCAGTGGACCTACATTCCTCGGTCGCCTTGATCATGGAATACTCACTCTAGAAGGGTACGTCGCTCGGGTAAAGATATTTCCTCGTGGAGGACGCGGCCAAGGATTTCCGAGAATCCAGTTCACAAACGGAGAGTGTCGCTCTTCGGGTCCATACAAGTTCCAGTTCCAACCTGATGTGGAAGACTGGACGATGAAAACTCCAGACTCTAAAGTGCTGGCTGTGGAGATGGGAACGACTATCGAAGACGGGCAAACCCAGGAAGCAAATTATCTCATCTTGCAGCCCGCCGAAAGAGGGGGCGGTTTATTTGAACGTGTTGGAAAGGTTTGGGCAGCAGCAGTAGGAATCGGCTCGAAGAAGACGAGGGAGGAGGTAGGCCATGAGATGTCATTCCCTGATTATTTTGCACAAGAGGCTACTGTTGAAAGGGCCCGAATATGTTGAATTCGGTAGCTTAAAGTTATTACTACAGGTCTTGTTAAATACGCCTGCTTCTTCGGGATGCAATTCTCTCGCCAAAAACTTTTAGTCCCAAAAACCCTCAAGAATCCTGAATGTGCCTTCCAAGCTCAGCAAAGTCCCCAACATCCTCTCCCGTGAGGTCCCAGTCGGGATTATTATACATCGAGTAGCAGTACTTGTAAAAGTCGTCTGGCGGAATGTCCGCCATCATCATGTCTTGCTGCTGGTTGTCTCCCGCGCCCTCGGGCATGGGAACCCAGAGGTTGTTGAAGTTGTCCCAGAGATCAGTGTCGAGGAGCATAAAGTCCTCTGGAGATGTCTGGCCTTGTCCGGGAACTAGGTCAACACCGGCGTTACCCATGTTGACGAGTTCTGTGCCGTTGACTCCGATACCATTGGTTTGAGTGTCGTGGTGAGCATCGCCGTTGACGTCGCCTGTGTGTGCCTGAGGAGACACGTTGACCACTTGCAGTGACTCAATCTTTTGAGCCATGACCTTCCATAGCCTCTTCACCTCCTGCAGCCTATCACGAGCGTACGTGTTGCCGTGGTCGGCGAGGTACTGCAACTCGCCCAATGCCTCGGTCAGCCCCGGCTTGGGGTTGATCTTTGAGCTCTCGTCGCAAACCGAGTCCAGAATGGCGGCCAGAATCATGACGAAGGCAGCAGAGAACGAGGCCTCAAAGTCGTAAAAACCAAAGATTGCTGGACTTGTCAGCACGTACACTTTGTAAGAGGTCGTGACACTCACCGATCATGTTTCGCTTCCTTAGTGTACCGACGACTTTCAGTTGCCGCCTAGCAGCTTCCACGCACGTCCTTGATAGCCTTCCAAGTGGCGAAGCTTGTAGTTGCTCGCCAGTTGGCCCTTGGCCACTCAGGATGAGCTTTGCAGCATGAAGCATGATTGGCCGAATTGTGAGAATTGTTGCCTGAAACTGTTAGCAAGTAGTTTCCTAACCATTAGATTCTACATACCTGGAAGAGCATCAGATGAAGTGAGGCAGTTGTCCTCAGACACTGGTCACGACCCAGGTTGTAGACATCAGTAACCGAGTCTGAGGGAATCTCTTGTGATATCCCGTATAAAGACTTGACGATCTCTTGGACATGAGGGATAAAGGTATTCTCTGATTCGTCCTCTGGGTTGTAGAGCACTGCAAAATATTAGATTGGGCTTAATATACCAAAGAGAACATTACTTACCAGCCAGGATGCGCCCTGTGGCTCTGGCGATCCGAATGTTTGTGCACATAGGCCCAGCAGGAGGGAACCCGGGGGAATCGCTTGGAAGTGAGATGTTGATGGCTTCGTCAGCTATGCTAGGAGGGTTTCCCGTTGCTGCAGCTAGACGTCTGAATCATTTGTCAGCCGTGATTCTTCACTTTCATCAAGATTCATACCTCTCGTGCATGTAAATAGTCCACCAGAGACGGTTCAAATGGACCTTTTCTGACTGCATCAAGTGTCTGGTTCCACAAACTCTGTGATACTTTTGCGCAATAGCCAGTCGCATAGCAGTGCTGATCTAGGACGGGTTAGTTCTGTTGACAGGAATGAATCAGGTTACTCACGTAGAGATAAGCCTCTTCCTTGCGGTTCATGTTTACAAGGTAAATCGCAAAGAGCGCAAAGATCTCAACCCCGAGCTTTCCAAAGGCACGCATCTCTGTTAACGTCGGTACGTTCTTGTGCGCATATTCAAACAGCTGAACCCCTGAAAACTCATCATTACCTTCGGGATTCGCGTCAAATAGTGTTCCAATGGCAATCATCAGAATCATCTCCAGAACCCACGGCGATTGACGCTGCTCAGGATCATCCTTGTTCTCGTAAAACACCCATAGTCGGTCTGAGAACTCGCGGGCGTCAATGTGATGCTGTGACTGGCCGATGTAGAACAAGGCCTTTTCCAGTAGTCTCTCTGCCTCTTGTCTTGATGGCAGCTTGGGAAACTCGGTATTCGAAGTTCGCCATGGGGCGCTGTTCCTAGCTACTTCGTGAAGTTGGTTTGCCTCTGGGCTCACCCAGGGCTTGTTTGTGATTTGATCATACTCGGGACGAGATGACCCAAGTAGATCCTGTACTCTGGAACCAAAGGTGTGGCTCGAACTCAGAGAGGAGCCTGCAAGAATCGCTGTTTTTGTATAAGCGGTTTGATCATCATGCTGTGGGCAAGCTGACTCACTTGAAGCTGGGGATGTATGAGCGGCCTCTTTAGCCGGATAACTAGGCTGAGTCAAAGGTGCTGCGAAGCTGGACGGGCGAATGAAGCTCGGAGACCTTGACGTTCTGTGCTGATCTGCGTTTGGGGATGAGTGAGATGTCTGTGAGTGCCCATTTGTTTCTCCATTGAGTCCGTTATGGGTTGGAGCCGGGGTTTCTGTAACTGTTAATGGGTATTCAATGAACGGCTGAGTGGCATCATACGTGAAATGCTCCCAGGTAGTCCGGTTGGTATCGTATTACCCTCCTTTTCATATCTGGCCAACTTGCTCTCAAGTTCCTCAATACGACTGTCACTCCCAATTAGTAATGATCAACATCAACAAAACAGTTCATACTTGGCCATGTACATGCGCTTGTGCCCATGCTCAGGAACCCTACAGTCCAGTCCTCTCTTGGTGCAGTACTGACAGGGCGTAGTCCCTGAGCACCGAACCTTCTTCTTGCGACAAGTCAGGCATCTGTAAACATGTTTCATTAGCCTCTACTCAACGAACTGCATGAAAAATGTGGAGAAGCGGGCTCGCGTACGCCAATGGTGCCTTTCGGGCATCTTTGCTGTTGGAAGCCGGACGCCTCCGAGCCATGTCTTGGGAGACTGCAGGCATTTGACCTAGAGAGGGAGAAGAATAACAAAAAGCCCGATAAGAGAGAAGAAACACCTTCTGGAATGCTTCGCCGAAGGTGAGGAACTGATGGGCACATGCTCCGAAGGGGACGCGGGGATTTCGAGTGATGATGGGTTGTCGCGCCCTCGGGACAAGTTCCGACGTCGCCAGCCGTGGTCCATTTTTTCACGCCGATCACGTGCCGCTAGAGATACACCATCTCTAGATTGTCCTTGTTTGAGGTCGGGATAGAACCCGGTTCGAAGCCTGTAAACTCTATCTCATGATCCACATGGTGGCGATCTTATCTAGTCAAATATCTTTATGCCTGGTTTGACTATTTTCTTTCAGTTGAATACCGGCCTCGAAGCCGATGTGTTTGTAGTTGTTGTCGTGAGCCGAAGCAAGCCACACTTGTGCCGTTAACTGCCGTAAGACTCGACAACGACAACTGTGTGAACGGAGTACCAAACAGGTGATAATCACGTTTCGTTCATATATGACCTTAACATGGGCCTTATAAATTAATTGTTAGTTAAATGGTACATCGCGTGACAGGGTGGATTTCTGCCAGCTCAACTCGCTCTCAAGAAAACAGTTGATTGCGACATCGGAGGACTACGCCGAGATGTCGGAGCCAACACCGAGAAACCGATGTGACGTGCTCACACAGACAAGGTCAACAATTACCATGTCAGAAAGAGAGAAACCCATTTTTTCCTATGTACTTGATCAAAATAAATACATGTAATCAGTGATCGCTTATACTGCTGCAATCATACTCCGTTATGAAACAAGAAATAATAAGCCAACCCTCCCGCTGCCTATTGTTGTACATCTCTCAAAAGGTATCAAACGTCTATCGCACAACTACAAAGGCTCCTTTTTTCACCGGAATTACTTCGTGCTCCTTTTTACATCCTCGGTTCTCTAGGCTGTTGCATCATAGACGCTGCCATCTTTAACCTGTGTCTCGCCTCGGTCAAGAGCTCCCACTTTGTGTTGGACAAGGCGTCGTCGACGACACTCAGGAGACCAATGATCTTGTTCCGGTTGCCAACCACGCCGGCTTGGTTCTGATGCAGATGGAAGGCCTTGATTGAATCAATTGTCGGGGGGATCATGATCTGTAGATAAGTCCGGAGGTCCTCGTGGCGATCACGCTTCAGCGCCTCGTAGTCGGGACTCATTGACATGGATGGTTGCTCAGAGTGAGATCCTTGAGGCGTGTCGGCGCTGGGATTGCTGGCTTGTGTCGTTCCTTGGTTCGACGATGACTGCATGCTTGGTTCCGTGGCCATTTGCGGTACACCTAGAGTGCTGGATGGATAGTGCAGGTTGTCCGGGAACGGCTCGATGTTTCCATCCTGCACGTATCCGTAAGCCCATAGCACCAGGGACGCGTAGTATAGAGCCCAGGCGCGAATGAGTAGGTTGTCCTGTGCAGCATCGTACTTGGGATAAGGTGATGGAGTGAAAACGGAGGGCATTCCACCTGATTCACCCATGGTGCTTCGCCTGGGGGTTTCTTCCTGGAGCAGGATGAGCCTGATCAGCTGCAGCGCATGGTACACACCACCAATGGCTCCAGGGGAGGCCACCCATTCCTTGATCTTGGCCTCCGTTCTCCTCCAGTCGACAGACGAAACAGTACGGCCGAGGATTTGGGTAACACCAGCGAAGATGCACAGCTCCGGCATGCTGATGTAAACCGTAATGTGACCCAGGTGGTAGAGAACCGTCCCCAGAGTTTCCATGGCATCACCATCATCGCTTCCGCCTCTGCTGCTCAGCCCCAGTCTCTGCCAGTCAAAGGCCGCATGCCGAACATGAGCAACACCATCGTCGTAATCTTTTTTCCACCAATCAAATGCCCGCAACAGCTTTGGCCGCCATCGTTCTTGAACACCCGGGATTGTGTCAGTGCCGAGAGTACCCCGATCGAGGTCTCGCTGGTGCATCTGCCATGTGACAGACAGTAATGCAGCAAGAAGAGCCATTCTTCCAAAGGAACTCGTCCGCACTCTTTGGCCGTTGAGAGTCTTTTGAAGTCCATCGAGGAAGGTTATTGGTGTTACACCGTTGGCGTGTAAGCTCGATTCGACACAGCCAATCTCGGATGGTGAGTCAGAAGACCAAAGAGTGTTGTCACAGGGGAGTGGAAGTTTGATCTCGTGGATCACCAAAGTGGGTGTGTGCCCAAACAAGGCGGCGTGGGTGGCGTCGATGATAAACGCAGCAAAAGCAGCCCGTCGAGTAGCTTCTTGAGCAATCCAATGATCCCACCACTTTTCAGGCGAAGAATCAAATCCTCTCCGATCAGGCCCAGGGAACAGCCTAGGCTGACCAAGCTTCGGACTACCCATGGGAGTTTGGACTCGAGAGGTGTAAGAAGACTGCTTGCCGGTCAGGGCGCTTCCTCTGCGCATGAGGGACAGCGTCGTAGGGAAGTAAATGTGAGCACGCTCATGAAGAACCCGGGTTGCGTTCATCTTTTCATACACCTCGAGAATGAGAAGTGTTTGAATGACCCAGAGCTTAGCCGGTGGATGAGAGTCGGCATGCATAAAGACTTGCCAGCGGAGATTCCACGAGACAAAGGTGGTGAATTTTGAAATTTTGTCCGCGGTCTCTGGCAGGGCGGCCTTCTTCTCAAGCATAGAAGCTCCCATGATCAGCACAGCCAACAAGAGGAAATCGTGGGCCGTCTCCGGTATGAACGTTGGATGATGCAGGATAGGCAACTGGTCGTGAAAGTTCTCCCAGTACGAGTTGATGTATCGTTGAACGTTGAGATGGCTGAGGACATGGGAGTCAGCGTCGCTGTCACTGCCGAAAATCTCGTTCTTGATATCCGCAGCCGATCTGTTACCCTGTGAACCGATCTCGTTGAATCTCTGCATCATGTACTGAAGCAGAGACTGTCGCTTATGCTCCGAAAGTCCAGTCTTTCCGATCTGCGAAATATCCACAATCGGTGTAGCCATGGGCATCGGCTCTGACTGGAACCAGAGGCCATTCATCGGTTCGACATAAGATCCTCCCATCATTCCTGGCTGCGAATAATCCGGGCATAGTTGACCAAAGTTGTTTGAGTATCCCGCCATTCCGAGGTTGCCACCGGGGACAAAGTTGTAATTTGAATTCAAGCCCTGACCGTTGAACAACCAAGAGGTGAACTCATCGGTGCTGGATGGCGATAATCCGAAAGGCTGTTCTTCGATGAGTTGCTCGGTGCTCGACGTCGGCATTCCGTTTGCCATGACATAGGACTGGGTCCTCATACGCTCCGGCCTGCCTGGCAACCCAGGACTCGCCATGGGGATTGACATGTCGGCGCCTGGCATCTGGTCCATCCTGAAAGTAACTGCGCCCATGGCTTGTTTTTCCGGTGATGATTCGCGGCTTTGGAGTTGTCGTTGGTCTCCAAAGTAACCAGCAGCCTCACCCGCCTCATTCTGCTGGCCCGACTCCGGCTGTGCCGAACCTCCTACGCCAGCCTTCTGAGAGCCGGGATCGACACCACCTGCGTCCAGTGAGAGTCTGTTCCTGACGGGCTGCTTTTCCTTTGCTGGCGTTTCCCTCGCCTCATCTTGGGTGTCGCTCCAGGCAGATCCATCTTCACTGAACGAGTACCTCTCAGCGCGATCCCTCGGCGCCTTTGAAAACTCCCTCTGCGGCCGTTGAGACAATCTGCCATTCCCATACTGCTGCACCTGGCGCTCATGCCTCAGCTTGTGACGCGCGTAGAGATCCTTCCTGACAAAGGTGAATGAGCAGCCCGGGTAGTCGCAGTAGTAAATCTCCTTGGGTGAATCTAAGACGTGTCAGCATAGGGTCCACCGGGGCAGAACCAAGACTAACGGTTAAGCTGATGCCTCTGGAGATGCTCCGCTCGCGAGTAGGTCCTCCCGCAGCCTTCGTGGTTGCACTGGAACTCCTTGCAAGAGGCCTTGCGGCGTTTATGACGCGGGGGTGATGAGGCCATCGTGGCGCGTGACCTTTGAGTCGGCGGCCAGGGCCCGACGCGCTGCGACGGTCGAGTGAGTCCCTGAAGCCTCTGTATGGCTGAGGCGAGCAGCGTCTGCGCGTTCTGTATGCGAGCGAGGTCGTCAAAGACGTCGTTGAAAGCGGGGGGTTGGCTCTATCCAATCTCGAGACGGATTCGAGATTATGGGGGCAGCCAACCTCGGTCAGCTGACCACTCTCTGCTCACTTTTTGGTTGTGGCCTGTCATCCCCGCGAATTTCCCCGCCTTCTCCAATTTTAGTGGCCGAATGCGGGGATGGCGCCGAGGTGTAGGGTAGGTGTCTTGCTTTTGCCGTACGTGCCGGTGATAATTTGACCAGTCATTCTCCCGAGTCCCCTTGGCGTTGGTTTCAAGACACATCTGTTGGTGGGCTTAATTGAGCCTATAAGTGGCGGCGGTGGTTAAAAGAGCCATGCCGTTAACCGTTCCCAATCAGGTATACACATGCGGTGGCTGCCTCACATCATGTTGTTTTTACACACGAGTTCCTGTGTCTGTTATAGCCTGTCTCACCAAGAGAGAGTGTGGCTCAAATTCTTCAACGCCCACGGAATAATCTCCCTTCTGGTAACAAAACCCACATTCGCTTGCACGCAGGTAAGCCACGGAGTAATATCTCGAGAAAATGCGAGCCGAACTCCGCGACGCTTGTGAAACATACCTTGTCCTTGTTTCGATTCGTCAATTCAGACCCTAATTGTCCAATCAGGCCACCACGGGCTTTCGTCCTTGGCAGAAGTGCACTATCCGCTCCGGCTACCAAGTGCTTACTGCGGTAGCACAAGGAACAGACGGAGAACGGCTTCTTCCGTCTCACAGTGAGGCTGACGATCCTATCTCTGGATAAATTCCTAATCTATTAAGTCGGGAATTTCTCGGGCCTTGTGCTCCGATCCAACAGGGGCAACGAGCAATGATCGACTTCTCCCCACAAAGAATGCGATGCTAT